CAGCTGTTAATACAAACATATTGATTGGTGCTGGTGCTGGTTCGCTAACTAATGTCTGGTGAGAGCTGCTGTACTCCAGTCGATATCAATATTTTCAGTCAATTTACTTGTTACTACATTATGACGGATAGGTCGAGAATAGCAGCAGACGAAACAACATTTTCAAATGCACTGTTGCACTGAATGCATTTTAAGTCTTGTCACCAGTCTATCTAAGGTCTCTGCGTCTCTGTGTGTGTGTGAATATATAAGAAAGTGAGTGAGACAGTTTCTGTAAATATTGCAGCTTAGATGTTGGTTTGAATCTGTCTGCATTGAGACCCTTGCTGCATGTTATCTCCCTGTCTCTCTGCCTACAGTTTCCTGTCTGCTACTCTTTGGTGTACAATAAAGATAAAGAAACCTTGAAAATGTTTACTTTTGACTCATTAAAATGTGTTTGGCTAAATTTTGAGGCACCTCTATGATTAACTAAAAATTATAAACTTCACAAATGTAGATTAATAAAATGTATATTCCTATTGTACGCAGGGTTATTTATTAAAATATCACAATATTTATGTCATTGTTTTCATACCCTATAGATGTCGCACCCAAAACTCAAGATCTTTCTAGAACTGATCGGCAAATCAAAAAGTGTGAACTTTACGTTGCGACTCGGTGGATTTAGATGTTTGATGCCATCGCTCTGGTGATGAAAAAGTACAAAAAAAAAGGTCCCAGAATTTCCCTCTGTGCACAGGACCCATAAATCACTGTTACGCCCCTACACCCAGACACATAAACACAATTGCACTCCCAGTTTTCAGAGCAGCACTTGGAGGGAGAGAAGATATTCTGGTTTATCTCTGTGAACGGGCGCCTTTCCCCTGGCTCCCACTCCACTCGCCTTCCGCGCCAGATAAACATGTTGTTGCAAACACTGGTTCAACACACGGCGACGGGCGGAGATTAAGGCCGACTTAAGTTTATCATAAATGAAGTGCAAAGTCGACAGTTGTGTGGCCCACTGCCTCTCAACACTAAAACCACCAGCTGGGGTATTTAGGAGGTGATGGGAGCTGCGCAGTAGCAGCCACCAGGCATTCCAGTGCTGAGGTAGGCTCTAATCCTCTGCTCCTGGCTCGCTCCCGACAGGAGAGGAAACAAGTCGAAACAGCAGGGAGACATTCACAAATCAGAAGTTATGGTGCCGTCAACTCTGGTTCAGAGAGACACTGGTCCTGAGGCTTTGTGGTTGTTGTTGTTGTATAGCTCTCAGTCCACCGAATGATTCTTATTTCATAAATATTAGAAAAGCGGAAAATTGGATAAAAAAAATCTATAATATAATATCTGAGAGAAAATCTGATTTTGAAAATACATATGTAGCAAAAATACATCTGTAGTTTAACCATTTTTTGTTTTATTAATCTCATGAATGCATGATCAGCAAGTCATCTACATTTCCCCCCATTTTCTCTGCTTCTGAATGCTGCAGGAGCTGAGCATCTCTTCTTGCAGCAGGAAACTCAACTCTTTCTTTGGAGGACTTAAAATCCAGTGAAAATCTGTTCAAAGCAACCACTTCTTTCAAAGAGTATTTTTCTGTGAAAATCTGAAAAAATAAAAATGAAACTCCCTGGTTCCCTACATATTCTCCTTATTCTGTCTGTTCCTGATCTTTCACACACAAACCTTAAAACTCGCATGAATGTGCACAAAGATATAAAACCTCATACTCGCTTTAAAGAAACCGCAGTACAAGGCCTGTACAGCTCATGTGACGCTTTCAACGTCAACCAGGCCCAGCCCCTGCCATCTTAATGTCTCCCCACCAGCTTACTGCAACAACAGAATGATACAGTAACAGACACACATCAGCTTACCATAATAACACCTAGCCAACACACCGAATAATCTGCCATTTTGCTTCACAACCATGTAAATAAGTATTGTCAAGTTACACTGCGAGGCACGGAAATCTCGTCTTCTGACCGTAACTGTTTGGCAGACAAGTAATTGAGCTCGAAGTCTTTGCAGAGATCATGTGGGTGGCGTCGCGTGCCGGAGAGCAGACACAAAGCAAAGGCGGACAGAAATGTGTGGATTCACAATGTCAAATACAGTCTCTGTGTCTGCTTCACACATATACTGTAAGTACATCCTCTCTCTCTGCGTCTCACTACCTACTGTAACTCTCCTCTCGCGCACAAATTAACAAGTCCTCCAGCAGCCTTAAGCCTGGAAACACCCGCTCGCTGATCTTTCTCCCCTTCTTTTCATCTCCTCCCATCCTCCCTCAAATCTCCCTCTGTCCTCTTTAGTCCCTCTTTCCCTCCCTACCTTCTCATCATCCTTTCCCTTCCAGCATCCTCCCCTCTCAGTCACTCTCTCTCTCTCTCTCTTTTACTCTCACTCTCTCCCTATGTCTCTCGCTCTCTTTGTAGATATTTCCCTTGCTGATGTTGTCCATTGAGAGCCAGTGATTGTCTGTGGGTGAGAGCAGAGGAGAAGAGTGGAGCCGATTACTGCAATGCAGAGCAACCAAACAACATCGCGGCGCTGCAGCAGATGCTGTGTTTGCATGTGTGCTTGTAGGTGGAGTTTGTGTGCATATTACAATTTGTATGACGAACGTGTGTGCAGGTTTGCAGCACCGATACAGTGATGTGTTTCTGTGTATGTGTGTGTGTGTGAGAGAGAGAGAGAGAATGTGTTTGTGAGCGATGACCAGCTCGACCACAACTATTTGTCATGCCCAAACACCAAAGCTTCTGCAGCTATGCACCATGACTTTTAAATAGATCTCTTTTCACTGACATCAAACTATGCCCAACTGTGCATATTTAATACGCCACATGTCTTTGCGGGGAAGAATATGGTTTCATGCCTTCACACACACACACACACATACACACACACACACACACAAGCTCACTCAGAAAAGATCCGCCTATCGCAACTCAGGCTAAATCTATTATGCGAAATGACAGTGTTTTAATCAGGCTAATTGTCCAGCTCCTCGCCATGTCTCTGCCATCGCTACTTAACCAATGCCACAGCCGCAGTGTTTTCTTTTTTTGTTTTTTCTTTTAAAGGAATAAATGACACGGCAGTGGAGGAAGAGCGAGAGGCAATCTAAGCTACAGAGGCCCACAGGCGTTTGAAGTCTAAAGACTCTTTCATCCTCAACTCTGGGAAATGAATGATTTTTTTCACACAGTGACAGGACAGCTCTGACAGGACCCAAACACATGAACCATGGCAAAGCTGTCAGATAGTCAAACACACATACACAGATGCATACAAGCGCATACAGGGAAACACTTGAGCAAGAATACATATGCACACACACACAGCTGGAACGAATCCAGAACCAGAAAGTGTTCAAAAATTAGGCGTTCACAGGCGAAGGAAGTGAGAAGGAAGCGTTAAAAAGTGACGAAGAGTGAGAGAATAGGATGGAGAGAATGATGCTATAATTAGTCGTTTGTTGCTTTAACTGGCATTTAGTTTTAACTGGGCTTCTTTGTCTGTCGACACAATGGGACTGATGTGGCATGAGTGAACTACACACAGCTTAGAGGATTAAGGCTGGACTGAGGCTGTGGCGCCGCACTTCCTCTCTTTACCACGCACACGGCGACAGACACTCAACTAGCTGCACAACACCCTGCACTTTCTTAAACACACACACCTACAAACAAAGGCACACCCCTCTGAATACACACGCACACACACAGTCCCGCTTGTGCACACACAAACGCACCCACAGGGGGATTATCTGTGCAACAGAGTTCTGAACACTGAGAGTGAGGAGGCGTCTGAAGAACTGTACTCATCACCGAAGGATGGAAAGAGCAAAGCAGAAAGAAAGAAAAAAAAAACACACATACGCTCTCACACACACACACACACACACACACACATACGTAGACACACTTCAGTGCGAGCTACCTGTGTGTTGAGCAGCATATAGAACAGCCTCTCTCTGTGTCTGTCCTGGGAGGCTGAGCTGACAGCCAGAGCAACGAGAGAAAGAGGGGGAAGGGGAAGTAGAGGAGAGAGGAAAGAAGAGAAAGGTGAGAAGGAAAAAGGAAGAAAAGAGAAAACCAAAGAAAATCATGACGAAAGAAACAGAGCTGGAGAGAGATGGAGCAATTCACGACCTTGTCCCCGGGGCCACCAGCCCCACATGTCCTCATTTCACAAATAGATCGTATTGATTTTATACCATTAATGTGGTAGATTCCACACTATTAACTTCTATCTCCATTATTTAGCGTGTGAGGAACCCTGCAGGCTCAATTCTCATCTGGTCTCTCCAACACGCTGCGTGGACAAGCTCACAGGCTTAGCACACCTCGAGCTGCTTCTTTCATGCACTATTAAGGAAATGGAGACGGAGAGAGTGAGTGGATCTATGGGGGTCAGAGCATGTGTGTGTGTGTGTGTGTGTGTGTGTGTGTGATTTTGTCACATAGCTTGCATCGCAAGGTTTTTATGTAGCACCCTTTATTGTATTTCGTGGGTCGGCGGTAAGAAGGCTGAACCAGATGCAGAATCATCCTATACATTAATATAACATGATCCCTTACAGGAGAGCTTCAACACGCAAAAACTAAGAATAAATATATTCACAACTGCCTCTACTATTGGTAGGAGATAAAAGCATAAAAAGGTACCTCCGTAAAAGATAATAATCGATAGTTGAAAGAAGTATCTGTCTGTCTTTTTTTTTTTGACGAAAAAAAAATGCCTTCAGGTCCTGTGGTTTTGTGTCCATTGTTTTTTTTTGCCATTCAAATTTCCTCTGAGAAATACTTAAAAATCAATACAATAACCTCTGTGCCTTTGTCCGATGAAAGAAAACGGGAAGCAGAGGTCCTTGTGGCCTCATTAGGTCTGGCTGATTAAGACATCCAAAATGCATCCATTGCCACGATGTCCTTCTGTATGTCGGCCTTCCTGTGTTATGTCTCGCATTCGAAAAAAATAAATTCTGTTTCCTTTCATCCATATAACCAGAACCTTTTCATCATTTCACACATCAACCAGCCGTTCCTGGATATGTCCCCCATCTAGCCCTGTGACAATTCCACTGGATAAGCAAATTAAGTTAACTGGATGAGATGAAAATGAACTGAACTGCATACAAACAACTCCAATATTGACTGGGTATATTATTATTTTTGGCTCATCCAGGGAATGCAATTATTCGGCGGCTTTGATTGGTTTCAGTCTCAGTCGTCCATCAGCATCCCATCCGTTGGTAGTCAAACCTCTTTGTTTAGATAAATAGATCTGTATTCATAGAAAAATAAGCATTGACCACACTGCTGGCTGTTCATTGCTAAGGCACTTGGCTGTTTTCAGTCATTTATCTCCCTCTCGCTTTGTTTCTGTCTCCATCTTACACGTCCACCCAGTTTGCTCCACACCCTCTGGCTGTCGCAGTTTATGACTCTGTGTTCGATGTTGCAAAGAGCTGATAATATGAATACTGACGCCCACCACCGCCACACTGTCTCCTGCTCATTGTGGCGCTGAGTAGAAAAATGGAGCCTCAGTACTTTTCGATTGTGAGGCGTAATAGAGGGAAAAAGAAAATCGGTGGGAGCTGCAGCTGAAGTTTCGCCTCCAGGCAGAGATCTGGGATCAGCTAATCCTTGCCAAATACCAACCTATACGCCAGTAGTGGGGGAAATACAAAAACTGACCTCAGCTCGTTATCCAGGAATAAACATGTGTGTAGTGTAGTCCCGCTCCCCCACAGGCTCCTCTCAAAGCCACAGGAGTCATTGTTACTGGATGATTCATCACCAGAGAGGGAGATGATGAGGAGACAAGAGAAGTAGGAAGAGGAGGAGGAGGAAGAGGGGGAGTGTTAAAACTGGTAAGACCGGTCCAGCACCTCCATGTAGTCTGGTGTGGTCCTCAGTCTGGCTCTTTGCTCCCCTGCTCCGTGCTCGCTCTGGCTGCTGTTACTACCGCCTACTGTGGAGCTGGCGGTGCTGACCACGAGCGTTTGGTCGGGTCTGGCGTCCTGTTTGGAGTCTTGGGGGTGAGGGTAGCGGGGCGGTGGCCTCGCGTACCTGTCTGGCAGGTCTCTGAACTCTGGGGCAGGGAGTCTGAAGAGGCAGTCCACCAGTTCGACCTTTGGGGTTGGGCCCTGGCTGTCGATCACTGTTGGGCAAAGGATGCCGTTCCCGTGGAGGCCGGGGAGCGGTCCCATTGCTCCTGTGATGGTATTGATGGGGGATGAGGACACGTCCAGAGTCCACTCCCTCTCCTTCTCTGCTGCAGAGCAGTATCCACCCTCGCTCTCTTTGGAAGCTACAAACGACTGCTGCGGCCGCTGCTTCACGGCTGCATCCTGCTCCTCTTTGTAGATTGGGTTGCTACACATGTGCGGGGCCGCGGCGGGCTTGGGGCCTTTTGACGCGGCCTCCGGGGGCAAGATGGTGTCGTACACGTGGTTGTGTTCGGCCGGAGGAGGGGGCGGAGTCTCTGGGAGGCCGTGGTGATGGTGATGGTGGTGGTGGTGCGTCTGCTCGGTGAAGATTCCACACTCCATCTGGATGCCCGCCAAGTCTACCTCTCCCTGGCGACGGAACGGCAGCTTGTCCCTCCTCCTCAGGGCGTAGGCGATTAGTGCCGCTGCCGCGAAGAATGCAGACACAAACAACACCAGCAGGCTGAGCACTAACACCGACAGCGGGATTGAATCCTTCCCTGGAGGGATCAGGGGGCCCAGACCTGAGCCGGGGTAGCCAACCGACACGCCGCTGTCTGCAGCCGTGGAGGTGGCCGTCTGCTCCTCCTGCTCCTGGTCCTCCTGGGGCTCCAGCTCAGGGCAGAGCAGCTCCATGGAGAGGGAGCGGAGGTCCACTCCTTTGGTCTTGTCTGGGGAATGGCAGACCACCTCTCCCACCACCACCACAGCACTGAGCCCCTCGAGCCAACGCTTCAGTGGAGCTGCATCACAGTGGCACTCCCACGGGTTCTGCTGCAGGTCCACCTGGAGAAACACATAACACCACAGCGCTTTGTCATTGTGTAACAGTACACTAATTACTGCCGTGCAATGCAAAGTCATGAATCACTTTTATTAATTGTAAACGAAAAATAGATCATTTTGCTGACATCCTTGTGATATATGTTGGTCTCTTGTGTTGAAGAAAAAGACAGGCACTCCATTGAGATGACAACAAGATAAATGCTGTTTTCTCAGCTACCTTTTACCTCTGACCAGAATATATGGAAAATGAGTTTTTCTGCATTTGCATAATACAGCTCTCTGCGCTGGCCAGCTTTTTTTCATGATTCTTTTCATTATTTTTATGAAATATGCAGGTGATGTAAAGTACTGATGAATGTAAATAATGTCGTTAAAGGGTCATCAAAACAGTGAAGTGCTCACATTTCCTGAATGGCTGTGCACAGGCACGATCTACTCTCAATAATGGAGAACAACTGGGCAGTGACCAATTCAACTTGCACCCCCCCACAAGTGCTCTCTTTAAAAGTTGTTCACACATGTGCTACAGCAGGTTGTGGGAACATTTCAGTTCACAATAAAGACCACTCAGAGTTTACATAAGTGGTTATTGACAAAACTCACCGGCAGGTTTTGTGTGACGAGTATCACGGCACTTTGTTTTTTAACAAGACGGAATGTGATGCAACTCTCCCCTGTGCTATAATCCAATAGGTGTGTGCGTAAATCCATTTTCTCATTGCCAGCTATTGATTGTCCTAAAAACAAACTCAGATATTCACTTTGCATTCACATTTTGAAAAGGGTAAAGCAGATTATGCACAAAGGGAATCACTCTCATCAAATTGCATTGTCTGCAGAACCGATCTGTTCCATATCTTTAGCAATGACACTGGCAATGAAAGCTGATATTCTCTCTGTCACTCTTCCAAGGAGCTTGCACAAATGTTGTCACGCTAATTTGGTTAGGCCAACACCCTGGCTTGCAGAAATAGATGGATGCTTTTTGAGATGATTCAGCATTGCTGTTGTGGGAGCCATGGTATGACTACTTCCCCATGCTTCACACTGAACAACAGGACGCTCCATCACTTTATTGGAGTTATCCCACTGTGGGCTTTTGTGAGGCTTTCATAATGAAATAATTTCGACTGGAGGGTGAGTAGAAACAACAATCTGCCGCAGTTTGAACTCAGTTTGAACACTTCCACTACATTAAAGGTTGTCTGAAAAGCACAGTTTTCCATGTTTCGGCCTCATTTTGACACGACTGTGATTCAGCATGTATGCACATTTAAAAACACAATTTTAGATAAACAACCATATGACCAAAAAAATAAATCAGCTTCTTTTTGCAGTTTTAGAACTTTCATAACTACGAACCTCCATCTGGTTGAAATTCTTGAAGCAGAGTATTGTTTGCTTTCATATAGATCCCAAGGGCTCTATCCCCTTCTCTTTTGCAAGCATCTGTCCAACGTGTCCAACACCGTTTACAATTTATACGCCTGGTCACCTAGTGTGGGATTTGCTGTCAACTTGTCAATCAAAGCCCTGTTTCAAAGGGAAATTATAGGCCCTCAGTTGGCCCGACAGGTGCGAGTGGTAGAGGAAATGCGAGTGCATGAATCCTATTTTTTTCTGAACACAAATCCTTTTAGTAAAGCCATTCCACTTACAAAGTCACAAACAGGATGTTAATGGTATTATTATGTCATTATCATACAGTATACACTCAAAAACAGCCACCAGAGTATTGAGTGAAACATTCTCTGTTTTGATGCTTCTTGTTATCATATTCAGAAAGAAAATCATGAAATACACCCAAAAAAAACCCTCTTTTGTCAGAAAAATATTCAGCCTGACTTTTGATGGAAACTTGGAGCTTTAGCCGCAGAGGAGTACATTTTGCTCTTGTGGGTTTTTATCATTATGACACAGATCAAAGATCAAGCAATAATTGTCCAAAATTTACTTGGGAGCCATTAAAAAAATCACATCAGGGGAAGAAATTCAAGATTTTCTCAGCGAGCCGTGTGTCTTATAATTGATCACTTTGCCCAAACAGCAATATCCTGTCAGTCATCAGGATCGCTCCAGTTAGTTCACAGAAATATAGTCAATATAAGCAGGTTTTGGAAGTTCTGGCGCAGCGATCCTGCTCTCGTCCCTGGTGACGAGACGGCTCTGAGCTTCGGCTTGCCAAGCCTTCTCCGCCCTGATGAATGTGTTTCATTGTCTTTTGAATAATACACAGAGCCAAAATGAAAAGAGTGCATTAGAAACACAATCTGCAGCATCCGCAAAATTGAGTTTTTTCTGAAAAATGTGTATATTGGAAGCCAGTCTTCATACAGTGTATGTGAGATGCTAAACATACGAAGCGTTAGAAGTGCGTCAAAGCAGTTCACTCATGGACACACTCACACCGTTAGATTTCATCAGTCTGTGATGGGGGAGTGCGTTCAAGGAGGTTTTTTCTTTTCTTTTTTGAAGTGTTGTAATTTACTTTCATGGTGTACTCGCGCTCTCTTTGCCTGCCTCGTCGACTTCTACCTCTGATAGTGATTTCCCATATTTCCCAGAGCAACTTCAGCAACCCCTCGGGAAGGGGCACGAACTTGTTCTATCCAGCGGCTTGTGTTTCATGTAGGTGGAGAGAGAGCGGTAGTAATAGCAACGAGCAAAGAGCAAGAGTTTCTGGTCCATTGAGGCTATTGTCAGTAGAAAAATTGGTATCTCTGCCTCTGTGTGATTGCTGACCATCAGTGCAACATGGTGAGTCTGGAGAGAGGCCCTTGATCTTTTATTCTGAGGGAAAACAAACACTCACTTTTAATGCTGCTGTATTAGATATCTGGATCTTCTGTGTTTGAAGTGAGCTGAAAAGCGCTATGTACGTATGTAGACGTATGTAAATGTGACGTGATGAGTGTTTTTGCTATGTTGCCTGCAGAGAAATACAATGCTAAACAGCAAAATGAGGCCAGGAATGCAGGTTTTTGTGTCAAATTCTTTGGTAAACAACATGCACAGGAAAGAACATTTAAAAATAATCTATTTCTCATGACTGAACTGTAATCCAATATCATTGTTCCTTACATCTCCATCTATGGCTACGTCACGACAATCTTCTCATTTCCAAATTGTATGGTCATGTTGCAACAAATGCTAACTACTACAAATTACCTAAATCTGTCAGAGCATTGGAATATACAATTACATACATTTATCCCGTAAAAACGGATTAGAAAGAACACTATTAGAAAGATTTTGAAAAGGTTCTTAACATTCAACTGTGTGATTAAATATCGGAACATATTGATATCAAAATATATTACAATAATAAGGGCAATATTAACCATGCATATATCATCCACCCCTACAGACAATCGAATAAAGGTGGTTATTAACACAAAATTATAGGAAAATCCTGCCTACTTATTTTGCAAAAATAATGTGAAGCATTTTGTAAACTGGCTCTACTTGCATCTACTTATTGAGACTATCTTGCATCCTGAAATAGAAAATACATTGGTATGCTTGCTAGATGACCGGACTTTTATAGAGCTAATGTGTTTATCTCTACCTGTGTGGCTGTGTGTTTGCTGTGCTGTGCAGTTTCAAGTGCAATAATGGCAGATATTATACACAGAAAAAAAAACCCTACACAACCTGTTTTCAGTGCATAAACACATCCACTGGTTTGTTTTGTTGTTCAGGAGGATGCAAACCGACCAACTGAAAATAATGTACAGGCTAAGAGAAGCAAAGCTATACTGACAGCTAATCTTTTAATAGAATCTGGTGAGGACATTCGTGGTTATAATTACCTCTATTACCCGACTATCAGTTGAGTTTTAGACTTGAATCAATGTTAATACTATTAAAAGCCCATTTTGACTGTCCTATCTATACTGGCTCGCCACTACAGCAGCATTCGTTAAATATTAGATTCAATAGCAAAACTCCTCTGCTGGTCTGATAACGGAAAGTTGAATTTTAACATTCAGTAAGTAATAAGTAATAGAGGTGGAAATTATGAATCAGATTTGTAAAAGATTCACGTTTGTTAAGCCGGTGATCGGCCGACATTCTGTCTTTAAGAGGCTGTAACAGGCTCAGTCTTAAAGCTTGGGGGAAGATGCTATGTTATCACATGAAAGTAGACGACCTATTGAATTGTCGGGAAGGAGGATGAATAAATCTCCAAAGTGGGAACACTGGCATGGTGATTTTCGAAGGGGCCCTTTGACCTCTGACCTCAAGGTATGTGAATGAAAATGGGTTCTATGGTTCTATGGGTATACCTACGAGTCTCCCCTTTACAGACCGCCCACTTTATGGTAACCATAGCTCAAGGTCTTTGAGTCTTAATGTAGTATCGAGGGTTAAATTCAGCACCGAATCTGTGTAGCAAATGGTGTCAACCCAAAAATTGCTGCAACAACTTATGAGACATTAAAGAGCATGGGAATGGTCATCATATACTTTCACAATAATGTTCTAGCTGATAATAGTTTGTTGCTGAGCATTTAATCGTGAATAAACATACTTATTAGCGTCACTGCTTCAGGCCGATGACACTGATGATTCAGTTGGCCTGTAGTCTGTTTGGCTGTAAGATTCGGGAGCAGTGCAGACCATAACCCCATTTAACCCGGTTGTTTTTAAACTTCAAACAAATAACATATAATGCAAAGACATATTTTGTTACCTTTGGACAGAGTCAGGTTATCTGTTTCCCCGTTGCCTGTTGTCTTTATGCTACATTAATAAACTAACCGGCTGCCGGCTGGAGCCTCATATTAAACAGACAGATACGAGAGTGGCATCATTCATCTCATCTAACTCGGCAAGAAAGCAAGCAAGTGTGTATTTCCCAAAATGTCAATCTGTCCCCCTTAAAGATTAATCTGTGCAAGTATTAACTCACACTCAAATAAAACTGATAATCAGGTGATTGTTAGTTGGGCATTAAATGATTTCCTGTCAATCCTGCCCCCTGGTGATTTACTGCTTTGTTTTCATCAATCTTTCTGGAGTGTGCATTGTTTTTCTATCCAACATCACAAAAGGTGAGATGTGGCTCTGGGCAAGTTTCTTTGCTGCATCTGGCAATGATGAGCGCGAGCTGTCCTACAACATAGTCTTTGCATTTACTGAAAAGACATATGTATCGCTGAACTGTACATATTTCTGGCACAGACTCAGAATCTGACTCAACTCCTTGATTTTGTAATCTTCGTTTCAAAGGGAAGACTGCTTTTGTGCTGCTATTAAATAACTGATGAAAAGAAAATAAAGACACCACAGACAATTTTTCCTTTAATGTCTCATTGATGCTTATTTTTTTTAGATAACAGTGACATCTGGGAGGTATTTTTCAAAAATATCAGTGCATGTAAGTGGGTGTAACAGTTTAATCCTGTTCTTGATGGTAACAATGACTCTAAGCTGTACATGCTGCTGCTTTTAGATTATCAAAATGGATTTTTTTTTTTTTTTTACAGCAGCTGCAAGCTTCACCGTCCTTCAATCTGTGTTACCCTTTGATTTTACTGTGCAAACTCTGGCTCCAAAAACACATGTCAGAGCCCAGAAATCCCCACTTCCCGAGCTTTAAACAGGCCAGCAGAAAGTCAACAGGTGATATCATTGTCACATTATTTTCTACAGTCCATGCGCAGCGCTAATGTGGCTTTGTCAGAGTAATAACAACCCTGGTAAATGAATGAATTCAATTACCGTGCTGCAGATTTTGAGCACTACAATGGTGATGCCGCGGGGCTTTATGAATATGGCACACAATGTGCTTCCAATTGGTGAATGCTTTTATGCTCTTGGACACCAGAGGTGTATAACAGCACAAAATAGAATACACTTCAACACGGTTCCTCCAGCTCACATAAACCTTCGTCCTTCACCTGAACAAACATTTAGAAACAGCCTCTGAACTGCCAGCCTCACCCACACTACCTAGGATTGGGAATTCTTCATGGAGCAAAGTAAAAATGGAAATTCACAATGATATTCAGGCTAATCCACACCCACCATACCTCGTTCTACTCTGGCTGTCTAAGAAAAGCCTACACTAAATGTGCTGAAGTGAGAGGAGGCAGGATGAAAAAAGTGTAATTCCTCGGGTTCGGTCCTTATCGGCACATTGTGCACGGCAACCATGTCACGCAATGCTGCAGTTAAATGTGCGGGGTGAGGTGGCACACAAACAGTGAACGAATACTGTAGTTTAGACAGTCTATTTACAAAGTGTGTTAATTACAACCATGCTCAAAAACTTGAGGGGTTCAGCTTTCTACAGTTTAGCTCATGATTTATTAAGACCACTTATGCAAATCGAGTCAATTGCAATTTTCCAATTAGAATACCTGAGGCGCATCCATAGTCCCACATGCCACAGCAGAGCTCTCAAAACAACAGACGATGCAGATGACGGAGAAAGCTGCAGCTGTGCCAGAGGCCAGGAGATCACCAGCTGCCAGAAGTTTTAGAAACAGGTATGTAGCTTGATCCAAGTTTCCAGATCGCTTTGTTTGGTTCGTCAAGCTGTGATAATGGGATGTGTCTTGGCAATCTATTAGTTATTTTAATCTCATCGTCTGACATTTGGAATAAACATACTCTGCATAATTATGCACATTTTCGTTTAGTAAATCCACAGGGGTGATCCAATAATCTCTATTTTTCACCCTGCCGCTGTCACTAAACCAAATGCATGTTGTTGGGCCTGCTAAAAGCTTCGTGCCAGGTATCTGACTCATTTACACACCAGCGGGTTAGCAGCTCAGAAATAGTTTCTTCAAGCATCCACCTCCTGCACCGAAAACCCCCTCGATCATTCAGCGTATACGGTCGTAGGTTTGCACCAACCTGAACCAGTCCGGTGAGGTGCTCCAGCACGCCCTCCATAGGGAGCTGCAGAAGGTGGTTGTTTCTTAGATTGAGTCGAGCCAGGTTAACGCCAGCAAACACGCCGAGAGGGAGGCTCCGTAGCAGGTTGGCGTTGAGGAACAACAGCTGGAGAGTTGGCATGGAGTCGAAGGTCCCGGGATTTACCTCATGGATCTCGTTGTACTCAAAGTAAAGGTACCTAAAGTGAGGAGAGGACAAGTTGCAATGTCTCTGTAAATGGGACGTGGTTATGTTAGAGGAAACTATCACTGCATCTCAGTACTTAGTGATATCTGACAGTAAAGATATAGAAACCATAATAACATTAAATAATCTTTGTCTTAACTTTGTATGAAGTCATATTTCCTGATTGGAGCACAGTGCAAATTTCCACATCTTCAAATCGGTTTATTTTGAAGTATAATTTACCTCTGCTGCGCCCCAGCATGAAAATAACATAAATTAATATTTATGTAAAGAAGTCACAACAGAAACTTGATTTAATCTGGCCTTTTCACAGCTGATTAGCTAATCAGTGTTAAATTAAATTGTGTTATTTTGTACTGAGGACTTGTTAAACTTGCCTTGGCATGCCCGATCATCATGACAAATTCCCGACATTTAGAATTTTACGTTTTCTTTTCTCAATAATAGAAATCAATGTGAAGAATGATTTATGATGGAGACTTTTCTTTCTAGTGATCCAATGTACGACCATTGGCTGTAATAAGTAATAGATCTGGTTTAAATGACTTACTGCTCGCTTGCCCTAGAGTCACTAACAAGGCTAACGAGAGGTCAAGAGGAAGACTTTTTCATCGCCCTGAGAGGATCTTTATTATTGATTAATAGTCAAATTAATGGGTCTGATGATGTTCTGAACCTTATCTTGAAATATACAGACAGTGGAGCTGAAAGGCTGAATGATGTTCTGAATGGCAGAAACCCTCTCATTTATATAGCAGAGGATGAAATATGTTGTCTTAATCAAACACCACCATGTTTAGCTCACTGAATGAATACAATTAATTGACTGTATAGGCATTCGCTGTATATATTATTTGCAGAGGAATTATCTTTGTAAGCGTAATCTGACAATGATACATATGCATCATTCTGACAACTCGTTTTCATAATAAGCTCTTTTTCAAAAAAGCAAATTCCTGACAACATCCAGGCCCCTTATTAACATCTCTGTATGTAAATACAACAAAAAGAGATTCATTTTCACGTTGTCACTCATACCAGGCTCACACTTCAACTGAAGCATGTCATCAGGCAGCGTGACTAACAAATGGCACTACTGGAAGAGAATGGGCACCTTTTCATTTCAATCAAATTCCGGCATAATGGTAATCAAAATGTTCTGCTCAGTGCTATGCCAGTATTACAGGGAAATTAATTTCCACATACTTTTAAACAAAAGCCTCAATACCAAAGCTGACAAGTGGTTTTAGTTTATACATTTGTTTGAAATGCGGTGAAGGCAACGTGCTTGAAACGCTGTGAGTGACAAAAAAAAAATTAATAATAAAAAAGAAAAGAAATCTACCCTACCTCAGATTTTGCAGCCCCAGGAACATGTGGGGACTGAGCCTCTCCAGGTTGTTCCCGTTCAAGTAGAGGCTCCTCAGGCTTGTGAGGCTGGTGAAGGCCCCCTCCTGGAGGTACGAGATGCGGTTGTTCCCCAGGTGAAGCAGGTCAAGGCTGGAGAAATTCCAGAAGTCTGTGCTGTAGATCCTCTGGATTAAGTTTCCACTCAGGTACAGCTTGCGGCCGTTGAGGGGCCGAGGTGTGAGCTGGGACACATTGAGGAAGCCGTTCTCCTTGCAGTTGACGGTCAGGCCCAGGTCTGTGATGTGCAGGTTGCAAGTGCAGCCCAGGGGGCAAATTATGGGGATAGGGGGACGCGTTTGGTAGCCGGCCACAGGGGGATTCTGGTTGGGCATCAGACTGCGAGGTGTGGGAGATATTCTGGATGGTCGTGGCCTTTTAGTCGGCCTCAGTTGCCTCTCCCTGTCTTTACGTTCTGCCGAGGAAGAGGACGAAGAAGTGGAGGAGGTGTGAGTGTTCTGGCGGGAGCCGTGAACCATGGAGGAGGGTTTAGTCGGCCTGACTCGCCCAGGGTGGGAGTTGGGTTTAGAGTTTGGGGGCAAATGTTGGGGCTGTGATCCTGCTGATGGACCACCACCACCCTCTGCTTGAAGCTCTTTATCCGGGAGGTTAGCACACAGCTCCTTGCGGGGAATTTCCCTCAGATCCTTGCCGTGAAGGTGGAAGGGATATTCGCAGGTAACGTCCCCGACTACAGCCGTGTAGGGGATCTGACCCAGCCACTGCTGTAACTGCACTGCCTCGCAGCCACAGTTCCAGGGATTCTCCTCCAGCTGTAGCTCCATTAGGGAACGACCAACATACTCCAGGGTCCCAGCATATGCCAGGCTCTTCAGACGGTTTCCCCGCAGGTCCAGATGAGTCAGAGACACAGATCTGGAGCAGGAAGAGGAGGGGGATAGTTAGCTAGGTTAGATGAAAGGACAATGTGATAGTACATACAAATAAAGGTTCACACATTCCATTGCTGATGAATCTGCTTTTATCTGATGATTAATCCGTCTTTTATGATATGAAATAGAATGCTACGGAAACATTAATTCAACACTAGTACACACTGGCTAATTGTGTCTGACACTGATATTTCTACCGATCAGTCTTTGCATAATTTAAAAGCTTTGCAGTGAAATAATCTGAATCCAACCTGAACAGATGAGCAGGCAAGACAGGGATCAGGTTGTCGTTGAGGATGAGAACCCGGAGCTTGTAGAGGAACCTCAGAGCACCGCTGTCGATTCGTTTGATCACGTTGTAGTCAGCCTGCAGGGGAAGAAGGGAAAATGTGATGAACATGTAATTACTGCGATTGAAAAATAAGACTGAATGCAGCAGGAAAGCTGAGGCACTCTCCATTTGAAAAAATGCACAGAGAACTTGAGAAGATTCCTTCACTTCCAGCCACCTGCTTGCCATTGACTATTTCTGTCACATTCACTGATTGTAATCTTGGGGAAAATGGGTCAATGATAGTTAATCAACGTAGATCATCTTCCCAAACCTACCTGGAGGTATTCCAGAGCCTCTAAGCCAGCAAAGGTGTCATTTTTGAAGACGTCCAGCTTGTTCTCGTGGAGGTACAGGCGTCTGAGTTTGGCCAACCCGTTGAAAGCTCCCACTCTGATGTCCTGGAGTGCATTGTTGCCAAGGTTTATCGACACTGCGTTGCCAAGGTGCTGAAACCCGTTGCTATAGAGACGCCTCAGAGAGTTCCTCTGTAGGTTGAGTTTGAAAGGGCGGACCCATGACTGTGACACCTGAATGATTAATTAGAGGTCTGATTAGTTATCTTATTAATTACATGAATTTAACAGTTAGAGACACCTATAAGCCACATTAGAGACGGGAAATTAGACTTGGAGATAGAGTTTGTTAATGAGATAAATGTTAAAGTGCAGAGCAGTTCCACGTGCGTTGACAGATAGAGGAACAGGGATGCTACCTGGCTGACATTAGTGAAGCTCCGCCCATCGCAGTGCACGTGCAGGACGCCTTCTTTGACCTCGCACGTGCACGGCTCGAAGCACGGCTCGTCCACTTCCTCCTTGGAGTTGTCCACTAGAGGGGTGTGTGTGGAGGTGGGGGTAGGGGTGGGGGTGTGCGACGCCCGGGACAGACACACACACCCCAGGGCCACTGCCAGAGTGACCCACTGCATCCTCCTGCTTCTCCCTCTCAGCTCAGCAGCCTGGGGCTACAGCCCGGCATCGGCCCTTCACCGCACTGCGCGGAGAGGCACGGCACATACGGTACATGCATACAGTCACACAAGCACACACACACACACACACACACACACACAGACACATACACACAGGCACACACACACACTATTAAAAGAGGGCAAACAGCCAGGGAGGCAACAGCAAAAGTCAGTTCAGGATGAATCAAATTGATGATACATCACAAGCATACTAAAGCAGTCAGAAAATAAAAGTTAAATCACACAGACTGCAGCGCCACGGGGAAAGGATTACATTACACTGGAATAATGATGTATAGGCCAACTGGAGGCCACAGTATATGCAGTGATATGAGCAGAACCATGGTAAACATATGTAGGATGCATCCAGCACAGGAAAACAAGGCTTTGGATTTACAGGGTTCACAAAAGCAGGGAATATTGATTTAAAAACAACGTGATGAACAGTAGCTCGGCAGCTACGTCGCTTTTGAATTATTGAAATACTGACATTGAAAATGCAAAACAAAGGCAAACACGTGGGCTAGTTCACCTGTGAATCACATTTTATAATTTGCAGAGTGGCTTTTTGGATTGGACAAGTGTGTGTGTGTGTGTGTGTGTGTGTGTGTGTGTGTGTGTGTGTGTGTGTGTGTGGGGGGGGGGCTTGTGATGAATATATTCATCGGTACTCTCAAATGCCCGGTGAAGCTGAAATGTCACGCATGTGTTTTCTTAATGTATGCAATAAGAATATGGGCCGATGCAAATCAAACTCATAATGCTTCTGTCTAATGAACTGCTCCATTTAATAAGATGAATGGCAATCAGACAACAGAGGGATGCGGCACGAAAAACAAAACATATAATCAATCAGCAGAATATGTTAGATTATCAACAGCCATCGAGTCCTGTCATAAACATTATTGTGGTTAATGACATTGGAGTGAAAGCATCGCTGCAAATCCAAACTCCTCAAAATGTTCAAAAGGGCTGATGTGAAGGCAGCGCGATGACAGACAGGAACATGAACTGATGATGAGGGTGATGGTGATGGTGGGGATGATGAGGATGGCACAGCTATCACAACAGATTGAGAACAGAGTTGCAGCAGCCCTTGAAACAAATGAAAAAACAAAAACAAAAAAAACAGCTGAGATGTGAGTCTTGCGAGGGGATATTTCCTCTCAAGTCTTAATGAGATCTAAATTGGATGAAGCATCTCGATCTGCTCGTATAGTGTTGAACACTGCCATGCGAAATGCAATAATGATCATCATGGCATGGTAGCTGTAATCATACAGCAATAATCTAGCATCAGCGAGTTAGACAAGGAGGCAGCGGTGAAAACATCACCGCCCGGGAGAGGAAGAGCAATCACAGAGATGATTATGACGGGGAGAGATGAAGGGAAAGGTGGAAGTGAGAGCAGGAGGAGGAGGAGGAGGAAAATGGGAATGAGAATGTGAAGGAATGGCGCAAAGGAGAGACAGACAGATAAAGGAAGAGTAATGGGCAAAGTGAAGGTGCAAAGGATGAGGGAAAGGGTGAGGTGGGTGAGAGGAGTGGGATTGCATAAGCAGTAGAAGTCAGTCAAGGCTGCCACTCAGGACGAGAGCTTTCAGTGAACCAGCTGAAATATGATATTGATTACATCAAAGCCATCCTCTCGCCCTGCACACAGTGTATGCCTGCATCGCTGAGAAACAGCGCCAGAGCCAAGTTACATGTGTGTGTGTGTGTGTGTGTGTGTGTGTGTGTTGAAAACAATGTGAGAAAGGTCAAACCATATCCAAAAAAAGGTGTGCTTTCCTTGCCAAGTGCGGAACCAGGTAACGTGTGGATGAGTGTGTGCTTTCATAACAATGCTGCAATACTGCTGGACAATCCTACAACAAAAACACAAGGATAAGGAAGGAAAAGCATGTTTTTTTCCTCGTAATGTGAGGACAATCCACCCATTTGGACCATGTAGACTTCACACATGAAAAAGAATCTAGGCCAACATGGTCAATAGTGTTTGACAAATTGGAATACTATACATAATACAACCCATTCACAGTCACAGTAGGTCTTTGTATTCGTCAAAACAAAATGCTTATTGCTGGGCCCGAAGCTCATAGGGAGGAGATCAATACTGAGTCCAGATAGACCACTGGGATCCCTCCTGTTATATTTTGCTTTGGTGGATGGCCATCTCTCCTTAACGAGAAGAAACACAGTCCACACTCAAGCCGCTTTCTTCAATCAGCCGAGTGGACTAGTCAGCAGTCGGCACAGCTCTGCATCATTATGGTAACAAGAAAGGAAAGGACTTATGTGTTGAGTGATGACAGCACAGCACAATTCAAAACTCTGTCCGTCTGTCTGTCTGTCTGTCATGTCCATCTGAAAACAGGCCTGACAGGTGTGGCTTTCCCTCCCTATCTCTCTTGAGTCTCTCTGACTCTTGAGTTGTTTTTTGTTTTTTTTACTCTCCTCTCTCCTCTAGACCTGCACACTGACGCAAGCGGACCAGAGATGACGGTCACTGCTTATTCCTCACCATTTTATTCATGTCACATAATTCCAGTGTCTACCTCTCCGTCCTCTCTGTCCGTCAGAACACACAGAGCCTCACCGAGCTTCCCACTGGCTTTTACATGGGCCCCTGCTCCCAACACAGACCCGCACTATCAGACGAGCAGCAGCATCACAGATTAAATGTATGGGGCTATCAGCCTGGATAACCCACAGCCCTCCAAGAAAATCAATTAGCCCCCAACATTACAGCACACACATTGTAATAGTTTGCAGAATTGAAGCATGACCAATTAAACAGCAGAGTCATTAACAGAACCTATTAAGACATTTACCAGGCTATGTATGAAAATCCTTGGCAGAGTAACGCATTCCAATTGCATTCCCCATTGTCTGTGTCTCCCCACCAGCCTCTCTGATCCACACAGCGACGCTTAGCAGAGCAGGGATGCGGGTAATACTCACTCAGTCCGCCGCCAAAGAATTAGGGAACGACCGAGAAAACACTTTAGAGGCTGACTGTCGACATGTCGTTCACATTCAGCCGCACTCCTCTCCCTCTCTCTCCTCTCCTGTAGCGGCTCAGGCGGATGGGGAGGGAGGGAGGGGAGGGGGGACCAGAGCAGGGGGGGTGGTGGTGGGTGGGGGGGGGACGACGTGATAAGACTGCAATGAGGTGGAGGATAAAAACCGGGAGAGAGAGAGAGAGAAAAAGAGAAGAAAAAAAAACGATTGGCTTTAGGATGCAGGTCCGCTTCTCCGCTGTGCAGCCCGTGGGAGCTGCGGCACTAGACCGCTGGACAGGCGTGCAATGCGCGGAGTTGTAGCCTGCGTGGCGATGGAGAATCCTCTCTTCATCTCAAACACAACTGGGTAATTCATAGAGGAGAAAAAGGGGGGACAGACGGGGCTGGAATTAATCATGCAATAAGGCGGCGCGCAACTGCTAGTTTGTATATGAGGCATAAAGCGCGCAGGGTGGGTTCCTCCTCACCAGCGGAGCCAGCTCACTTCCTCAACATAAACAGATTACAGAAGACACAACAGAGTCACAGACAATGGGCCGCATAAACTTTCTCCTCACGTTGCCCGCGTGTGCAGTCTGGTAAAAATACCCCGACTGTTCAGCTATACCGACAATAATTTATAATCTCATTAGTTTATTCATCTCCCCTCTTGCCCTTAAGCGCCGACGGATTTCGTGAAACCGGTGTGTGTTACCATGGCGACTCGTGCCAGCTGGCTTCGTCGCGCACATACACACGCGCCCGAGCTGGCAAGCACGCGCTCGGCATCAGTCTTGAAAACTGTGGTGACTTTTATGGGGAGATTACAGGGAGGCCTGGATGTTTGCGCGGCCTACATCAAAACACCTGTCTTGCCAAATGGAGGCGGTGGGCGCAACAGATGGTGCGGAGACTGCAGAGCAATGAAGCCCCCCCCCCCACCAACGTTGAATTTAGCTTCCTACTCCGGCTAACCACAGCCCGGTATGGTGGCTGCTGCTCTATCAATAGCTGCAGACTCTTTAAGTGGCAGCATGGCAGGTATAGGCCCCTTGTGAAGCCCAGGGTCCCAAGTGGACCAATGGCACTCCATCAGGGACACCGTGGTGCCACATTGTTGAAAACAGGCATTCAGAAGCATTCAAATATCAGTCAGCCGGTTTCATGGCTATAGGAAAAGATTTAATAACAACATGTCTTCCACATTACTGAGCTGAAAGTTCAATTTTCAGTTCAATTTCACATTGATTTCAGCGTGCATTAAGGTGAATCACCTTGAGGAAATGGAGAGGTGCATCTCTGCCTCACACACACTCTCCTTCCTCTCTCACTCTCCCATACCTCTCCCTACAGCAGTGGAGGGGAAAGCTCTCCCTGGAGATTCCTATCTGAAACAGTAACAGAGACGGTTCCAGTAATATCAGGAAGATGTAGATGATGGTTATAGATTTCAGGGCTCTCAGGTGCATTAGGCTGCATTACAGCTTCCCCACAAGGCTACTTAATGCTCACTTGCAATGGAAACAGGCTGGCTGATGCCAGGCATGTATGCACAGCCACATGCATTTGTGGAGATTGCTAACAGACGCATGCACACATTTAAGTCGTCTTTAAGATGCAGGGCTGCAGCTGATGTAGTATATAAATAAGGTTTTGCCACTGAGATATTGTTTCCAGCTCTGTGATTGGTGATGCCAGATCAGTGGCAGGGGTAATGTGATCCCAGACCTGAGGCTGTATCTTCTCCTTCAGAGTGTAACGATGCCCGTGACGGACAATGTGGGAGAAAAGCACTCGCTTTCCTCACCGTAGTGTTGTCGTTGAACCGTGGAGGCTCCCTAAATTAAGAAAACAAACGGAGAGGAACTGAGAGAAGATGGTTATCAGGCACCATCAGATACCTGCACGTCTGTTCTCTATGGGCAGGAGCCGCTCTGAGCACATAAAGCACTTTTTTGGAGCGTTGACGGCGCCTCTAAAGTAGGGGATCTATTTATACTGGCCTAGTGCTGTCTGTGGAGCTGTCCAGTGCTGAAATGGATGGGGATTCATGCTGTTTCCCTTCAGCCACTTCTCCTTTCTTCCTCCTCCGCTTTCTCTCTCTCCAAAGCCTTTTTCTTTCTCTCATCTGAATTATTTCTGTCAGATCACACTTAGAGTTCTTCTATATCACTCCCCTTTTTTTCCCTTTCTCCCAACCCTTCTCGCTCCCTTTCTTCCCTCTTTACTTTCTTACTTTGATTCTCCTGTGGGCTCTTGTCAATTCAGACTGGTTTACACACCATTCTCTCTTTGATTTTTTCCCTTTTGTTTTCCTCCCCCTGCTCACTCCCTCCTTCTCTTCCACTTTGGACACATTGCAGGAAGTGGTCAGGCCCGTATTTGCAGCTCTCTCCAATTATGCTCTTGTTCCCAAGATATCCACCGGGACGGCCTTGCATGCGTGATTGCACACACACTCAAGACTTGAGGACAAGCAGGCACACTGACAAGGGTAAGAACGTGGCTTATTCTTCTCCCATGCCGATCCGTGGGTCAGAAAAGCTCCTTAAAGCTACATGCTTTTCACATAATGTTGCCCTGTCCCTTCACAAGTGTTTTGGTTTCTTTGAGGCCCGCGCCTCTAGGTCTCTAGTTGCTCAGTGGGATGAGGCAATCAGAAAAGCAGGCAAGGGCATCCTACACTCTGTGGGAAAGAGAATAAAGCAAGTGGAAAAGATCAGGGAAGAGAGGGATGTAGAGAGGAAAAGGAAAATAACAGTTGTAGGAAAGAGTTAAAGGGAGACAATGAGCAGTGGGAATTTGGAGGTTTGTGAGGGGCTAGGTGGTGAAGGGAGAGGGGATAGGGGCCAACAGATAGAGGGGGCTAGATATGTGGGTGGATGGGGAGGAGAATGGCCAGGAGGGCAGGTGGTTCTGTCATTAGCTCCAGATTAAAGTAGAGGGCAGCTACAGAGGACTCACCTCTGATTCACACAGAAGTACTGCAGGCAAGGACAAGCCTCCTGGGAGACATGAAACACATGAGCACACATGAGCACACATGCTGGAAACACAGTAGTGATTCACGGGATTACCCACAGGCTCACAAACACACACACATAAACACACACACACACACACACACACGCGTATTGGCATATAACACCCCCTCCTCATTTACCATAACTACACACAAGATACACCGTGACTCACAAGAACATGCCGACTCCCACACACATGCCACATACAGAGAGCCATGCAAAACATACACACACACACACACACACACACACACACACACACACAAACATATGCACACCGTAGAGCTAATTAATCAAATCTCCCGTTTTAATTAGGATTCAAATCAGTTGCTGTGGGAACCTTGGCCCCTTGGAATCTCAAGGTAAAGACTCGTTGCTGCTGCCTCCAATGTCTCTCGAAGAAACTGACTGGGGGACAAATTCACAATACCTACAATGATTCAGCTGGCTGCATTCTACATGGCGTTTTCACACGGACATGTTTTTATTTCCTGGGGAGGCCTGGGGTGCCCAATCCGAACTTCAATTTGGGCTCGGTCATAGAGGGGGGCACAAAAGTGGGAAGAAATGTGGAATTATGATGGCTCACGTTGCAACAGCACTAATACAATGTACCTGACCATGAAAAGGCCATGTGTGTTGGCATTAAAGGGGAGGTATGGGATTTGCAGGGACCTGTCCAATCGATCACTAACACAAGACCTGCCATTCTGTTCTGAAAGTGTTCACGTGGCATGTAAAAGGCACTTTCACACAGTTCTAATAGGCTGCTTATCTTCGTTAATACCGCAGCCTTGCAATTTCAGCCGAGCAATGGCTCTGTACTCACACCAGGGCTGCTGCAGTACGACTGGTGGAAGAACTTTGCTCCGAAAACATCATTCATAGTGTTCTCACAAGGGCTCCATTAGTGATCAATAGGATATATTTGTGAGAATCCGCTCAGTACTTTCATTTTCTGTCTGACTCCTCAAGAGCAAGTCAGAGGAATCAATATTACACAATAACATTTCTGTTAATTTTAATCAGACTGAGGAAATATTTATTCAGTGACTAATGGAGCTCTATTTAAAGCAATGTGGAGGTTTAAATGTGGTAGACCCACCATCATCTTTAAATACGAGGCTGAGAAAGCTCAAACTGCAGTGGAAGCACGCCGCCTTCATCTGCACCGAGTGTCTTAATATTAGCTCAGGTGAAGACTGGACTTGATGAATTAAAGGAGGAGAGGATGCCAAGTAAAGCCATTAGGATACAGGAACTCAGGCGTGTGTCTGGCTCGCCAGTTGTCATGGTTGCGGTGTTTATCACCTCTTTCTGCCGACAGAAGCCCAGGGGCAAATCAGATTGGTTTCAGACAGAGAGACAGAGAGAGAGAGAGAGAGAGAGAGAGAGAGAGAGAGAGAGAGAGAGAGAGAGAGTTGGTGAGTGAGGGGGAGGACATATTGGCACAGTGGAGGGGTGAAATGCCAACACGCTGCAGAGGGGAGGCTGAGGAAGGGCATTGGACAAATGTCAATGTGGCTTATTTATGATAAGATTTAGTTTTTAACCGTTTGACTGGGATTTGATGTAGATTATATTACTTTAATTATGAGTTGATCATCAATCAATCAAATTTAGCAAACCCTTACTTTAAATGTATCTTTATGCTTACTGATCTGAGGTTCATCCAATTTGTGTTCTGCTTTTACTCAGCGGACGACAATAAATATATCAGGAGAATCATTAAAATTACAAATTCTTGACAGCCCTTAATAAAATTCTGTGATAAAATACAGACTGGTAATGGTAGGCCTTTAAGCATCTAAATCTCAGACCATTATCAAAAATCAGGTGTTAAATTTGCCCAACATCCCTCGTGGCCTATGTCTGCCCCCTAGCGGGCCCTAAACCAATCATCCCTGTTTGCAGCCTCGTACAGGTGCATTAGGAGATGTGGGTGGTACGATTTACATGGGGTACTGTGGCTGACAAGGCAATTCACATTCAATTCACTTCAGACCGGCTGTATTGGCTAAGGAGGTACAAAAAATGACATTTACTGGCTATGACAAGTGGTCGGTTGAACATCCTCAATCTAGCAGTCATAATCATAAACAGATGGCTAGCAGCTGCTGACTACATCCAGGTGGCAACATGCCGCTGTCCCTCTTCCTGCAGCTATCACCACTCCTGACTTGCACAGTGAGCGCGTGTTGGCACTCAAACCACGCCTCCTTTTTCGCTGAGAACCAATCAGAGGGCGGCATGTAGAAGCACTGAATCTTTTCAGCGAATCAGAGCGCTCCTTGTTGGGGAGCCGCTTGCATTCACACATGCTGAGGCCCTTCTGCTGTCAACAGGGAGGAAGGTATGGATACATTGTTGTCGCACCGGCTTCACGAAGTTCTTGTTGAAGTTTCCTTTCGGCTTTGCCTTTGAAACAGACTTTTAACCGAACCTTTTGAAGCTTATATTAAAGAATATTTGTAATATGCTGACATGAAGTTCTTCTTTTAGCCCCGTAGCGCACTTATGTTTATCTTTCTATGTATGTAAATTACTCTTCTTGGCAGTTTTTATTGTGGTTCTTGCCTGTGTTGCTGTTTGAGTCCTGCAGTTCATATGAGAGGTTCAGGGTTTAGGTTAGGGTGGTTTGGCTGAGTCGTGTTTTAGCTGACACCTAGTTGAATAGGGCGAAACCACCAGACAGCCTGTGTGAATAGCTTTATTGTGTGCGCTAGCGGTGTGTGTGTGTGTGTGAGAGAGTGAGAGAGTGTGTGACAGTTCGGGTTCAGACCTGTAGGCCTCTTCCACATAGGGGGGGGGGGTCTTGGTTAATCTGCGTTGTCTCTGTCCCATTGATTTCTGAGCTTTCGTTTTGCGATACTCTCCTGTCAGGGAGGGTATAAGTTCATCATAGCTCTGTTCAGGCTGACGCGGTGTGTTGCCGTGCTGACCGGTAAATTAGCGGTGACAGCGACCTGTCCTGTTGTTTACGGTCGCGCCTTGCTGTCAGCCCCCAGTGCCAAAGCCTCATCATCTGTGCCGAGGATGCCGCAGACAAACAAATCCAGAAACGCCCCAGCGTCCGAGTCCTCGGGCTCGGTCCAAGGTGGAGCCTCTGCAGAAGATGCAGACCCGGTGTCCCGGGAGGAGTGCCAGGCATCAGGGGACGGAGAGGACAATGTTGGAGACAGCGCGATCATCAAGTCCCCCAGTGACCCCAAACAGTACAGGTAAATCCATATTCAAGCTACACGTGGCCATTCTCCTGAATATTTATATTATGCATTGCATTGTAGCCCTGCTACATGATATATCTCCTCTATTTCGTACTTTATTTTCAGTCACTATTATTTGTATGATTGTTCGTGCAATAATACACATGGAAGTATACTATCTTCTCATATTCATGAATGTGAAAAATGACCCAGATCCACTAACCCAGATCCCAAAACGATATAGCGCCTCTCTTCCAGCTGGATCAGTACAGTTTTATTGTAGTTGGATGGGACGATTTCATGCTATGAGCACACATCAGTGCCTCAGGCCTCTTTGGGGCAAACACAGATACATTTGCTGTGGAAAAAGCATAGAAAAAAAGGATTCTCACAGGGTATGAGATGCAGTCTGCAAAAAGACATCTGATTTAACCGCCTGTTCAGGAATACAAAAAAACAAAATCAAACGACGAATGCTGTAAAGAGCACACAGAGCTCTTTCACCTTTTTGACTTGTATCCCTCCAGACACATCGTGCTGGACAACGGCCTGCGAGCTCTGCTCATCTCAGATTACAGCGGTCCAGCTGCGTCTGAAGACGAGGACTCGGGTGGAGAGGAGGAAGGCGAGGAGGAAGAAGAGGGCGATGAATCTGGAGAAGAAACTGAGGATGAGTCTGAGGAGGAGGGCGATGATGATGACGACGGGATGGGCAGTGATGATGAAGATGATGACGAGGGGAAAAAGAAAAAAAATGCAGAGAAACAGGTACCGACGGGAAGTGTTTAATATAGGGCACCATTCAATTATTTGCAGACTAGACGACAAACGTGAGTCATTTTGAAACCAAAGAAATTTGCGTTCAAATAAGATGTGCAGATTTATGCAAGAGAGTTGTCAGCATAAACTAAACTATTTATAGTATTGTTAAATACACAAACTTTTTTTAACCACAGAACTACCTTAAACTTCCACACAGACAGAGCTCGAGCTACTTAAAATATGTATTTTTGTCATTATCAACAAATACAATGGAAAGAACAAAACCATTGATGTATGTGTTAGTTAGTTTTATTTGGTGCAAGTATTCACAGTAGCAGGACAGTGTATTTGGGAATAACTGAAAATAAACTACAGTTCCCTGTTCATGGACAGTGCAATGGTTTTGCTCATCCATGCAGTTTTAATAATATTTAATCAACAACAAAGGCCTATGGCACAGAGGAGTAATCTATAACAGGCTGTAGTATTACTATAATTATATTTTGTGTGTGTGTATCAGTGTGCAGCAGCGCTGTGTGTTGGAGTGGGGAGCTTCAGCGACCCAAGTGACCTCCCCGGCCTCGCTCACTTTCTGGAGCACAGTGAGTATTCAACCAGAGAGGGTTAAGTCATGAAAATTTAAATACTCAACTTTGCTTGGTCAAGGGTCAATTTGCCCTCGAATTCAGTACTCTTACATTGCTTTCTATCGCCTGTATCAAGTCAAGTGAGTTTTATTTATATAGGCTGTTCGACATACGATACTCGTATATACTTGGACTCTTTGACAAGAACGAAACTCTACTTTAAAGGAGCTTTATTTTACATTCTAAACATCAGTATAGCAGCAAACAACTGTTTGCTATGTAAAGTGATATAGTGGAGTAATGTCTACCTGAGCAGAGAGTGAAGTCGCTCTCCCTCCGTGTGTGTTGAGCTTCTCCTTGCTTTGTTTGACGGCCTGCTGCGCGTGCTTTTAGTGCATGTTCGTGCCTGTGATCGTGCCCCGCTGGTAAACTCGGGGATGGTGCTCTTTGCTGCTCTCATACGGCAGTTACAGCTGATAAAGCCATGCCGGCCGTCAACATCGACATGTTGAGAAGCAATCGAAACGCTCCCAATCTTAGACCTTGCAACTTTAATGTGGGGGGGGGGAGAGAAACCTCAGGAAGAGCAGCCATATTTAATGCATTCCAGGAGTTGTTTTGTTATTTTAAATTATTCAGTGTACCCTCTTTTCCTTAACCTGTTTTGTCTACTTCAGTTAATAATCACTGACGTTTCCCAGAATACCCTCCACCAAAGAATGGTTTGGAACTTAAGTTTTTAAGCGTAAAGTTTTTTTTTTTCCAGTTCAAAAAAAGCAAGAGTTGCTCTCTTTTCTTGAAATGCCACGTATTATTTTGAATTGCATTCCAGTCTTCTGATGCTACTGTCGGTGGAGAAATTGTTAAATCCGTGTCTTCTAACGATGTAGGTGATCCGTTTGAAAATAATAGTTTATCTATTCTTTCAGACTGTCATCAAAACTGTCGCAAAATGTTAAAAACACTATCAAGTTCCAATGCGGCTCAGCGGGAAATATAACGCCATGTCTGTTTGGCCAGCTTCCCACTTAAATAAGAAAAAAACACAAATGCAAGGCACATCACCAAGCTGTGGTGGATTCTTTTTCTTTAAATTCCTTTTATTTTTTGATTTACAACTCTTCTCACCCCCACCCCCCTACTGTTTTTCCATTGTGTCCCAGTGGTGTTCATGGGCAGTGAGAAGTACCCCTCGGAAAATGGCTTTGATGCTTTCCTCAAGAAGCATGGTGGGAGCGACAACGCCTCCACCGACTGCGAGAGGACCATCTTCCAGTTTGACGTCCAGAGGAAAAGCTTCAAAGAGGCTCTTGACAGGTGAGGGAGGATCTGAGGGTTTTCTGTTGTTTGCGGAGCAGTCACTCTTAAGAAGTGGACTTCTTGAGAACCATCTGATCATTTTCAGATAAACACAAAACACAGGAATAAGAAAAGGACGAAGTAAACTCCAAAAAAACACTTTAAGACATTTTAAAACCAAACCAACTAAAAGATGATGTCTCTTTGGAAACTTTGGGACTCTTCCTGGTATTGTTATACATACAGAGAAAACATGCTATCCTGTTTTGAACCTTTACTCTGTCGTTCATCAACAGACCAGGTCAGGATTGAGATGCACCAGCTTTTCGTTTATTCACTAATACGTTTCTGTTTAACATCCTTCCTAAGTTTTCTTGCAAAGGTTTTTTCTTTTCTTTAAATCACACATAATTGCGTGCTTTATTTTGACACCTGTTAACCAACATAGTGCTCCCACTTGATAGCTGTGATTTTCCTGTGCCAAAGTTTGAGACCCCATGTATGGGGGAAGCATTTTTGCCAATACCCAACAACATAAAGTATCACTAAAGAGATGTCTCACAATCTGATCAGTCATAGGATATAATGTAACACGGGCTTCTGACGTAAACTAACAGACTCGGGCAAAGAGTAGAGGCTCAAATCAGCTGCCTTCCATCCTGCTGTTGTCTGTATCAGTCTCCATCTGATTGTGTCTGTCTGACCTGTGTCCTTTCTCTCTGACTGGTATATGGCCCCTGATTATAGCCTCTTTGTCCCCTCAACCTCTCAGGTGGGCTCAGTTCTTCATCTGCCCTCTGATGATCCGTGACGCCATTGATCGAGAGGTGGAGGCCGTTGACAGCGGTGAGTCTGGGTGACTCCGTGCGTCATTCCTCTGTGCTGAGAAGTTAAAGTTCAGCTGTTGTGCTTGTAGTTAAACTCTTACACACGGCTCTTTTGCGCACCATTGATTAATGTTTTTCTCCGCTGCATCAAGGTTTTTTTTTCTGCCTCTCCTTCTGTCCATCAGAGTACCAGCTGGCTAAGCCGTCGGACTCCCACAGGAAAGAGATGCTGTTTGGAAGTTTGGCCAAACCTGGACACCCCATGGGCAAGTTCTGCTGGGGTGAGTTGGTAAACACAACCGCTGGGACACATAATACACACAGGGCCTCCTTGGGGTATGTTCGGCAATAACAAACAGGAGTGCTGAGACCGACGCCAAGTTTCCTTTCTTGCTGATATCCCTCCATTTGTAAACCGTTCCTTTTTACAGTGTTTTATAGTTCTGCTGAATTGATTGCTTACTTGTGACAACACCAGGGAACGCGCAGACACTAAAGCACGAGCCAAAGAAGAAGAAGATCAATGTCTATAAGCGACTGCGTGCCTTCTGGAAGAAACATTACTCTGCCCACTACATGACTCTGGCTGTGCAGTCAAAAGGTCAGGAAAATGTATTCCATTTATTATACATAAAGAACCAGCCTTACTAATAGATTGACATAAATTGAATTGTTTTCAATCATTTCATACAACGGATTAATGAATTGAAAAAGCAATCTGTAGATTAATGCACAATTAAAACATAATTACTCTCAGCTCTAATAAGGATTCATCCATGTTCAGCCGACTGTGGTTAATCATTCCTGAATCAACTCAAATTGAAATAATTTCAGTCAGACACAGAATATATAACGCGTGTTGTCAGGGTTTCACAGAAAATATCAGCCAACTAATTAACTACTGCATGAAGGTAAAATAATGACTAGTGTTGACATTCGTGCTGAGAAAAATCATCCTCTGAAACGGGTGACTTCCTGTTGAAACCTCTAGTGCTATTTAAAGCACCTCGAAAATCATCTCCTGCAAAGTGATGCGAAGGTGTCATGATGATTTCTGGATCCATTGGAAAGACAAAGATTATATATAGTATACTAAGGAAATGTGAAAACTGAAATTTGTCTCCCGACATGAGATTTGAGGCATGAGCTGGAAACAATCCTAATGAGAACGATGAGTAAAATGAACCACAACAGTAAAGTTGCGATCATTAGAAATTGTTTTTATAGCAGCTTTAAGTTATTATTTCTAAGATTTTGGTCCGGGCTGTTCCATGTAAATGTCACGAGTATGTATTTCTAGAGGCAGACAAATTCTCCTCGCGCAGGTTCTGGTGTCAGAAATGCTGAAGAAGAGCAGCTTCTGTATCCATTTACAGCACAGCTAAACAAACTGGGCTGAAAGGGCTCACTGAGTTGCATTGTTTTATTAAAGAATAAAGTCAATAATTGGCCTTTTTCCATCATGCTGTGAGCCTTCGATCACAATCTGATCTCATGCTGCGCGCAGGGTGGGAGTGTTTTTCCTCAGGCACAGATTGCCTGCAGAAAGAGGAGTGTCTTACATGAGACGGATCCCAACTTTATATTTATACTAGTGATACTGTCATTATCGGTATCCTGTGGGAGAGCGCTCAGTAAACAGGGAGGCTTTTATAATGAAAAAAACATGCATGCCTTCCTTTTATGAATCCCTTGTGTGTGTAATTTGAATCCCACACAGGAAAGAGAGCCGGTTACAATGAAACAACTGTATAGAATTACAGAATATAAATAGATTGAATTACAGAATTTAATGTAATTCATTGAATGGTTATTGCAGGCACAATGCTGACCATGAATATAATCCAAATGTGTGTAAATAAAAAAGGACTGGAACCTCCTATTACTTCTAGTATCACTTGGTTAGAAACACAGAAAGTGGTGACTTTTCATTTATTTGTTGACCTCAATTATACTATTAATCTATAATGATGAAACGGTTTGAAACAAAACCGTTCACGGATTGGGTATTTATGGGCTAAATGTAGTCAACAGTGTTTGCTTTTGAACAAACAAACTGCATTTCACTGAAGACTCCCAAACCCAGAATTATGAGATTTCAGCCAGAAATATTGAGACGCACAAGAACTCTAATTAATCCTTCTTCACTCGGCCTGTCCTTTTAGAGAAGCTCGACACTCTGGAGAAGTGGGTGAGAGAGATCTTCAGCAAGGTGCCTAACAAGTGAGTATTGGAGAAGAGGCTCTCGGTCACAGTGATGAGGTGCTGGTGCGATATAGATTGAGCCTGAAGATCCTTTGAGACTTTGCTCAGATGTAAATGTCAAGCCTTCCTCTGTCTCGCTCGCGGCTCTTTTTTTTTTTTTTTACCTCGCTTCACCTCATCCCCCCCCACTCCTGAAAGAGATAATTTTTTCCCTAAAGTCAAACTGGATTAGTGTTTTTCTTACAGAACTCCACTTGTATTTGCTTCATGAGTCCCTGCGGCAGGTTTCTCTTAGAGATTCGACATGCATATCACTGGGATGTGAAACATCATAATGCTTTCATTTCAGTTAAGGGATTACATGCTCCTGTATGTGTTGACGAATTTCTCTCATCCATTGGATTATGAAGTATTGTATATAGCCATAACTCCTTTTAGATCAATGAAATGTATTATTATCACTCTGAAAACATGTGATAAGTTAACAATTTGGAGTTTGGTAGGTGCTATTTCTGTGAAATTGTAAGTGCTAATTGGAAACGGTTATCTTTAAACTTATTCAATAAACTTTTTCAATTATCTCTCATTATAAATAGTCTGTGTAATTATTCTGAAACAAATGTGTTGTTTTCTTCAAAAATAGTACAAAAAAAGCATTATAGTGGGTTTAAAGCACGTTTAATGACGTATTGGCATTGTTGTTTTGATGGTTATCTTCTTCTCTCTTGTTTGCTATGATTCTGTTTTTGTGTCCACAGTGGTCTGTCCGAGCCAAATTTCTCTGATATGCTGGATCCTTTTGACACGCCAGCCTTTAACCAGCTCTACAGAGGTACGCATCAATCCCACGGCACAGCTCTAATTACTGAACACATCTGGTGTACTCTGCAGTAGTTCCCAACCTCTGAATGTCTCTTGAGAGGATCAGGAGATGGTTTAAGGGATAGTGATGCAGAAACATTTTTTTCTGCAATTCCGCTTATTTCTTTAAATTTTTTACAATTTTACCTTTTCAAGCTTTTGAATAGAGCAATCTGAAATAGAATTTAAAAAAAAAAAAAAAAAAAAAAGAAATCTGGTTGAACTGCTTTCAATGTGTGAACAAATGCAAATGAGATGTTGCAGGGTGTCATAGCGACTTGTTTTAATGGATCACAGGCCAAAAAGGTTGAGGAAATACAAACCAGTAGAAGTAAGCAGCAGTTGTGTTATCTTTCTATCGTGGTGTTTCTCTAACCGTCTGTCTGTGTGTTTGCAGTCGTCCCTGTGAGGAAAGTTCATGCTTTGAATATCACTTGGGCCCTCCCCCCTCAGGAGAAATACTACAGGTGAGCCACGTACAGTGGATATACAATATGTTCGGTACAGGGCACATAAATCCAGAACTACACAACCCACAGCAGACCATGTTTTCCTCTGACTTGGACTAAATTGCATCAAAAGTGTTGTTTTTTTCCATGTCGCTGTCGTCCTTCTCCAGAGTGATGCCTCTTCATATAAACAGACTCGGACCAGCCAAAAGATACAATGTTTGCCCTGATTTTAGAGGGATTGCATCAATGGTTTTTTTGTTTCTCCTTTTCATGTTCTTCCCGCCTCTCCTCAGAGTGAAGCCTCTCCACTACATCTCTTGGCTGATTGGCCATGAAGGCACAGGAAGCGTCCTCTCAGTGCTCAGGAAGAAGTGAGTGTTATTGCCTCTGTCTATTTGTTTTTCTGATTGAAGGGCACTCCAAAAACCCAATTAAAAGGTCTTCAATTTGCTTGGTATACATGAGCTTTTTCCAGCTCTGAGCACGACCCGAGTGTTCGAGCCCAATCTTCAAACTATACACTTTGCCAGCCCACTTGACAATGTGATTCATACATTCTCATCCCATCATGGATGTGGCTGTACACGAGTGTTTCAGCCTCTTGTTGCTAAGTGGCAAAGCGATGCGACAAACCCTCTGTAGTCCCACAATACCGAGAGCCCATCTAATAGTCCCTTTACCATCAGCACCACTTGGAGCGTTTGATAGAATATCTCTATTTACTGTGTGTGCTGTTTTCAATTGTTGATAAATGACAACAGTGAAATTTGAGTGTCCTCGGTTTGAATTCCCAGTCGAACCAAACTGCTGAGGCGGTAGAGTGGTTGTTTTTATTGAGTTCAGACAATCACAACATCGAGGGGCCGAGAGGCTTGTTTGAAATTGGGCCACTGTTGTCCCCCTTAAGTGAAATTAGGGATTGGTCTTTCTATACATGTGGCCATCACACAAACTGTGTGGAACACTACTGATCAGATGCATTCGAGTTTAGTTTGCGGGCTTTAGTGCATTTATTATACAACCGAATAAATATCTATACTGCTGGTTTCAGTTCATGTCGGTGCCGTATGAAAACGTTCAGAGATAAAACTCTCTTGGTGTGACGCATCACAGTCCACATCCTTTCTTCTTCTCTGGTAATGCAGTGCAGCCTTTTCAAAAACAACCGTTGCTGTTAAAGTGCATCATCATACCATGAGAACATGTCTTCATGCAGATAAAAGCAGACATGATGTGACGAGATACCCAGCTCTGCAAGTTGTTGCTCCTTTTCTCTAAATGAATGAAAGGCTGCCTGTAAGGCCGGGCCAATGCGTAACGGAATGAGAGAGCGTGTCATTTCTCCAATCTGGGATTTGTGAAGTGGTGCTGACTGCCTCAAAGGGACCACAACAGTGTTCGTTAAATTGTCTGCAATCAAGAAACTTGAAATTACATATTTTCTACTTCCTGCGCTGCTCACACTTCAACACAATGTGCATTCTCTTTCCAGTTCACGGCAGTGAAAGAATCTTCACCGGCTGTCCTGTTTTTATAATCCGTGTTACTGAATTGTTGTGTTTAGGTGCTGGGCCTTGGCTTTGTTCGGAGGCAACAGTGAAACTGGCTTTGACCAAAACACCACCTACTCCATCTTCTCCATCTCCATCACCCTCACTGATGAAGGTTTCCAAAACTTCTACGAGGTAAATAAAAAAAAATCTCTTTTTGACTCTTCTTCTCTTTAATATTCTTTCGTCCTCTGGATTCATGGAAACACCGCCGCTGTGGCCTGAGATGAGGAAGTCGGGCAAAAAAACGAGCAGCGGTTTACGCATTTATCTCCAGTTCACAGCGTATCATCCGAATCATTTGTTGTCGGATCATAGAGAATCATTCCGTGTAAGTTGTGGTACCCTGCATGGACGCAGCTGGCCTGTCTTGTTTTTCATGAATACAACAGGTGACTTCAAGGGAGCAATCTGTCTGTTTCCATGGCAATGTGTGTCTTAAACAGGGAGGCGGCTGGCAATCGTTCAACAGGAGACTTTTTCTAATGATTAATGAAAAGACAATTCAGTCAACAAACCTGCATTGATAAATGCTGCAACAGCCTTGAGGATGCCGTTTGATGAGAATGTCGGCCTCATTAAACAATATTTTCCAATGGTTTCTTTCTTAAATTTGCTTTTTTTTTCTTTTTAAATGTCAAAATAAAAATCTACGTTAGATTCACGAGATGTTCTTAAACTGCAGAAATGTTTAACCTTATTCGTGTTCTTCTTATGATGATGACTCCCTTTGTGCTTGTAAATTCAAACCGTGTGCCAGTTGATCCTAATTAGCAGGTAAACGCCCAATAAAATCCCCCATTTAAAAAGTGGGGAGACTGCAGGGCCGTGTGCGCACACAGAAGTTAAAAAAGAAAAACTGAGAATTAAGTCAAGAATGCCCAAACAAAAGTCTGAAGAGGGTAGAGCACCGGACTCCAAATGTTAAAAAAGAAAGCTTCAATAATACTAAAGTGAAGGTACTTCTGGAGGAAATGAGCACCAAATAAAATTTTGTCGTGGATATGAAATAAAACCATAAAAAGATACATGGGATGCTATTACTCCTTCAGTAAAGTGAAGAAGGGCGCTCAGCTGATGAAGTATAAGATGGTGCGATCTCTAAAATTGGAAGCACGTTTCCCGATTAACATAGTTGATGTAAATTGAATTGTAGCATTCATTTATTTTAAAAGACCACAATGCTTTGTAAAAAAGAAAATAATTATTAAAATGTGTTTTATAAATGAGAAACATATTATTGTAATTTAAGTCCTATAATATTCTACAACAGTAGAATTAAAGAAAACGCAGTAACACATTACTTTTAGTTAATTTGCAACATGTAAGCACTACAATGTGCTTAAGTGTGCTCTTGAGTGTGTGTGTATTCTCTTCTTGCCTAAGAACAAATCCCACATGAGGAAGTATTGGTGAAGATCAGAATCTTTGTGAAAACTGCATCGGTGGGTTTTTAAGAACGATTTGTGAATGAGGCCCGTTGATGCCGCTCGCATGTCTTTACAATCACAGTCGTCTCTACTCTGTGACTTGCATCCATAGCAACCGTTACGACGTACTTCTCTTCCTGTGTTCTCCTCCAACAAACAATCATTATCTGTTTTTCACAGATGATGATTATTACTCTTCATTCACAAAGGCGGAGGGGACATTCTGATTTACATGTTTGAGTCTCTGAAAGGGGGTGAATGACATTACTTTCTATTCAGCATTTAGTATTCAAATGATTGTCCTAGCTTGTTCTAATGACTGTAATCAAACAACCATACAACAAGATTGCCTTGCATCAGTGTTATTTCTGTGCTTTATGAAACTTAACTGTAATTTTCCCTTGACCTCCACCATTTTTGGAGAAAAAGAGGTAATTACAATAATTTTACTGACAAAATGATCATGGCAATCATTCATTAAAGCGGAAGGACTTTTAAGTCATGACATCTCATTTCTGTGAGTCTGTTGTCTTTCACAGGTGACTCACCTGGTTTTCCAGTACCTGAAGATGCTGCAGACACTCGGGCCACAGAAAAGGTAGGCGCACACACACACGAGCACACACACGCACACACAGTCTCACAAAGTGACAGAACATACTGCCCTTGTAAAACTTCTATATTCATTATTTTGGTACATTGTGGTGTAGGAGGTAGTTAATACCGCATTATACCGCTCATTTATAAATGTATACCTTTATTCTTTTTGTTATGTTGGTTTAATGAGATGTTGTGAGGTTCTGTCTGGGATGCATAAAGGTAATAATTCAATATTTGTGTTCATGCATTCAGAGTATATGATGAGATTCAGAAGATTGAAGCGAACGAGTTTCACTATCAGGAGCAAGTAAGAATCCAAATATTCATGTGCTGCTGTATTTGAAGATTTTTGGACAAACGGCAATTTGATATTGTGATTTTATGAATGAGAATGGTTTCCTCTGTCAGATTGACCCTATAGAATACGTCGAGGACATTTGTGAGAACATGCAGCTGTTCCCTAAAGAAGACTTACTGACAGGAGATCAGTTGATGTTTGAGTTCGACCCAGAAGTAAGTAGTTCAGTAGTTCGGGGAGTGAACCAGTTCAGGATTTTATTCTAAAATCCTATATTTCCTTTTTTTAGATAAAGATGTTAATGAAACGGGTCACTGGAAAGCAGAAACATATCGACATTTGACTCCGTCTGATATGTTAATGCTTGTACAGAAAATACCATTATGTGCCAGAAATATATTTTCTCGAGTTGTTGGTTCTGTCTTTGATTGGTGGATATTATTTTGCATCAAACGTTACAGTCTAATTGTGGCTTTGCATATTTCTCTGAGATGACAACAACTTCTGTTCAGTTTTGCTGCCTCTTACTGTGATTGACAGCTAAAATTGTTTTCACATAAACAAGTAATTTAGAATAAAGGGGGAAAAAACAACTCGTCTCTTTGCTGAAAAATTTACTTTATTTGTGTGTGTGTGTGTGTGTGTGTGTAGGTGATCAATGGAGCTTTGTCCCTCCTCACCCCTGAGAAAGCCAACCTGATGCTGTTGTCACCAGAACATGAGGGCCAGTGTCCCCTCAGGGAGAAGTGGTTTGGCACACAATACAGCGTGGAGGGTGTGTTTCTTTGTGTGTGTGTGTGTGTGTGTGTGTGCGTGTGCGTGTGCGCGCTCCCCACAATGTAGTCATTCAGTGAATACATTGTCTTTTTCCCCTTGTGGGGTGATATTCAGGATGATATAATGCACCTAGCCAGCAGCAGAAATGCCAGCATTTATCTCTGTCTTTTAGATGGCGAACAATAGTGTTGGAATACAATTTAAATTTAAAATAAAATGCAGGGAAACCAATATTTCATTTCTTTTTGGCATTAAATCTTTAGGTCACTCGTTTCCAAACATTAATCTTAAGTCCAAATGTTTCTTATGTGCTAATAGATGTTCTCTCTTCACACAGACATCCAGCAGGAGTGGATGGAGCAGTGGACAGGAGACCTGGAGCTCAACAGTGACCTTACATTTCCGGCTGAAAACAAGTTCATCTGTGGGCTAATATACTTTGTGCACTACGGGCAAAACAAGTAGATTGTTGTGGCCCAAAATGGCCGGATGTATCTAAGAAGTGTCCAATAAGATGATCATGAACAAGACTTGTTCCTGCACTGTGTACTTTGGCTCCCCATTCAACCATCCAACAAATGCAGTAATCAGATATATTGACCAGACTGGGAGGAACAGAGCATTTTGGTCACTGTGAACTCGCTGGTCTTCCTTTTAATTTAAGTCCAGCAATGGAGAGATGCTGTGCATTTTAAGGCTGAAGATTTAAAGCCAAACAAGGCACCGCTGGTCTAATGCTAACCAAACATTTAGGGCTGCTACATTTTGGCATTGTGCTCCGTTTATACATTTTGCTGGTAAAGCACCACATTGCCATAACTGATAAAATGTGAAGAAATGATGCAGCTCCCCTTATATGCCCAAGGCTTATTGAATCATTTATTGGGATGGGCGGGTGTGGTGACATATTTTACAGTCTTGACAACCAGCTGCATGTGTATCCCAAACTGGACATATTGAATTGTTGAAAGTCGCACATTTATGAGATTGCACCAAGTAGGAATTGTGATTTTTCATTGTTTATGTGCATTTGTTCAGCCACTGACTTCACTCTGAAGCCGTCTGACTGCCCAGACTCTGAGGTTCCTGTCCAGATAGCCGACAGCGACAGGGGATGCCTGTGGTACAAGAAGGACAACAAATTCAAAATCCCAAAAGGTGAAATATGTGTGTGTGTGTGTGTGCGCCTGTACTGTGAGCCTCAATTGGCATGCAAGATGTTTCCACAAAGACTTTTGATAGCATTTGAGAGGTGTTGACACTCACTTGTCCTTTTTCCTGTTGCAGCCTACATCAGATTCCACTTAATCTCTCCTGTAATCCAGCAATCTGCTAAGAAGTAAGTTCAGGCTCAAACATGCCCTTGTGAATATAGTGTTTGTTTTTTAGCTGTAATGCTAATTAACATCTTTTTTTTTTTATGCCATTGTCTGTTTTCTCTCTTTCTGCTACTACAATTACATCCCCCTTTTCCTTTCATCACTTCAATCCTCCTTTTTACTTCCTTCTAACCCTCTGTCCTTCCCTACTTTTCATTTATTCAATTACCTTGCATTTATCCTTTCCTTCTTCCATTCCCTACTCCTCACTGTTTGGATGCCTTCTCCTTTCTTCCCTGCCTCTATTCTTTCTCTCCATTTCCCCCTGTATCTCACCCTTCTCACCTCATTTCCTTGCTATATTTCACTTTATTCCTTAACCTCCTCCCCATCATTTCTCTCCCTCTCCACCCTTACCCCTGTCCTCATTCCCCGCTCCAGTGTGGTCTTGTTTGACCTGCTGGTCAACATCCTAGACCACAACCTTGCCGAGCCGGCTTATGAGGCTGAAGTGGCCCAGCTGGAGTACAAACTGACGGCCGGTGAGCACGGCCTAGTCATCAAGGTTAAAGGATTTAACCACAAACTGCCTGTGAGTGAATGAATCCGGAAAAAACGCACACGCAAACAGATATAGATACGCTGTATATGCATCACCACACACTGATCATTATTTTGTCATATGCGCCGTAGCCCATAAAGTATAGACTTTAAATCCTGTGTATTTGTTGGCTACAAGTATATAACTTTATTTAGATTACTAAAACAACTTTTTTTTTTTTTTTATACCAATTTCTAATAAAGCATGATTTACCTTTTGTCTATAAGTGGTAAATAAAATCCGTATCAATGGTAATCGATCATTAATTAAAGCTTTATAGATCATAATAGGCCCTTAATAGGAAATGTTTGGGTGGAGGATATTCCCCCTCTATTTGTCACATCCTGACACCAAATAGTTGGTCATGTAATTGGCTTTATGGTGATCATAAAAGCATTAAAGGAATAGTTGCACATTTTGGGAAATACACTTCTTCGCTTTCTTTCCGAGTTAGATAAGATTGATACCACTGTGTTAAATATGTAGCTGGAGCCAGCAGACGGCTTAGCTTAGCTTAGCATTTGGACTGAAAGGAAAGGGAAACCAGCTAGCCTGGCTTAGCTTTAACTTACAATGAATTAAATGTTGATTGCACAGTAAAATGGCTGTAGAATAATGACACCAGTGGTGTTTAGATTTGTTCCCTACAAGCCTCGCTTCCACTGTGCAATTCTTTCTGCCTACAGGAACCATCTCTGGAAAATAAGAGATTGATTTAGGCTCAAAGCTGTGGAAGACAACATGCAGTATATCCTGTGCAGTGTTGCCAACTATTGTCCAATGAAAGTAGCTAGCACTAGCTACAAAAGTCGCTAAAAGCAGCTAGATGAAGTCATGCGCTCATTTGCATATTGGCGACGTCATCGTGTATTTACATTCAGCTTAGTGGTTGCGTCTATTGCAGCAAAGGAGAGACTGCCTGCGGTCGGCACAGGAGGACAGGAGAGACCCTGTGCTGATTACATTACAGCATTGGGGAGGAATACAATATATATTGTACAATAATATAGTGTGTTTGAATATCATTCTTTTTCCCTGATGGTCTGAATAAGTCGCTTAATTTGTTGCTCGTAGTAGGCTCTGAGTGAGACTGCAAGCGATCAGCAATACCACTTGGAAACGGGGGGGGGGGAATAAGTTGTCTTTTGCAGCTTTAAGTCTTGGAGTGAAAGTGAGAGCATATTTCCCAAAATGTCGAACTATTCCTTTAAGAAATGATTTATAAACAACTGCTCTTGCTACTTAATTTGGAAAGCTCCTCAAACAGACGGTCAGCAGGCACACACAGATGTGTTTGTATTGTTTTGATGCATGGTGATGATGGTGATTCATCTTGCCTGTATGTCTGTCTTTCTGTCCATGTCTCTCTTTAGCTGCTGTTCCACCTGATCATTGACCACCTGGCTGATTTCTCTGCCTCTCCTGACGTCTTCAGCATGTACGCTGAGCAGCTCAAGAAAACCTACTTCAACATCCTCATTAAACCTGAGAAACTCGGCAAGTGAGTGGTTTGCCTTCTGTCTTTTTACATTTCCAGCTTACTTTCTGACTTATCTTCAAGTCTGTGATGCCTTCTAGTGGTGAAATGTGTGACAACCCTGAATGTAGAAAAAAACACTCCTGCTCTTGTCCTCTTTTCCCCTCTCCCTCCTCCCTCTCTTCTCCTCTTCCCTCTCTCCTCTCCTCTCTCTCTCAGGGATGTGCGTTTGCTGATCTTGGAGCACTCTCGCTGGTCCATGGTGGAGAAGTATCAGGCTTTGATGGCCGGTCTGACCAGCGATGAGCTGATGGACTTTAGCCGCACATTGAAGGCCGAGCTGTACGCGGAGGGACTGGTGCAGGGCAACTTCAGCAGCTCTGTGAGTGGATGGCAGGCAGTACACAGACAAGTAGATTGATTAGCAATACAATTAGCTAATGAATGTTGTGTGTCTGCACTTCATCAATTGATTGTGAGTGAACTTGACACTGTCCTCATGTCTTACTCTTATCTTTACCTGTTCATGATCCTCTCTTGTATTGTCTCCACAGGAGTCGGAGCATTTCCTGCAGTATGTCACAGAGTAAGTCAGCTATTACACTGAATGCATTCCCTAATGAGAACACCAATACTATGCAATCAAATGGATTTGTTTGCCGCCATACACCGTAATTTGCATTACCTTCAATTGTTCACGGCATGATTCCCTTTTCACCTTCTTTACTTTTTCCTTTTATTCCCTCCTTTCTCCCTTCCTCTGCTCCTTACCGATCTTCTTCTTCTCTCTTTCCCTTTTCCTTCCTCCTCCGTTCCTCCCATTTTGTCCTCCTTTATTTTCCCTCTGGCAGAAAGTTGCAGTTCTCCAAGCTGCCAGCAGAGGTGCCGGTGATGTTCAGAGTGGTGGAGCTTCCTCTGAAGCACCACATCTGTAAGGTCAAATCACTCAATAAGGGAGATGCCAACTCTGAGGTCACTGTTTACTACCAGGTACGAGCACACCTGCAGTGCATCAGGTCCTTCACATTCTGACTTAAACATATCCCAATATAGATATTTATTGTTTCTGCACACTGTTTCTTTCTCCCTTTATCTTTCCATCTAGTCTGGCCCAAAGCTCTTGAGGGAACACACACTGATGGAGCTCTTGGTGGTGCGTTTATTTCTCTAAATGCATTCATCGATTAATTCATTCATTGTGTCATTCCTCCATGATAAACTGAATTGTTGTTGTCTTACAGATGCACATGGAGGAACCCTGCTTTGACTTCCTCCGGACCAAAGAGACTCTTGGGTGAGTGTGGTTATGCTTTCATTAAAACGTTTACTTACTTCCACAAGAGTTATGTGCAAATTGAAGACATGGATGTAAATTTACTTTCTGTGTCTGCCTAGATTCCTCTCTCTTTATTTTTGTATTATTATTATTAAGCTTTGCAGAAGATCAAATGTGCGTTGATCTTGTGAAGAAACTGAAGCTATTTTTAAGCCTCCACTTGACTCCATACATACATACATACAACGCTTTTCACTTTTATCCTCAGTTGTAATTGTCTCTTCTGTTAGTTACTGCATGTTTAAATCCCAATTTCCTGCTTTCCAAAGTGTTATTACTATACAAAGTAGAGAAAGTCGGGACAGGTGGGACATTAACTTTTGGCAAATGTAACCCATTTTCTTGCCTTGGTTTTTTGATATTTCTTAGTATATCTGCTTCTCAACATCTCTCATCCTAGCTGTCTGTTGTTACGTCTCCCTCTGCAGGTACCATGTCTACCCCACCTGCAGAAACACCTCAGGCGTTCTGGGTTTCTCCGTCACGGTGGAAACACAGGCCACAAAGTTCAAGTGAGTCTGCAACACAATCGGAACCTTTCATTCGCCCAAAGCAAGACACGCTTTATCTTAACTGCTTTTCCCAAAGCCAGCGTATAATTTATCTTACTGTTCACTCAAATGCAAGCTACAATTTTTCTATCTGGCCCTGGAAAGAGAGAAGCGGGTGTAGCTGATAAATGAATAAGTCAAATACGCCCTGTAGCCTATAATATATCTCTTACCTCTCATGAACCTTTTTTCTCACAGTACCGAGCTGGTGGAGTTAAAGATTGAAGAGTTTTTGGCTTCGTTTGGGGAGACGCTCAATTCTCTTTCTGAGGAGGCCTTTACTACCCAGGTGTGTGTGTGTGTGTGTGTGTGTGTGTGTGTGTGTGTGTGTGAGTTTCTCCCAAACATAGATGTTTGGGAGAAACATAATTATGTTTTAGAAATGTCAAAAGTTTCAAGTTACTTTGATGGATTAATAACACATTTTTTAGCCATGTAAGACCCAGCTTTACAATCTGTTGGATTTTACACACGGTTGACTTCTGGAATAATTAAAAATACGTGTCTGTGTGTGTGCGTGTGTGTGTGTGTGCGTGTGTGTTTTGTACAGGTGACTGCTTTAGTGAAGCTGAAGGAGTGTGAAGACACACACCTCGGGGAGGAGGTGCACAGGAACTGGGCCGAGGTGGTTACACAGCAGTTTGTGTTTGACAGGCTCAACAGAGAGGTGAGGACAACGACACACACACACACACTATCAGCTAAATGGACAAATGAATGCAGACATCCTCTTTACGCTTGAGGACCATGTATTGACTCTTTATTCATTCCCTTACTTCCAATACTAACCTTGATCTTTATTACTGGCCTCTACCTCATTTAAATGAACGGAGACTTTGACATGGTAGTGATGTTTGTGGGATTTATCTTGTTGCATTCTTTGACCAAACTTAATCCACTATGATGTAGGCTCTAGGCCTTATTGCTATCATTATTAATGGTATTATTATATATTAGTAGGACTAGTATACGTATGATTATTATATTAATGTTATTATTTTTTATTGTGTATTTAAATGTGGGAGTATTTGTTTTTACTTGATTTAAACCGTACTCGTTTACTTTAAATTGTGTTTAGCTCTTGTTTCAATTGCTTGTACTTTGGCACTTTTTTCTTTTTTTGTAAAACTTTCACCTTTACTGTATTTTTATTACCCTGTAAAGCACAATTAATTAGTCTGGTGTAAAAAAAAAAAATGTCCTTGCCTTGCAGAAGAGCACATACACAAAATGAACATGACCTGCTGTTTTACAAGCACTTGACCAAAAGGCCAAGAGCTATCATTGCCATTATGATGGCCATATAGTAAGAAAGTACAAGTTATTACATTTTCATAGTTTTAAACATTTTGCAGATGCTTGCTTCATCATGAAGGTTTGCCTGCACTGTTCATAATGCAGAAGGATAGTAGCAGCAGGGCAACGAAGGCAAATACTGCAGACAAGTCTTCTCAGTCTGAGCCAGTCGCTACTGGAACAGCGTTCCTAATGAATTTAGAGAGAGCACTAATTACCTCACCTTTAAACTTAAACCTAAGAGACAGCTCAAAGCAAACCAAGCCTGGGTAATCTTACTACCTCATCCCTGGCACTGCTGTTACACACCTTCATTGTTTACATATCTGCTTCTTTTGTAATGTATTGCATTGTAATGTGCTGTGTTGTGTTGTACTGCAGTGCTTGCTGAAGCATCGTATTGATAATATTAGGCCTCTAATTTGTAATAACCTGCCCAGGGACTACATACGAGAATTATCTCATTAGCTGCCACATTTACATTGAGGTGGAAACTGAAATGTTTATTATTATCGCGCTCTCTCCCTGGAGCAACAGCAACTTTGCCATCCCACCTTATACATTTAAGACAAATATATACTTTATTTTGTAACTTTGGTTTGCTCTCCACAAACTCCTGAGGGGAATAAATCTGTCTCTTTATCTGCTAGATGCTTGACTTTCTCCACCAGCTAGAAAGTGTTTGTCCACCATTTCCTGCTGCACAGTGGCTTCCTCTGAGCTTCTCTGCTGAGAGCTGTTGCTGAAAACTGGTTGGATAAAGACGGTTGATTGTCTGAACCATCCCCTAAATGAGCCATAAAACCATAGCAGGAAGATAAAGAGGCCAAACTTTCCTGGTGTTCTTACCGTCAGTGCTTCTGTGTGTTCTAGATCGAGGCTCTGAAGCAGATGACCAGAGCTGAGCTGGTCTCCTGGTTCAAAGAACATCAAGGACAGAACAGCCGCAAACTCAGCGTGCATGTAAGCAATGCCTTTATGTTTGTAGAGAGACGGAAGGGTATTTTTTTTTTTTTTTCCTTCACTTTTGCGTGCGTGTGGCGACATTAAATGTATCCCTGTCTCCTAAAGGTGGTGGGATTTGGTGCTGAAGAGAAGGACGAGGAGGCTGGTGGTCAGAAACAAGAAGGAGACGAGTGCAAAGAGGAGGATTCAAGTGGCTCTACCTATGGCGAGGTGTCCAAGCTCACCTTCCTGCCTGCCTCACCCAAGATGGCGGGTGCTGTAGCCATCATGGACATCTCTGCTTTCATTGAAGGGCTGCCCCTCTTCCCCTACCACAAGATACTGAAATGAACTCCTGCTCAGACTGTGACACCCACAGCTGGCGGTGCTTTGCCTCTCACTGAGCCACGTTCACAGACTCTGTCTCATGCAGACACTTAATATGTGGAGGTGAAGGAAGGTTATAATGGCTTTGGCTCCTCTCTGGACCTGGATTCTGCCTCTAGGGCTCCACTGTAGTTTTTATCCACACTGTGTGCACAGGCAAAAGGCCTGGAAGTGATGATAGAGTTTTCTTTTAGCTAAGCGATGATCTTTTCTGCTTTCTTACACTCAATTATTTTATATCCTCAGACACCGGGAGCGTGGGAGCGCTCCATCTATTCCTCTATCTCACACTGACGGAAAATCAGTGGAATCAAATTTTCATTTATTTGGTTGTCTGAGCTCTGCTGCTATTACAGCTCTGAATCCCTGTCTTTTCCACTGTTTGTGGAGCCGCAAAACTGAGTTTATTACCGTTTAAAAACACAAATCAACTGTGAAAACCGCAGAAGTGCTGAGTGCTTTGAACTCCAGACGTGTGTCTTTGAGTGATCGTGTGCTGGATTTCAAGCTCTGCTGTGCGCTACTGTTATTAGCTGACCTAGATCATGCCCTGGTATGAAACTGCAAAGAGAATAAATCAATGAGTGATGAGTGACTGAATGAAGCAACGTGCTGACTGCAGAAAACACACTTGAAAAAGCACCACAACTTGTGAAATGTCAAGTCTGTAATTCAGTTTATTTAGATTTACTTTTTAGTGGATTTGATTTACTCTACCAGCTCATACTAAAGGTGGAAGTCATTTACATTTACACTATTTTGACATTTTTTTGATTTGTTTTCTCTCTAATTGCCAGCTTATCTGACACATGCGACTTCTTATCATACACATCAAACCAAACCACACAAACGCTGCAGACGGCTGAGTATTGCTAGAATCCACTGTGCGCAAATCAAGCACAACTCTTTTTGAAGTCAGAAGTATTTGCATGCTGGTGACTCAGTATTGCGTCAGCTGTTTAATTACCACAGGTTTAATTTATGTGTAAATGGTACATTCAGCTACTCGCAGACTCTCTTACCTTCTTCTCCCTGAGGAAAAGGTTGTTGCAGGCGATACTGTGTAGGGCTTGTGGCTGGTGACACTGCACTGTTAAATGTAATTAAAAAACTAATCCGGAGCCCAGCACAGCAGAGCGTGTTAACATAATTGACTAATATGCCCACGGGGAAGCCTCATAGTGTAGCAAAGTCTTCACCTGCAGTAGCCTCGCACATAATGATAAGTGTGCTACCTGTAATATGGCAAACCAGTCTGTCCACATAAACAGCTTTGTTGGTACTACAGGTACGCTATACGGCCATAAGTATATGCAGCCGAGCTACGCTTCTGGGAGGATTTCCACACGATGTTGGTGCAGGGCTCATCACTCTACTATGTACAAGGAAATTATCCTGTTAAATCAGGAAAGACGGGGGCCTTGTCAAGGTTGAAAATTGACACCAGCCACCAGCCAAATACTGGTGTAATGCGTCCGTTAGCTTTGCTTCATTCACCATGAAGTACAAACAATGGTAACTTCATTAATTAGTGGCAGGTGGACAACCCCGTTGTTAACCTTGGTATCGGTCGGGTTGAGGGCTTAGGTCGGGTTATGGTAGAGAGTAAGTTAGCAGAGATAACTGGTTTAGTCTAGGGTAAAGTTGGGGTCAGGTTAACCTAACGCACTGAAAAGAAGCATACTGTATATAATTCAGATTTTTCGGTTTCAGTGGAAGTCTGCTTCAGGTTGTCCAATCTGGAATTAATGTAAGCTGAGGGGGACATTTGAGCGCAGTGCTTCTGTTGAGAAAGAGAGACTGTAAGGAAGTAGCAGTATGTTAGTAATGTGTTACACTCCCAGTTCTTGATGGTGTGTTAGCACTTGACAGGTTCTGAGTATATGGTAGCAATTCACACTACTGTACAGTCCCACAGAGCTTTCGTGGTGATGACAAACCAATTTAATGAGCTTTCGGTTTATTGAGATCAGAGCTGTGCCTCCCTTGTTGATCAGCTTCCTTAATCTCCTCTGTGGAGAATACAGGATATTAAAGATGGGACACTTGGCCTACAGTAGATAACGAATTCTGTGAACAGTATGGACACGTTTTAGTTTCAAGAAAGCTTCAGTACACTACCAGTACACTTCACCTGAAGTGTGTGTACTTTGATCCACAACCATCTTTAAAGAGGAAACTTGAAGGGTGAAGAAGTTGTTTTCACACAGTGCTAGTGATGTTTCAGTCTGGAGCGCTCTGAGGTAATAGATGGCACCCGACTGTTCTGGTGATACTGAAAACACTATTTGGCCTTGTGATGGAGTGGCGACTGTTAGAGCTCTTTTAAACCTGCTGTAATGCTACCGGGCATTCAGCCATCTTTGAATTAAGTTACTTCGGAGTTGAAGCCTTTTTTATGTGATGATTCGATTAGTTTAATCCTTCTTCTGTAGAGGTGCTGTATAGAACAAAGGGTTTTATTGAGGAGTAAATCAGCTGCTGGTTTTACTGGTACAAGATTTACTGTAGCTATCTTGTCCTTGTTGCCGTTCCTCACTGGATTGCAGACAATTTTGCCCGTTGCTGGAAATAAAAAATGTCATCATAGTTCATCTTGTGCTTGTAGTGAGACATCTTGACCACGTTCTCTTTTCAGAAATACTTCACTTATATTATACTTGTATAACTTTAGTCACAAATACTTTATAACTTGCATATTTAATTTTTTGGCCCTTTTTGCATTTACAAAGAAACAAATGTACGGTGGCCATGCTGCTCTGTGAGGATGAACTTTGGCAGTGCTTTGAACAAACTGCTAAAGATAGCCTGTAAATATTTGCCATTAGTAGTAGTTAATTAGTTACTAGTTAATTAGTAACTGATTATTATTAGTTTTTAGTATTGGATTAATTTTAACCTGATTATGGACAAAAAGTTGAGGAATAACAAGGTATTTCACTTAAAGCCACACATCTCTACCTCATTATGGCGCTAGAGGAAAAGTCAGGGGATCATTAAAGTCAGTAGTTTTAATCCTCTTGGGAGCATGAATATCTGCAAATTTCATCCAATACTTGAGATATTTCAGTCAGGACCAAAGTGGTGGAGTGGCTAAACAAACGCATCATCCTTTTATATCTGTAGTCTATATATAAAAGGAGAATGAACGTTTTAAAAATGATTCACACAAAACCAAAAAAAAGGGAAAAACACTGCTGTTATCTGTGCTTTTGAGGAAAATGAATATTTGCCTTCCTCCACTGTCTGCCTGAGCAACAGTGAGCTGCGGTGCCTCAGCACTTATTCGGACCAGGAAGCCTGAAGTCATAATTCAGGCTTTGGAGAATGTAACTGTGTCACAAGTAGTATTGCCACTAAATGAACTCTGCCTGTGCTGTCAACACTAACTGGTGGTCGTGCAAAAAAAAAAAAAAGGCTTTGTGACTTTGTCCCGGAGAGTTGTGCTCATGCTGTCTTCTACTGTCAGAAGCCATTCTTTCTCATTCGCACTCTGTCTCCATCTCTTACACGGAGTACATACACAGAGAGGAAGTGTATCACAAATGCATGCAGACAAGCTTGCCCATGAATCAGAGGAGATTAGATTTGTTCAGCACACACACACTCTCACTCTCTCTCGCTCCCCCCCTGTGTAAACTTTCCACTGCTACATTTTGTGTCATTCCTGTTGTCATTCTAATTTCATCTGAGGAACCCTGCCAAGGCAATAATGAACCCAAGTCATGAGGCAGGGGCCACGCTGAGTGGCTGTGAGCCGTTTTGTGTTTGTGTGTAACCGAGAGAAAATTATAGGAAAGGTAAATGGAGGAAAAGACGTTAAAGAAAGGGGCTGGCCAAGTCTCACGCATGTTTGTGTGCCATGTGTGTTTCTGTGTGCCGTGTATTGTGCTGGTTTTGAATGTACCAGTGCAGTAGGGTGTATCGTCTAAGCCGCTGTAATGTGTCAACTCCTTTATTCAATTTGAGCAGTAATCTTGGAACTCCCCACTGGCTTGCCTTCATCAGCCCCCTGCCACAAAGCTAGCTTAACTTAGCCACAGACGCACAGAGGCAGTGAAATGCGAAACAGATGAGCCCTTTTTTTGTTTTGCTGGATCAAGATTATACTTAAACAAATGTAGCCAGGCTAAATCTCCTCATTATATGGGTATTATGGTCAAGATGGATCTTGTTTGCAGGAGCAGTCTGCGATGGTTAGCTCCAGCTGCTTTAGGCAATTAGAAAGAGGAAGATCGTGTAACAAGATATCGAAAATAATCCTTTCGTTACATGTGTCTGAGGTAAAGAGGTGATTGTGTTTGCCCTTTTCTCTCGTACTGAACTTCAGCACCACGGACAGCAGCATGCACTCACCCAAACTGGTTTCCCTTGAGACGTAACTGTGAGGCACTCTTACCTGAGATGTTAGTTTCCTGTCTTAACAGCAGAAGACTGTCTTGAAACATCTTTTCAGTGTAATTTTAACATTTTTACTCTAATTTAAAGTGAAATGAATCGCTTTTCTACATAGTACCAATTTCTCATAAGGCACCCTTTAAAATGTATCATAAAATGATCAACAAATCATTTAGTTATGATTTATAGATCAGTTGACCATTTAAAGAAATGTACTTTTTTCGGTTGCCAGGTGGCCGCTGGTAAACATTAATGAATCTAACTCAAATGTAAGGAGTCTCTGTATGTCTTGTGATTTTCTCAACAACAGTTCATCCGATTGACTTCTCACTTGGCGAGTGTATGTCTGAGGACCCAAGGAACTTCAGTGTTGAGTGCCATCTCTTGAGATCTATGGAACATGTTTATTTATCAAGTGTGTTATGTGCACACTGTGTAGTGTATTGAGAGGGGATCCCCTATTAACTGACCGCCAAATGACAGATCCTCCTGCGTCCATGTTTGCAGCTCTTTTTCCACAAGGTCAGAGGTGAAATAGGTCAGAGGTGAAATGGGGCATTGGAGCAAGACTTCCTGATTACAAAAGACCTAAAAACACCGATAAACATATGCAAGAGATATTTTTATACAATCTGGCAACCCAAAAGTTTCTTTAAAACATGGCTGAAGACTGATCTGCAGAGTATCAGCAAACCATTAATAAACCTATAAGATCTTTAAGCCATTATAAAGAATATTATATTTCAATGCAGTGTAGTATGTGTACTTTCACTGCAAGTGAGATGAGGGCATTCCTGAAGAAAAGAGTCTGGTTCTCACTAGCTTTAACTTTGCTTTTTCCATTTGTAAGCAGAACTTTTAACTCATTTTGAAGTTGTAGCTTATGTAAGATCACTTACACATTGGGGATTCTTAAATTAATCTTTTAAAGAAAAAAAGCCAATTTTACTTTTACAGAGTTTTAAAAGTAGCTTACTTAAACTTCTCTATTTCCCACTGCTCCTCTTACTGTAGAATAGTTTTTACCATTTTCTGTCAAAATATCTCCAAAAAAAAAAAAAAAAAGATTTGCATGAAATTTGCTGGGCAGCTTGTGAGATTTGCCACCATGCTTTCAACCTTGCGAAACTCACGGAGACAGGTGGCTCTTGCAAGTAACACGTAAGGATTGCAGAATCGAGAAATACTTTTTTTATTTATAGAGAGGTCAAGGCTTTGGATGGAAATTTGGAAATTTCCTTCAACAAAGGCAGCGTGATCCTCCACCACCACTGTTCAAACCACACTGAGTGCGTTATTCCACCAGCTTTACGCTTTCATCTCAGGGTGGTGACGACCCCCTGTTCACACCTCCGCCACCCGCTCCCATCCTCCCGGTAAAGTGATATCACACGGTGTAAAGCTGACAATGTCGCTCCCCACCGCTGCTCTCCTCACCCCGCCCCACCGGGACCGGCGGCAGCGGGTGCCAAACCGCCCCCTCCGGGAACCGCGCTGAGGACGCAGCCATGCCGAGCGGTGACACTCGGCAACCGTACTGCCGCCTCGTCTCATCCGTCTCCAGCGCTTCACAAAGGTGGAGAATGCCATGATATTTCCCACAGGCCCTCACTGGCACCTGGCTGTGAGTGAACCGGGGGGAGATAGGGGATAACCGACCGCAGATAATGACGTGATGGTTCCGGTTGTAGACCGAGCGCAGGGGGGCTCCGAGCGTCTTTAATGACTGGTGCTGGAGAGGAAATCACCGGACTTTATTGTGTGCAGAAACGTATACGACACTGGACCGACCGCACTTGATAAAAAAGAAAAAGAAACGGTCTCTCAAACAGGTTGCTGCGATTTCCTTCAATCTGAAAGGTAAGGCTTTACAATCCTCCGCGCGCCACTTAACGGCTCTGCATATCAATTCATCCGCCTAATTGAGTAGAAAGGAGGCTAATCAGTGATGTAACAGCTGCTAAATTGACCTCCAGCCGCCCACTCAGTTAAAACATTAGCTGTATTTGTACCAGAAAAGTATTCATTCACGTTTGTATCGTGTTAAGCGGTCGTCTGTACTGTTGTTTGACATTACTTTCAATCGTGTGTATCCGGAATTGGTATAATTTGGGCAAGTGAGTAAATCGATTTAGGATGGGTTTATCTTCCATCTTTTTCCTGTTTATGACTACTCAATACACAGTAGACTGTTGGCATTACTATAGTAAAAGACAAATAGAAAGAAAAAACAATTGTACAACATTAATTTCTAGAGTTTGTGGGCATTACTGACCGTACAATCTGAACTTTGTCCTGCATGGTTATGTCCGCTTTTATTCTGACGTATTGTAATATGCATGTTCTATATGTTAGATGTCATACCACATGTGTGTTGCACCAAACTAATCAAACCAATATCTTACATAATAACCTATGAGGCGGTCCATAAACACAGGGGTGATGAACGCTATGAGAGCTATTTAATGAATGAATTTACAATGTGAATGAAGGCTGATCCATCTAACCCCTTAAACCAAAAAGGCTCATTTACTGTAGCTGCAGTGCTGACCACATCACTGCCGGGGCCCGAGGCGTCTCCTGGCATTACGGTTATAACTGATGTTAAGTCTTTTTTTGCTTTCCCAGGGGGCGTTGCAGCGTAGAGCATGCCGTCCCCCAGATGGTGACTTCTTTAGGTAAGGGGTGTGTTTGCTTATCCGCAAGATATCTCTCTACTCAAACTGTATGTGAGGTGTCTCTGATCTCTGCTCTGCACCTCAGGGATCTTACTCTGGGCGAACTGAAGTGTTCACGTGTGTTTCAGCTCTTATATCTGCAGCTCATTTAGATTTCAGTTTCTTCTTTTTTTGGCATTATCTGCACTGAACTTGGCCCCTGCACAGTTCACAAATCCAGTTTCTTACGTAGTCGACCGTAAATTATCCAAAATAGAGGAAGTAATTATGACACTACAAACACAAAAGGAGACGAGTGAGTGTGTGTTTCGTCAGTCATATAAAAAAAAAAAAAGGTGACTGAATTCGGTTTCCTCCCACCTTTTCTCTCCCACTCCTTGCCGTCTTTGTTCCCTCCTGCTCTAGCCGTGGGTGTCTCTGTCCTAGATGTGGATGTGTTCCTCCCCTCACACGCTGAGATGAGTGCTTTCAGGGGCAGACAAGGCAGAAAAGTCCAGATTTTACTACCTGGCTAAATTGCCCTGTGATGGAAAAATATTGTTAAAGGAATGATACTTGAATAATTGAAGCCCCAGGGCTTTAAAATTGCAGGGACTCGCTGAGATTTCCAGTGAGAGGCCACCTCAACGAAATATTCATATCATTATTTAAGAATGGAGATACATCAAGGAGCTGCTCAGGTACCGCTACCCTCTCGCTCCATCTCCCTCTCTCACTCTCTGTAAGGTCTCTGTTTCCCATCCATCTCCTGTTGTCAAATCATCTCCCAGCTTCTCTGCTTCTTTTTCTTCCCTTCATGAAATGGATTGAAACTCATCCACATAATGACTCTGTCTTTGGCTAATGTCTTCTGGGAGCTTACATTTGGTTTCAGCTTTCATAATGATGTTTTAAATACCGAAAACAAACTGCTACTCTCACATAGTTATTTATATTCTATTCATCCACAATGACACAGGATAATGAGACTTAAAGAAGTTGATTGATTTGGGCGCTAAGCCAGAGTCATTTCCAGGAGACGCTCTTGAGAATGTGTAGAATAAAAGAGAATATAATGGGAATATAAACAGGCTGCACTGATGAGCTAATTAGCCTACTTCATTAGCTGACATAACATTTGTTGTCTCATTATTTGAGGACTTTATTATTCAAAAATGCTAAATATTTGCTGGTTCCAGGTTCTCTAAATATGGAAATTTGTAGATTTTCTCTTTCATATCACTGTTAATGGCAAACTGTTTGGTTTATGTGTCAGACAAATTTATTTTGGTCTCCGAGCCAAGAAATATAGCCCATAACCTAACCACGCATAAAACCACAGTGTGTAGTCGTACACTTTTTGTACAGATCAAAAGAACGAGATATACCGTCTGAATTAGTGAGCTTTAAAGGTGGTAGTAGACCGATTATGTTACGTTTGGACAGATCCAGCTCCTTCCCCCTGTTTCCAGTCTTTATGCTAAGCTAAGCTAACCACGTGCTGGCTCCAGCTTTGTGTTGAACAGATAAATGCAAGAGTGGTATCAATATTCACATCTTAACTCTCAACAAGTAAGCAAATGAGCGTGTTTCCCAAAATGCCAAACTATTTCGTTAACTTTAAGTGGACTTTTCTGATTAAATTCCCCGTTCAAAGCTTATCTAATTTTCCTGGTTCACCCAGGCATCACATGGGAGAGAAAGCTCTTAATTTCAAAGCACAAAATCATCACCGCATCATCCCACGTGAAACTTCAGAGGGAAGCGTTTTTACCTCTCCAACTTTCGATTAGGGATATGTTCGGCGGTGGATGTCTATGTGCTGAATGTGAGTGTGTGTGTGTGTATGAGCTGGTTGTTCACCCACACACGCTTCTGAGTTTCTGTGCGTTCGCATTTAGCTGGGATCGTTTTATTTCCCACAGAGAAAACAAATTAAAATATGACACCTCTCTCAGCTGCCTCTCATCTCCTGCTTTTCACGATAGAACTGCTAAGAATAGTCGTGCAAGTTGAGTGTGAAACCTCTCCACCTCTTTCAACGTTTCCAATATTATGAAGGTCGAAACTAGATGATGCGATAGCTTGAATAAAGGTATAATCACCAATGTCACCAACTGTTTTGAGTATGTTTTATGCATGGAAGAGAGAGAGAGAAGAGGCGCAAGAAGAAAAGCACACTTCTCTATGCTTTGAGGGATGTAGTTGAAATCAGCATCACAATATTAAAATATGTTCTAATCCTGATCAAAAAATCACAAGAAACTGTCTCAAACTCAAATTCAGTGCAATGAACAGTGTTTCATAACTGTTATCACATAAAACAAAAGCTTAGTAGTAGGTAGTTTTCTTCCAAAGATATCCTCAATGTCCCTCAAGATGGTAAAACAGGAGTCTCCTGGTTGAGGTGACATTCAGTTTGCTTCTTTTATTGTAAACAGTACCAACCTTAAAGCTTCTCTATGCGTAATTCAAGGCATATTTGTGCATATGTTTTGCCTTCCCACAACTCTCAACATGGCGACGGCTGAGCCGGCGGCTAGCGGCTAACGATACTAACAGCACGAACAGTGCAAACTCCCTCTCTCTCTCACACACACACACACACACACACACACAGACTCACAACAAACATCTCAGCATTGCTTTTGGGATTCAGTTCAAATCCGTTCAAATCTCAGGGATACACTTTTCTTCAGCCTTTCTCTTGTACAGTGAGGAACTGGATCCTTTACTCACTGTCACTAAAGCTCATCCGACAGACGCACTGCTGGTCAACGGGGAGTCGTACACTTAATTACTTAAAGGAGGTTTTGTAGTTGTAGAAATCCGATGCCTGTTGGCTCCTCTTAGACCGTCTCTTCCCCGTTCATCCCTGTCACTTTTCCAAGTCAACAACTCGCAGGCTGATCCTCTACTCCTTTCAGGCCACAGGGTTGTTGTGTGTGTGTGTGTGTGTGTGTGTGTGTGTGTGTGTGTGTGTGTGTTTCCCAGTTGATAGCGACAGCTCCGAACCCACCGACACTCAGACATGAACTGCGTTGGTTAAGATACTCCGATGGCATTAGAGTTGAGTCTCAGAACCTCTGTCACTTGGCGTCTTTGTCTCCAGTCTGTTGGAACTAATCTGAGGCTTTACCTCGACGCTCCCTTTCTAGCATAATTTGGTTGCATGTCAAAATCACTTATTTTTTTATTCTAAAAATATCCCATTGCTTTGTCTGTGTTGATATACATCATCGTTTCTGCATTAATTTGCTATAGTAGCTTCAGCAGTCTTGTCAAGCCCTGAAAGCCAAGGGGCTTGACAGGATAAACCAGGAGGGGGGGGGGGGGGGCTGTTGAACCGTGTGGTGAAAGAGGAGGATATGGCTAAAAGAGTGAATGGGAGAGTAAGGAGAGACGAGAGGTGAAAGGACTGAAGAGACAGAAGGTAGTGAGCTAGAGAGGGACGAGATGGAGAAACGGGTAGCAAGAGAGACTTCACATCGCTTTTAACGACATTAGTGTGGCCCGTGGTGTATATAATTTAGTACTATGACGCAATGGAAGATACTGCACCGAGTGAGCTGTCTGGGAAGGAGGCTCACATGCTCATTTCAACACACGCACACACATACGCACACACATTTCGCCCTCTTAATTGTGTTAAATTTGTCTGAGATTCGTGTGCATTCAGTGTTAAATGTTATATTTAAGATCGTCTATCGTATTACAATGTTCAAGAGGTACACCCCACTCACCTTGTATTTTTATTTCCATTCAGACAAAAAACAAGAGACAGAGGAAAGAGGACACATCTGGCTGGATAGGACTGTAGGTTGGGAACATGTGGCTCCACAGTCAGGCAGCAGACCAAACCAATCAAACCCTAAACTAGCATTTATTTGAACCTTCTGGTTGAGATTTTCCAGTTCCATCAATACAACAAGTGGCAGAATGTTTAAAGCAAGGTTAAAATCAATACAAACCACTCCCTTGAGTGCCTCGTAGCGTTTAGAAAATGGCGTTGATACACCAGTAATGAGAAAGAAGCTTGTCATATTATTTTTTTTCAAATCAATTTAATTTGGATAATTAAATGTTGTTCTTCTGTTGAACATTTGCGGATGTTTTAGTTAATCAACTTGAACAGTAGATAAAGAAAGTCGGCTGGTGTTGTAATTACTGTAATGGCAGTGCTTTAAATGAATAATTCTGCCTGAACTCAACCATATAAATTGATCCAAATTAAGGACAAAATCATGCATTTTATATACTGGTACAAAAAGTAATTCCATCTTAGTGCATTCATATGGGGATTGTGTGTTTATGTGGTATTTTAACGTGGATGACAGTAAAACGTGTATCAAGGCATTCTCGCACCAGTTCTATCACACAGTTAACTTACTGCTTTCTGTCAGATAGACCTGTTTATAAGGTATATTTGAGGCTAGACTGAACATTTGCTGAGTGCAGTGGAGATAACTATGTGTGCAGACTCTTGATTTCTTTTCATTGACACCATTTTTGCTCGTGTGCAACTCTGCCCATTAGAGCTATTTGTTTTAGATTATATACTTGCAATGTAGAGCAAACATTGGATGGATTTAGAAATCCCAACATTTGACTTCCATTTGTACGTTTTCTTGACTTTACCCAGGCAGAGTGTCTAAAGTCGGATATCTTATATGTTCACACCAGTTCTCATCAAAACAAGAAGTCGCATGTATTGTGTAGTAAATACATCTTTACTGTGTTGTTTATTCGCTATATCAGTATTGAATCGTGATGGTAATTCATGCAACTTTGAGATGTGCTTTTGAATCGGTCACAGTCAACCACAAATACCAGGAGATGCACATGAGCATATTTAGTATGCTGAAACTGTACTGCATATAACGGCCATATGGCAAGAGTGCTCAGTAGGTGCTGCTGCATTCAGAATGCTAATCCACCTACATACTGAGGGTCTGTTTGCCGTCCAGTGGTCTGGTGGAGCGCAGTCACACTTTGCAATTGTTTAAGACTCCTGTCGTGAGTATAATAATGTATAACTGATGCATGCATTCATGGCTCTTTTTGTGAGCCCAGACTCCATGCCATATGAAACAGTGGTGTGAGATATACTCTAGTGCTGAAACAACTAGTTGATTAATCTGACGTTTTTCATAACTTGTCTGGTTCCAGCTTCTCAAATAAGAGGATTTGCTGCTTTTCTCCGTCTCCTATGAATGTAAATAAAAAACTTGGACTGTTGATTAAACTAAATACGCAGTTTGAACAGTTACAAGTTGTTATTTTTGGCATTTTATAGTCTAAACAATTATCGTGTTTATAAACTGAATTAAAAAGAAATGAAAGACATAACAAAATTAAATACAGTGCCTCTATTTTGTATCCCTGTAACGTCAAATAGAAGTAGATGAAAAGGAATTAATTGGGTTTATAAAAGTAATTCCAAGTTGCAGCCCTGTATTTCTTTAATTTTGTTCTTGACAGCCTCTTTCTCTTTCTGCAGGAGTTTCAGTGAGAGCAGGTTTTGAGACTCCACAGGCCCGTCATGGTTTCCAACCTTCTTACACTCCATCTTTGCATCTCGGCTGTCTTCTAATGTAAGTGTCCCTCTCCTCTGTTAGAGCTCAGGTGTCACTGATTTGTAAATGGGGGAAATGACCTCTCCACTAAGCACATAACCGAAAAACAACATATTTCTTGCCAAATGGATAAACAGGGGAGTCACAAATCTCAGAAATGTTTCAGTGTTTTAGGAAAAGGTCTGATTCATTGTCTTTCTGAGAGTCAGATGAGATCGATGCCTCTCGCAGAGTTGTAGCCGGCAGGCGATTATCTTAAATTAGTATAAAGACTGGAAGCAGAGGGAAATAGCTAGCCTCTAAACCTGATTCATGAACACAATGTATTGTAAAAAAAAAAAAAAAACACTGTCTCCTGCTGTAGCTCGAAATGTCCCGATGCTTTGTTTTTGTTCAGCAAGAAATGGCAGAACAAGAGCCCATTTGAACATTTCTGTACAAATGATACATTATAATAAGAGCTTTGGAAGTGTTTGTTGACATATTTTTGAGCGAAATGTTTACCCTTTCCTCCCGTCGTTATTCTAAGCTAGGCTAATTGGCCTCTATGCTCAAGCTGTGTAATTACGTATTTGTAGTGGTCCGTTTGTGCCCAGATCTAGAAAAAAAAGACTTTTTGTTTGCGTTCAGCCAATACCCGCAAGCAGACTTTGATTTAATGTGACGTGTGGTTGTCCCCTAATTGCAGCAGGTACAACAGCCAGGGTAGCAAGCCTGCACACGACTGTGAACACGGAGATGTCTAAGCCGGACAGAGCTAACAATTTGACCCTGAGGGGAGAACTGGAGGGTGGGCGTCACGGTTCTGTGGCGACGCAGTCTCGCCATCGTGGGTCGGCCTTACCGGTATCGCCCGTGTGGGAGCGCTGTGCAGTGTGGCGGTGATTAGCGAGCCAGTGGGAGACACACAGCTTCCATTCACATAATGGGTATTGAATGAAGTACTCCATTGGTATCGGTATCACTTTAACGACACCCAGCCCTAGGTGTCGGCAATTCTTCAGTTGGAAAACAATGACGCCATTTCAGAGGAAGAGGTCGCAACAAGATGACGTCATTTAAAGAGTGCCAGTTTATCCTCAAAAGCAAAAAACAAAATCTGATCTGTACGATGATGAGTTTTTAATCTGCCGCTATTTTTTTTTTTGTCTCTTTAGCGGAGAAAAATCTTCAGTGGACGGTGACGTCATACGCTTCATACGTCATTTATTCGCTAAATCTGTTTCCATTTCCCTTTGTCGCATTTCACTTTCAACAATACACCAACCTTTCCTCCTCAGCCAGGCCTAAAAATGCTATTGCAATATTTGAAGACTTTGAAGACTTTCTGTTTCCACTCTTCCTTTTTTGGGGGGTGGGGGGGTATTTGTAATGTGGACTGTTTTACTGACTCTGTTTTCTTCTAACACGGTCTATACGATATGATCTGCATGCGGCCTCCTTAGCGCACTCGCACAAAAGAGTGGTATTCATTTCATATTCCCCCAAAAATCACGGAACAAATGCTTAAGCTTCTACAGGTCATGATTGGATCATATTTGGATATACAATCTCATACCATCGTCATCAAAACACAAAATTAGGGATGAGTTTAGAGACTACAGAATCTCAGTCAAGGAGCACCAAAGCTGTTCTGTAAGTTCATGGTGATTTTTCTTTTTCTTCTTTCATTTCTCATCCATCTGTATCTGTAAAGCCTGAAACATCCTCAGCTGTCTGATAACGGCTGCATGATAACTTACAACATGTTTCATCAGTTGAGGTTACATCACAATGTTACATAAATATACTAATTCAGCCTACGTTGGTTATCTTTGCAGGCATTATAGAAACCTTTGTTGGACGTAAGTATGCTGAATATGTTGCAGAACATTTAAGTCACATCTCTGCCGGCACTACCGGAATCCAGATGTCTAATTAGCTCATTCTCTTCTCCTCTGTCTTCAAACTTTCCATCTCTCTCTGTCTCGCTCTGAAGGGTTTGATGGAGAGCTGGTCGAATGTCAGCGGGAACTATTGTTATATCCGGAGGAATTCTCGCCGGAGTGATACTGCTGTGCATTGTAGCAGTGCTCTGTTACTGTAGACTCCAGGTATCACCGTGTCCCCGTGTGTGTGTATAAATGTGCATGTGCTCAGTCATTTGAAAGGAGGATTTTTTCTTTTTTGAATAATGATAAGAGCAAAATTCAATGTAAAGTTTAATCTAGATGACCTATGAAAAAGTGAGCTCAGCGATCTGTGAATATCACGAGAAATGTGTTGTAGTTTAAAAACCGAGTAGAGATTTCTGGCACAACTTCCCCAATGTCCTTGTCTGCTCTCTGCAGTATTACTGCTGTAAGAAGAATGATTCTGAGGTGGACGTGGGCTCCGTGGTGGGAGCGGACCCTCTCTCACACTTTCCCTGCAACGCCTGCAACGCACTGGCCATGGACGGCGCGGCTATCACCCCCGTCTCTCTGGATCAGCTGGACTCGGGTTCCCACCACAACCACTGCCCCACCTGTTCGCCGTACTCGCTCCGCTCTGGACTCGCAGACGACCTGCACAACGGAGGGGAGCGGCTGGGCTTCCACACCTACTACGAGAACCCGTGCGTCTCTCTCCCGCTGTCTGCCAACCCACAGGGATCCTCCCCTCTGAGTTACTGCAGTCCCACGGACATGTTTCCTCCCCCACCCCGCCCCTACAGCACCCAGGTCTGACCTCGCATCACATGTGACTAAAATGTGTCTACATTGAGATGTGATTCACCTGGATTGATGCATCATTCAAGACAAGGTTGAAGGTGGTCAGGGACATGTGTGAGCATGTACAGTAGTATAGTGTGAACACAGAAGGGTCCCCAGGCACACTGAAAGACAGCCAAGTACTTTTACTTGTGTTGGTGCTAGGGATGCAAATTTTAAGCAATTCCCACAAGCCATGTTATTGACATATGATTTACAATTAGTCATTAAATGCTTATGGAATACGCAATGCATATTTTCCCCCAAAAAGCTAACTTAGAACAATTAATTTGCGCCATATGTTTTGAGTCATGAATTAAATGAAACAAAATAACTTCCTGAATAATTTCCAAGGAGTTTTTGGATGTAACTATATGTAATTTAATACTAGTCGTTGGAAACGGGGATATCCTTGAAAGAACAAACATAAATCCAAGTAAATATTACCTGACTATTAATGTATTAGTAGTAACTTTATTCTCCATACACAGTATGTTGAATTGTATGCTTGTCTATTCACATTTTTTACATGTTCAGCTGATCTGCGACTAAACAAATCTCACGCTAGAAATGAATGAGAAGGAATGAATTAGTCTAAAAAGTGTAATTGAACACAGTTTCCCCACAATTAGCACCAAATTACACAGATCTTTTTGGAAACATGGTGGGTATTTGGAAATTATTATTATTATGGACCCATAAACAAAAGCATCACCACATTTTCTGCTCCTGCTCTAACTGCCATTATTCACAAATGACACTAATTACAATATAAAGTTACAGGACATCAATTCGTTTTTGGTTGTTTTTAGACCCTTAAAAATAAAGTATAATACCTTCAACAAGTAAAAATATATAGAAAGATATGCTACCCTGTTCTTCTAACCACAAACTGACGTCTTTATCATAGATTGATATTAGTGGTTTTAGTATGACAAACTTCCCAAACACTGATGGATAATTTACCTTTTATAAAACACCTTAGATCAGAGTTTTAAGTCCAAATCCACGGGAATAGCCACAGAAATCCTCTTCTCCGCCTGTGTGGCCGGAGACATGTCTATTTTTTTTATGTTTAGCGCCAGCTATAGTTTTAGAACACATGGAAGGTGACGTAGAGAATTATTGTGATGGCTGGTATTAGCGTCTCTCTGTTGTCTGTGCCTGAAAAGGACCAACACCTTGTTAGTTTCTGTTATTCTCACCCGCATTGTTCCCTCCTTTCTCTGTGCTGCTGTTAACTGGAAGGGTCAATGCTAGCCTGAGAAACCTCCACCCTGCTTACTGTACATGAGGGCTAACAGTTTTTCTATTGGTGTTGTTGTTTGCTAAATATAGAAACTGCTAATGGCGCTTCATTGTTTTTCTCCAGAGGAAAGACACAAAGAGTGAAGGAGAAACTACAAGTTTTACGCATTTTTGTGCATCTTGCTATTATTTGAAGGAATCTAGTTTTAGTCTGCTAGACACAAAAGTATGCTAGAAGAATTTAGTTGGCTTGTGTGTTTACTTCTCGTCAATTGTAATGAAAATAGACCACTGAAAGGAGGTTGGTTCTCCAGTGTCTTCCAAGTCGACGTATTTAACTTTTTTCATGTTTACACATTGAGACGGATGAGAAAGAAATCCTCCTCAGATTTTAGGGGTGTTGTAGGGCAGAAAGGATCCACTCAGATCCTGTACCATACGTTGTTGATCTTGAAGCTTAAGTTTTGTATCCTATAAGCCATTATATCTGCTATACCGTACAGTAACAAGATGCAGTGTTATTCCACAGTATATGCCCGAATCTATATATTTTTAAGGAGTGTTGTAGTTTTTGTGAGGGCTGTCAGGATTTAAATGTATTTGTACCAAATGTTAGTTTTCCATACTCTTCAGTTATTCTTCCATCTGGATTTTCCTCTGTATTTCTGCCAGTTATAATACAACAGAGGAATACAATGAGAAGAGAATGGAAATGTACATTTTGATCTGGAAATTCACTTTTAAAATTATCCTTACATTTAGCTTAAATGTTAAAAATAGTAAAAAAAAAAGAATATTTAGCATAACGGATTAAAGATATTTATTCTGTATTCTTCGCACCACATTGTTTCCACTGAGCTGTGAGCTTTATTATCACATCTAACTTTTCTCACCTCACAACCCCTTGTTATTCACAAGTATGTGCTAAATTATATATGTAAAACGACTTTTTTTTGTTGATTTAGACTCAGCATTCTTGTTCACTGCCAATATACTCACTCAACAAATGTGGTGGTCATAGTTTGGGGAAAGGGATTTAGTTTTTTGTGACGACCCAGTTTGTTGCACCATTACTCAGAACTGAACTGTTATTTTAAGGTTCCTGTTAAAAATTGTATTTTTCAGATTTTTCTCTATGAAACTAGAAGTTTTGGTATATACCCTGATACAGTGCGAAAAATCCACCAAGTTTCACAAAATGTTCCTTTTATTTTGGAGAAGGAATAAATGTTTGTATCTGCCTGGACTTTTTTTGGTTTGTCTTACCTCACAATGACTCAACAAGTAGATGCACAGGATGTTGAAATTACAGTTTCTGGGTTAAGAGGGGGAGAGAAAGCACCTAAATATAGCAGGAAGTGTTGAAAAACCACAAAGGGACAACAATTAAAACTTGAGTAAAATACAAAGAAGGAAGTGAAAAGTAGCTACACGTCGAAGCTCGAAAAAAAACAAAAGTGAAACTGGGAGAGAAATCAGTCGTCGAGAAAAAGAGGATTTAAAAAAAATGAAGAGAGATTTCAGGGAGAAATTAAGAGAAACTGCCCCCGAAATGTGGAAATAGGATTTATAAGAAAAGTGTAGAAAATAAATAAGAAAAGTGTGTGTGTCGTTTAAGGGGGGGGAGGGGCTGAATCCTCTTTGTTATTCTGTGGTCGTGCTTTGGTATCCCATCACTTTACCTGCTGGACCTGTTTGCTCTCTGCCCAGCCCATGACAATAATAGGCCGTCGTGTTTGTGTCACGCCATCACCCCGGGGTGACATATCACAAATACCTCATCATTTACTTCGTCCTGATACACCCGCAGTGTTTAACCGGCAGTCTGACAGGTTCACACAGCATCTCTGCAAGCTAGTAGAGTGTGACCTAAAGGAATAAAGAACAAAATGGAAGTTAATTAAATTCAACGACATAAAAAAATATTGTGGGACCTGATTATCGGCAAAAAAAAAAATCGGAACCAAACAGATGACTTGATTTATTGGAAAGGTGTTGGATCATAAACAGATGTTGTTTTTGTGTAGGATTGTGTGTGAGAGAGAAGACGGGTAAGGTGAGCACTGTTGTGGGTGTGTCTAAAGCTGTTGTTCTCACACACACACACACACACACACACACAGAGGCCTGTTGAACCTGTTACTGCCCATACACCTGTAACACACACTCCTTCACCTGAAACTGTGTAGAAGTGGCTCTGACTGCTACATATTCAGTGTGTGTTTTAAGTGTAGCTACACTTTACATGTGGGACAATCTCTTCACCCTCATCTCTCTCTCTCTCTCCGTTATTCACCTTTGGACTGTAAGCTGGGTTTATTTGCATCAGGGCGACTTGGACTCTATCCTGATTATTTCCTGTTCATGCTCCTCCGCTGGGTTGACCTCTCGCTTGCATCATTGTGAGTAAAAATAAGACGGCTACATCGTTCTGAACTCGCTTTACCTCTCCGAATCAAGACATACAGCGTGACCAACACTCCTGATGGATTCTCTCGATTCTCTCTGGTTGGAATTGGAAGCTCCCTGCAAAATGCTGTGATTGTTTATGTGAGTGTTGGCAGCTCCTGGGGCTGCAAAATCAGGGCAGGATGATGGAAGAGGTGTCCACGATTATGGCATATGATGCCCACGTTATGGAACAGATGAGCGAAGACGAGATCTTGGCCTGCTTGGTGGATGAAACGGGACCTATATTCACAGTAAGACTCACGTACAGTTGCTGTTATCACAATTAATCTCAACAGTTTAACCACAATGACAGACTAACCAAAGATGAACTCCATCACTTGGTGAGGTTACTGTTTTCTATAAAGCATCTGATTTGTGTGAATATGCCTAAAAGCTCGCAGATGCAAAACATCTTTGCTTATTACTGTGTGAGGTATTTCTAAAGTCACCATGAGAGTTAGTCTGATCCACAATAACGCAATGCATTACTCTGCATGACAGATATGTGATTTGAGATAGAAGAAATTGGGTTCTGATTGTTCATGTCAGATGTTTGAGATGGAAATTGTCAGTGCAGGCTTAAAGTAAATCCTCCCCTATACTATCATTCCTTTATGATTGTTAAATGATCCGTCCCCCACGCGCTCAGCTTCATCTTATCTTGTACTAATGCCTATCTTCATCTCTCTCGGCCTGTTCTTGATTTGTCGCGCTCGTACAGCATCCGGCACCAGATCTGTTTGGATCAGATTGCTTTCTTCAGCCCAGTCAAATATGTCATCGCTGTATTTCATTAGCCTTGACTCTCTCCCCGTCAGATCCCAGCGACTGAGGCTAAACTGGGGGAAAGCCGGCTTCAATTAATGGATGATGATGAGCCTTTGGACAAATACCTGGTCAGAAATCTTTTACTCCTTCCAGAAACACAGACATTTAAGTCACACGCAAGTCCATTTTCTGATTGAGTTTTTTTGCAGAGGGAGAACCATCGGCTGCAGGAGGCCACCCTCCGTCTGGAGCAAGAGAATGACAACCTTGCTCACAGATTGATCGCAAGCAAGGTTTCCTTGAGGACCGCTCTGGACGAGGTATGATTAGCTACTGCCCTTCACCAAAAGGGTAAAAGGGTTTTATTTTAGAAAAAGCATAATCACCTGCGAAAGGTCATTACTCAGCCTGTCAGGAGACGGCCAAACTGTAACCCTAATGAAACCTTTACGGCATTAAAATAGCAACTCAGTCTTCAGTCGTCTAGTCTCCAATAAACAGACCAGCAGCACAAAGCATGATTTCATGTTATCTAAAGAAATTTAAAGCAGACGATATGTTCTTAGAGTGTAATTTGTTTTTATGAAATGGCTCAACAAAACCCTGAAATATTCTGGTACAAAGATGATCAAACATTTTAGTGGTCGTTTCATTTTCCTGTGTTAAAATTCTCTAACTTTGTCACAAAAAATAATCTGGAGAAAAAAATAATCACAAAAAATAATCTGGAGAAAAAAATAATCATATTCATATTCTCCAGAAGTATACAGTACAGGACATTTTACATTTTGTTGTGTGTATGCGAGTCTGATTTATATATATTTTTGAATGGTTTTCTTTAATAACAGACTGTTGGTAATGTTTAAAAACGTATACGCAGCATTCTGGATCCAGCCTACATTATTTCTGACTCAAAAAATGAAAAATGAGTTTATAAAACACAATGCTTTTAATTTGAACTGAGCGTATTTGCTTCTGACCAGAAGAATGTGTGTTTGCAGGCGGAGGACAGAGTGGAAGAACTCACCAAAGACCTTTTTCGAACCAGACATCAACTGCAGGCTACAGAAGAGGAGAAAAGAGGCGAAGAGGAGGAATCTGCCGTGGTAACGTTTCTAACACCTCACAGTAGTAATGGGTTTAATGTGATGGTTAACATGCGAAAGTAAAGGACTTCTTCTCTTCTTACAGTCGAAGGAAGTGTTTCGGAGAGAGCTGGAGAAGGCTGAGCACGAAGTCAGAAGGTCGTCGGGTGTCATTGCGGACTACAAACGGGTAGAAAGACTCAATGATTGGAGTTAGGAAAGACCATATTCCTCATAAGAGGATATATTAATAAAGAATGCAGTGCTGCCTAATGATGTTGATGCTCTTTCTTCTGCTCAGATCTGCTCTCAGCTGACAAAGCAGCTGGAGAGGCAGCAGGCCGCCCACAGAGAAGAGTTAGATACACTCGAGGTGAGAATAGTACTCTTCCTGGGGAGCTCTCCTGTCATCCTTCCTACTTTTATCCCCTTTTTTACTCGGTCATGACTCCACTTGAACGCCATGTTGTAGGAGATCCTTTAACAACCCATTCTTTATTTTCTCTTTAGGGTTCATTTTATTGTTTAGTGGTTTTTAAAAGCTGCGGGTGTCATATTTGGGGCACATAAGTCTTGACTCTGTCTCACATTTCGCCTATTATTCTCATTCTCCACCCTTGAAGAGTGCAGTGAAGGCTTGCTCGCGCTGCCGACACATCGTGGAATCAGATGAACCATCTGCCACAGTTCGGAAGTCTCCAACAGCAGCAGCAGCGATAGAAGTCCACGGGATGACTGAACCGTGCCGGGAAGAGGACGACGAAGGTCCCAAAAAGGCAAGGCAGAGGGGAGACGACCGGGAGAAGGAGTCCCTCAGGGCCCAGATCAGGGAGCTCGAACAGGAGTTGGCTACGACCAAACTCCAGATGGTGGAGTCCAAGTGCAAGATCCAGGTCAGAGCAGACCATCAAACCATCACACAGCACGTATAAATATACACATTTTGTGAATCTAAGCATGCAATATACTCTGTCACATCATCCCAGCTAATAATGTGTTGTCACTTTCATATGTACACTAATGTTATTGGAACTTCAGACACACACACACAGAGAACCAAAGCTTTGTACTTTTGGGTACTTTCCTGAGAATACGTTTATCCCCAGACCCCGAGAAAGAAAAACCTAATTATTTAAAGTACCCTCCAAACTTTAATTCAATAAGGAGATATCAACTTCAACTGTTTAAGTTTTCATTGAGGTTAGTAACTGAGAAAGACTTTGGCTGTTCGACCCCATCGATGTGACGCATCCTCTTTACACGTAGGCCCATATGAAGACAGTAAACAGGACAGGATAAAGTAACGTTCACATTGTCCAGCTTCATTTCTCACATACGCCTTTGTTTATCTTCGTACAGGAGCTGGAGCACCAGAAAGGAATGCTGGCCAACGATCTTCAGGAAGCAAAGAACAACTGGATCAGCAAGGCCTTCCCCTCCCTGCGGACCTCCAGCGAAGGGGGACTTCACAGTATTAGCATACCCAGAGATGGAGCTCCCACTGTGGGCTGGAAGCTCCACAGAAGCTCCTTCTCTGGATGGAGCATGAAGATGCCGTCCTTGCCTCACAGAGAAAATCGAGAAAACGTCTGATGGCTCGAACCGTGAATGTGCATATCACTTACAAGTGGACCACAGCAACAGGATAAAACCTCAGAGTATTCATTCACAATGTTATGTATGTAGTCAATACTGTAGCTGCTATTTCTTCTTGTGCCAAAGGGCAGTCACAAAACCAGCAGAGGAGAGTACCTGAGAGCACATACAGGTGCTGTGAGACAGTCTTGTCTGTTGGCCACTTTACAATGATGAAGTCATTTTTATATTCGTAAGCCAAATCCATGTGCCTTGTGATTTGTTTTTTGTACATAAATCTCATTCTTGTCCTGAACTTCTCGTGTCTTTATTCGTAACAATTTGAATACAACACAATACGACACAAGTTTTGTGTATGACATAAGGAGAGCTGACTCATTAAAGGAAATGGTTCTTTCTGTAGGTTTCCTGTGATACACCACATCTTCCTCTTTCACTTTGACCGAGCCGGCTTTTAAAGTGCTGATCAGCTGCTGCTCAAACACACAGACGAGATTCGTCGGCAGGCTGTAACGCAGTTCGTTATCTCGGAACTTTGACAAGTGAGGGTTCAGCACAGCAACTATAAAGCTGTTTAGACCGCTGCGCTCGGGTCATAATTTCTCCCGCCTGAAGCTGTGATGGCTGCGATGGTTGACGGTGTGTGCGTCACTGTGACTCTCCTCTTGTGTGTTCTTGGAGGCCAAGCACTGGACCTGCTGAGGGTGACTGCAACATCAGGGGGTGAGTACCAATCTGAATGAAAATATGCTCACAGTTTATATAGTTTTGTGCTGGTGTGCTTTCAATATGTATGACATTTAATCAAAAATACCAAAACGGAAAACACAATCATTCTATGTCATAAAAGCTTTCTTTTTATGATGCGGTTGTTTTCAAGGCTTCTCGTGTCCTGTCGTGTTTACATTTCTGTCTACACAATAAATATTACAAACATTTTCTTTCTTTTATGCTCTGCTCAGGTTCCTCATTATGTGACTCAGTGTGATTTCTTCCCTCAGATCCTCCCTCCACTCCCATAGTCCATTGTTGGTGTGCGAGCTACCCGAATGTGACTTTTTGTTCCTGGCCTGAAGCCTCTCGATCCCCACCAACACACTACGTTGCCAGTTACAGGTAAATCCGACATAGAAAAACAACTGTCCTCCTCCTCCTTGTTGCTGCCGACCCAAACCATTGACACCTTTTAGTAAAACCGACTGCAGTCGTTAATGAGGAGCTCATTTAAATCTGTGTTAATGTGTTTGTCAGTGAGCGACACAGACAGCTGGTCACCAAGCCGTGCCAACTCATCCAGCCCGGCTCTGCATCCTCTGACCTGATTTCAGCATCGTCACCCTCATCTGAGCGGGTACCAACTTAATTTACTGTTGCAGCAGAAATACTATCTTTAGCAAAAGAGGGGGTTTCCGAAACTGGAAACTGATTTTAGACTAAATGAAACCAAGGGACTATCGTGAATATTTTTTTATGGTGTTGATGATACTCTTAGCTCCATTTCCAAACTGCTCACTGTGGATTGGCTGAGTTTTGGGAAACCCATATTCACGGTTCTTGTTATACAGTAGCTGTAACGGACGACAGGCCAGTTTAAAGTATGTCTTGTGAGTATGAGGTAGACAGTAGTCAGTAAGATAAGATAAATAGTTAGCGTTGTGCCTTGCATTTATTGTCGATGGGAATCTCCTCACACCCATCCTCTCATGCACAGATCTATAATTTATTGTATGTTTTTACAATTACATTTTACATTTTCAACTTAATAAAACATTAAGCTGTCAGTTTGCAAACATTAGCAAAATACTTGAAATTGAGACATGAAATATACTAAACATATAAATAAATAATGAATCTAAAATATACATATATATATACAAAGCTATAAATAATATATTACCTAGCATCACATATAATCTTGTAATCTTTTTTTTATTTATTTAGCTCTGGCACTGCCACCTGCCCAACCTGAAGCTTCTCACTGACTACATCATCAATGTCACAGCATTTTCTTCTGGTGGAAGCAGATCCTATTTATCAAGTTTCATGTTGGAGGATATAGGTGAGAGCTAAAATGATCTAAAAGAGAATAAGTGGTGGAATGCATGCGTGATTGAGTTCGCTTATGATAATGTATCGCAAATTGTAAAGACACTTTTGTTTTGATTTTAAATTCCCATCGTTGTCTCCTTCTCTCTGCAGTGAAACCAAATCCCCCCGTAGATGTCCGGGTTTCCGCTCATGACACCAGAAAGTTGTTGGTGGAATGGTCTCATCCCCCGACTTGGACTAACCTGGATGTCTTCCCCCTAAAATACCAGATACTGTACCGGTGGGAAAACAGGGGCACCCCGAAGTCTGTCAATGTAAGAACAACCTTCATGAGCAGTAACAGCAGCAAGGGATTTAAATACACACAGATACCACATCATGTGGAAGTTCACAATTACCAAACTTTTTAGGGAATTTCTCAGAAAGTCTCTTCTTCTGTGGAAATCCTTCTCATTTCAACCGAATTTTGTATATATTTTTTGAATCTATTTAATTTAAAGCATTAAAATGTTATTTAAACATAAACATCCACACAATAATACATCTTATAGTCTTTAGAATTGTACAATTTTCATTAATAATAACATAAGAATGAGAAATGTTGATTGGAGTGCTTCTAATTTAAATCATACACTAATGCTCAAGTGTTAAAGGATTAGTTCTATGGATGATTTTAAAAGGATGCATCATACATTTTCTCCTCCAGCTGGGTCCATTTGAGAGCACCAGGGTTGAACTGAAGGGGCTGACCGCAGGGAGGACCTACCTGTTCCAGGTGTGTGCTAAAGATCTGCTGGGTCTGGGCGAGTGCAGTAGCTGGAGCTCACCTGTGATATACATCATACCAAGAAAATCGTAGAGGCTCCCTCTCACTTCCTGATTTATTTAACCCGCTCCTTTCAAGCCATGCACTGACGTAAACTGCAGAACCGCAAACAGGTTGCATCTTTAACTGCAAAGCAATGCAAGCAACAGTTATTGGTATTTTGTTTTATTTATAAAGGAGAAAATGGATATTATCTGTACAGTGTACAATCAGCATTCCCATTGAATATTGTTTTGTATTGTTTTGTGATACTGTTGGTTTGAGTTGCTTGTCTTTGGAGCAAATGATAATATAGAAACCATACTGTAAGACATTGTGATAGATGGTCAAGGTGTCTGACCAGCAGTTCATGACCCCTCTTTAAAGACACATTTTACCATATTTTTCTCATTGTGTGGCATTTCTGTGAACAATGTAATAAAAACAAGGCTTTCGTAAAGAATCTGCACACCTGTCAGTCAACGACATGCACCACCAGTGGTGTGACAAACTCTGAGTGTCTGACACCCAGACTGAAGGACGGTGGTTTGGGGAGATGCACGTGAAACTTCTCCGGGCTGTACGTGCCGGGGCCGGGAGTGGCAGAGGAATAATTCTGCCTCTTAGTCCGTCTCTGAATGGAGAAGGAGGGCTGGCGCTGGTGGTAAACGTCCGGGTTGGTAGTGCCGTATTTTGCTGGTCCAGGACTCATGGAGAGGTCTTCAGAGGGAGCTCCGACCTTCCTCCGTGCTGAGAAGCTGTAGCGGGCACTGGAGGGTTTATTTGGCGCCTGGCAGCCCAGTAGATTAGGAAGACTGTAGCTGGAGTGAAGAAAATGACACATTAAGGTTTTCATTTCAGAAACAGTATCTCTGATTTAAATGATAAGGCTGGAAATAATCTGTGTCTCAAAACCTTCCAAAGTCCCCAGCTCAGCCCAACTGAAGAAGTAAATCTTTAAAGACATGTCACAAATATATATATATTGTAGTTTTTAGCAGATAAACGGGTAAATACACATTTGGTTTGCATTATATGTGGGATTGACTCAAAATAAACTGCAATGCCCATGTTCTTCATAACAAGGCCATCTCATAGAGCACAGAGAGGAAAGAAAAAGTCACCAGCCTTATCCATGAATGTCTCTGTCCTGCTGTCTTCACCTGTTGGGTGCTGGCACAGAATCCACAGAGCGGTATCTGGTGCGAGAGCCGATGGTGTAGGATGGTGGTCTGTGGTGAGCATTGACAGGTGGAGCCTTCTCCGGGCTGTAGGCCCCCGGCCCTGGAGTCTGGAACACCTGGCCTGTGATAGAAAATGGTTTGGAAAGATCTCTTTATAGAAAAATCCCTTCTACACCTAATTACCTGGATAGCAGTGTGTTTCAAGATGTTTCATTCACCAATTAAATTAATTTTCGTGGACCACTGATGGGATCATTTACCCAACATCTAAGTATGTGTATATATATATGTATGTGTGTGTGTATATATACACTATATTGAGCAGTTCTGATGCTTGCCAATATACCTGATGAGTTGATTGTAAATAGTAAACAGAAGTTCATTTGTTTTCATCACCTCTGTTATTCCCTGTGCACCCTCTGCCCAAAATGGAGTAAGAGGGGGTTTCCATCCGGCCAAACCGGGTGACCTTGGCGTCAATGTAGTACCTTGGTCCTGGGCTGGAGTCCACAGATACCACTACAAAAAAACAGGATGCACAAGCACTCATCCAAAGACACTTTTAGACCTCGTACAATTAAACAAACCAATTCCAGATAGGTATTTGGCGTACAAAAAAGAGACCATAAAAACTGGGGCACTGCAGACCAGTACAACAGAAAAAACGTGACATGTTTACAGATTACATACGTATATAACAACTCACTGGCACTGCTCATGCGGCTGTGAAAGGAGTATGCAGGGCTGCTGGGCTTTGTGATGTCATGGTTGATGTATCCAACTGTAGGGGGCAGAGCGTAGCGTCCAGGGCCCGGGCCTGACAATGAGAAGAGGAGGAGGAGGAGGAGGACGGTAATGAAAATGATGCAACGGATTCAGCTCCGCGCAGCAGTGTAGCTCTCCCACTGCTCTTTGGCTCGGGCTGTGTTGTCTCTGATGATTTCCATATGGAGCTCTTTCCCTCATTTTCTATGGTTATGCATTTTAACGTTCTTCCTCTGCATGTTGGAGTCTAACTATAGTAGACACCTCAAACAAGTATGGAGCAACGGCTGTATAGTGCTGTGAGAGATTTCATAGCAGAAGCAAACTCGGCTAAGTTCATGTCGGTGCACACACACACACAGGCACACACACACACACACACACATACGCACACACAGATAGGCATACAGATTTCTTAAACTGACCTCTTTCTCTTGCAGAGATTATCGGCCGTTTCAACTCCTGCATACTCTGCCGGCCTCTTTCTTCCTTCTTCATCTTTGTCCCCTTCTCTTTACCTTTGGGTCCTCTGTCACTTCAGACACATCCTTGTTTTGTGTGTGTGTGTGTGTGTGTGTGTGTGTGTGTGTGTGTGTGTGACTCTCCACAGGTGATCCACGGCCTCCTGGGCTGAATTATACATGGCCGTGAGGTGAGAGAAACCCTATCTTGATCGAGGCCCTGGTTACGTCCAACACTTATCTCCACCTCCTTTTCCTCAAAGTCCCCTCAGTATAAAGTTTTTCACAACATGGTCAAAAAGTTGACTCTGTCAAGGCTAAAAAGAGGAAAACCAGTGATTGTCGAAGACACATCTTCTCTGCAGCTAATTGTACATTGAAGTTTAGGTGCTTTATTTACATAGAGTCTTACAACAGTAATGTCACTAACATGTAAGTTCATTTGTCATCCTATTCCGAGGCGTTAGGTTACTACAGCTGATATGTGTGGTGAACCTCTCAACTACACAATGTATGTTGTAACTAATAGCGTCTCAGAGCACATGCTATTAAAAATGAAAGGACTTACACGGATCTTCTGTTGCAGGTGGATATTTGACAAGATCAACGTTGCTGTAATAAAGAACCACGGACTAGTGAGTAGGCAGATTCGGACTGCTTTTTGTTACTTAGTGAATATATATTTAGATTGGTGCAAAATCTCTAAATGATTCGTTGTCTGCCAAACTGGCCGGTAAATTTAGTAAGGCGATGTGACAGCTTGCCAGATGGCTTCTTCCAGGAAGGAAAACAAACAAAAAAAACAAGCTTTTAAATATTGACAACTCTCCAGGGATTTTTGTGCATTTTCTCTTCTATTGGCTGGTGAATCACTCACAGTTAAAAGCCTAAATGTATCATCCCTCAGTAGTGGGAAGTAACCACTGTACGCACATTGTAAGTACTTTTGTTAAGTACAATTTTGAGGTTCCTAACATGTACTTGAGTATTTATCTTTTATACTTTACACTTCAAATCCACTACATTCAGGGGCAAAATTCAGAGGCAAAGATATTTCCTCAGATGTTTTGATTTTAAAAATTGTTCTATTCATGTGAGGGAATGTACAAGGGGGGAGGTAAATGCTATATTTGATTTTATAAAATAAAGGCAAGACCCTCCTCAGCATTAGTAAAGATAATAATAATAAATATAACATAGCTGTTTAAAATACCTTCTATTTAACCCATAAAAAGCTGCATCCATGCCCTTAAAAAGAGAATAAATATTCTCACATCATACATTCAAACTACAGAACTTAATTTAAAAAACTTCAATTCATGGGATTGTGAGAATGTTGGGGAACTTAAAATTGCTGTGCAGCCACAGAAAAGGTTGAGAAATATATTTCCACCATATTCTACAGTAGGCTGCTTTCACTGCTAGCATAGCACCCAGGCAGCATCTGAAACGTGTCAACTGTGAAAGAAAAGCCCGAAGGGGAACTCGGACACAGAGATGTTTGCTATCCAGCGTGAGAAACTCAAGTCGACATTCTACTAATTCTCACCCCGAACACAGAGGTAACTAACGCCTTTAGAGCAGAGCTATGACACCACACTGGTTAAATATTAAGCACCGGTGAGTCTGAGTGGCCTCAGGCTCAGTAATAAGACTGCTGTGTCACCAGCAGGAGAGGAACCCGCTACACTGACAGGAAACACAACCACTTATGTCTTGAGTTTCTCTGGTGAACAGTGAGACGATGCAGCAAGCATTGCCCCGTTGTTGTTGTTGTTGTTGTTGTTGTGGGACTGGGATCCAGATGCAGCCTGGATTCCTTAGGGAAGGCATTGGTCAAAGATGTCAGAGATTTTTATTGCCCTCCCCAAGGTTTGCATTCCTAATTGTTTGTTTTTCCTTTTAGTTATTAGTCAGCATTCATGAGTCCAATGGAAATTGTTGGAAAGTAAGGCCACGACCAAGGAAGAACTACTTCGATTTAGGTGCAGACAGCTCCACCGTGTGGACAGCTTTTTATGTTTCTCCTCCTAAATGCTAAATTATGAGGCGTAGATGCTTTTCTTGGCCACTGAGAATGTTTATCAAGACACTTTTTTTTGCACCTTCAAGAGATTTCAATAACATAACCTTTTCCATTCTTCTCTGGTTGCTAAAACTATTGTAAGCTTGGCCATGGTTCTTAAACACATTAAGAACTATACTTCCAAGGAGCACGGAAGAGTGACAAAGTCTCAAGAGGTCGTATGATGAGACGGATGAAGGCCACAAGCTGAAACGCGTTGGTATCACAATTAAGTTGTTCTTTACTTTCGAAGTGTTGGTGGAGTTTTAACTGTTCTTGATGACTGAGCATGTTCACATCTCACTTTGTTAAAGCCGATCTGGAACCAGCCGCAGCTTAGGGGGACTATAGTAGTAGAACACGTCCTTCAAAGGTATGGATTGTAAATTTCCATACATTTTGAAGACACTACAGGCGAATATGGGGTAAAAGAAAAAACACCTAATAAATATCACCACGAAACTTCCCTATTTAATGATTCTATTTTAAATTAAATTTTATTTTTTGTATTACAAGTTTTCTGAAATTTTATGTTTTAAAATGCAAATGAGGCTTATCCTAACTTTTAAAGCAGTTAAGAAACCTATAGATGCAAATAGTCAAAGTAGTAAAATAAACACCGTAACAAAATAGTTCAAAATTTGACCAGTGCATGAAACGCAATGTTTTTTGCCTGGGGGTGTCTCCCCAAACGTCTAAACAGCTTTTGAATATTAAAGTTACAAATTTTAATTGGCGCTGCTGTAGCTTGGGGGTTGATCTGCAGACCTTGAGTCACAACGTGCACAGATGTCAAGTCTCATATCCACACTAGATAAAGAGTTAATAAAGAACACAGAACTGATTTCTGACCAAACATTTCATCTTCCACTGATAGTATCACACATTTATTGCATGCATTCTGCTTATTTTGGTGGCAATATGGAGAGAAAATGAAATTCTGTTCCATATTATGACGTGTTCTTTTTGTCCTTATACGTGGCAGTTTTATAAATATTTCAGCTCAGACAATCGGAACCAGAGTCTGTACAGCAGGACATGTGTTGAGCAGTAAGTCATACTCTATGGAGCAATGGGAACATATGCATATTGTTGTATTATAGTGTCTGCTGTAGCGTGCAGCCAACTCATTTCCAAACTCTGTTTCTGACAACATCTTTATACAACATTAGAGATCGATAACAACTTCAGTCATTGATATTTCTTTACTAACTAAACATAACTTAAGACATAAAACATAACTTTATACAGATTTAAATATGCTGGTACAATTCAGTACAAAAATAAAGGCAGTGAAACGTCTCCAGACACAAACATCATCACGTCATCAGTCACATACTGTCGCTCAGAAACACATGAATGCTGGGTGAACCAGTTTGGCACTTATATGACAAAGCATGACTTAGAAATACTGTATGATAACTTTGTACTTTTTCTTTTTTCGTCAGAGCAACAGTGAAAAGTATTTGGAGTATCCATGGATGCTGAACTGCCACTAGATGGTGCTTTGGATCCACAAGAGAAACTCAACAAAAGGTCACACAATACTTTCAGATGCTCGGGCAACACTTTTAGTTAGTTTGAATCTGTTTCGATCACCTTTGAGCACATTTAGAGTTATTCATGCTACAACCTTCCTTTGAGAAAGCAGAGTAGTCCACGTGGTCTCTTTGTTAATGATGATACCAGGATCAGTTGCACCTTTTCAGACAGAAAAAAGGTTCTCATGTTGCCTAGAAAAATCCCACAGTTTATGTCCTCTCGTCGCCACGGCTGGTATTTGCACAAAATGTCCAGAGCAAAATGTCTTATAATTCCCATATACGAATACAATCTCTCTATCTCACACACACAAACACACACACACACACACACATACTTGTTTTCTGCTTGTAAAAGCAGCGTGTGCTAGGATTTATCCCCTTGGAGAACCTAAATTAAAAAGACAAAATCTGTTACAAATCAGGTTTAATAAAACAAAACTGTTTTTACTTTAAGTGCGTATCGGCTTGTGCGATTTGATTTGCGTGTCCCCTGCATTAGTGATGCTTACCTACCTGGTTGCGAACTTTGTGGGATTTCTGCATCAGCACTCGCCACTGGTCGTACAGCTTCATGGACATACTGCTGCAGCCGTAGGCGTGTTTCCGCACCCAGCCGAAGAACTGCTTCAGCTCCCTGCGAAGGGTGGAGTTGGAGTCACCGCTGGACTTTGAGTCGCAGGAGCCCGAAATCAGCCGCTCTGCATGAAGGGAAGAGAAGAAGGGAGAGGGAGGATGAGACTAGAGTAAGACTGGCTTTGGCGTTCTGTAATGAAACATCTTACAGAGCGGCAGTGGTGGTATTTCAGTCACTTAAACGTACTTAGTTGCATTCCTCCACTGCAGAGCACAGTTATTACAATAGTTATAGTTAAAGCAAAGAAAGCAAAGAAGAAGAAGTGAGAAATTACTCAAGATGTGTAGTGCGTGCCAGTGTAGAGCCATGAAAAGTTCAGGCAGTGAATTCACACAGTAACCGATAGGACCTCTCTTTCTTTCTGGTACTGTTGCCAAAATTCATGGGAAGTTCTGGGAAACCCTTCAAGTTTTTTACAACCCATGTTTTGTTTTCAAAGTCATGGCCATCATTCCAATAACTTATTATGATACTATTTTACTCTGCAATTTCATTGTTAAATCTTGGGAGGCAACAACAGCAGTTGGCCACATCTTTATAGCATCCAGTGAATCCGACGGCACAAATGAAGGTGTGTTTGTCTTTTATCAGTTCATTGTAAAGATCTTTGTGTTGCAACTAAAGCTTTACATGAGCAAAGTCTGCTTCGACCTTTTAATGTTTGGTTTGGCAATATTATGATTTGGTTTTGCTATGATTTTTGATTTGATTTGACTGATGCATCTGCCATAAATAAAAGATCAATACAATACAATCCAGGCTGGAAGAAGAGTACAGAAGTGTAAAACAACTCCATTCTTCTTCTACCAGGCTCGCGGTTTCCAGCTGTCGGACAGAGCTGTGGGACTTGTGCTGCACCGTGATATAAAGCAAGTTTTAGTGGCACAAATTGCCCCTTAAAATGGATCGAAATTACCTCAAAACTGAGATCAACAGCAAGCAAATGCCTTCTTAGTAGTCCTGTGTGTGTGTGTTTGAGTGTGTGCTCACCACTGTGGGGTGTGGATGCAGCAGTAGGATGGCTCCACTCGCTCCAGATCCCAGCTTTGCGAGAGCCGTAGATGCCCACGGGGTTACAGCGAACCTGGAGAAGATGCAACAATATGAACATGGACCAAATCCGATGTACACTTACATACACTCCAACACACACAAACACACACACAACCAGACCATACCGTACCTGGACAAAATACACTGTTCCAGGTCTCAGTCCAGCCAATCTACAAGATGTCTGATTCCCAACGTCATCCATCACCTACAGGAGAAAAAAGGAAAAGACTCAAACACAGAAGAGTTGGAGGTCTGACCGCAGTATTAAATACCAATGTGCGTAAACTTAAACACAGGGCAGAGTCAAGATGTAGAAAATACAACCACAAACCCTGAACAGACCTGAGCATGCATGCACACCACATTGTTTAGTGACTCCTGATCAGCATGTTTATGAAAATGTTTTAACGTAGCCGTGCCTGCTGGGTAAAAACCTGCTCTCTATTAGTTATTACAGAGCTGGATATGCTGAGAAACGCACACAGGAGCATGCACGTGTACTCGAAGACCGTACAAGACAGCAAAAGTAAGGACAGAAAAGATGGAGAGAAAGAGACGCCCACACACTGCAGTTAATAATCTTGTCTAATAGTCCCCACTTTCTCTCTCTGGCATTTGGTCTGTAAACACTTGTTAAGAACGAGTGCAACAGAAAGCAGAACCTGGAAATTACAGGCATCAGAGGGCTAATGATGTGACGTGGGGAAGCCAAATCGGCAGACGTTACCGCTGAGCGTCTTTACGGCCATATTGAAGGCATTAACAGCTGAGATGTATCCCTCCATTCCTCAGCATGACCTCATGATTAGGGCCGGTTCAGAGGGAAAACGGCATTTTGTTTTCACCACCAAACCCTTGAACCCTCGGATTTAAGTCTCCTCTCTCTTCCTTCGAAACGGTCTCATCCCTCCGCCGCCTCTCTCCACTCCCCTTCTTTTCTTTTTCCACTTTGCGAGCAAAGACTTGCTTATATTACATCTTTGTAATTCCCCCTTAATTACTGGAGAATCTTCACTCGTACCCACAGGACTCAAATGATTCCTGGGAAACACCATCTGCACGGCTGAAGGTTTTACACTGTATTTTTCATTCATTAAAAGTTTGATCGGAGGGATACACAGTGGCTCTGGCCGGTGTTTTTCTCCTGATCAAAACCTGACTTCTAGAGTTATGGCTGATGAAAGTTTCTGAACTGTTAACCCATCTGGCAGTGGAGGCCTCAATCAGACTAGATCAGGGGTGATTACAGCATTAGGATGAGAAACAGCTGCAGTGATATATCTGTTTGTGTGTGAGAGACAAAGAGAACAGATTTATGTCTTTATAACTCCTTGTCTTATACCTTCCAGTCTTGGCTGTCCTCCAGTCTGTAGCGGATCTGGTATTTGGCCTGAAACAGGAAGTCTTTGAGAGCGGGCGGAGCCTCCCAGCGAACACTCAGCTGGTCCTCTAACTGACCGACACGACTGACGGCCACACCTGACGGAGGGTCCGTGGTCACTGGAGGTAGAGGAGACGGAGGAGGTTATCAAGTGAGAAGATCTCATCAAGAGCAGAAAATATGCCAAAAATTCAGTTCTAACTTCAAAAATCTCTGAAAATAGTGAAAAATGGCCGTTATAATTTCCTACAGCCGATGGTGCCGTCTTTAAATGTCTTCAGCAGTTTAAAACCAAAAGACATTCAGTTTGTTATCACAAAGATGAGCATCGGATCCTCACGATGGAGAGGCTGAAGCCAGCAAATGTTTGGAGTTATTTATTGAAAAAATGACTGCAATGATTATTTGATTGTCGAAATAGTTGACGATTTATTTTCTGTCTATTGACTGATCAATTAATCGTCTAATTGATTCAAGTGACATATGGGAAATTTTGAATATTAGTAAATATTCAATGAAAAAGGTCTAGATAAATGAGCCGGATATGGAATATTTGGGGATGTATCATAGTTAAAAAATGTCTCTTCGTGTTGACGTCTTTGTATTACTTTTAAAGAATACAGTCAAAACTTACAGTTAACAATGTACTTTACACCAAAATGGTATATTTTTGCATTCAGACAAGAAATAAGAATCTTTAAAGCAGCATTACTTGCTTTTTTTGGCCACTCCGGGGCCTTGTGACCATTTGAAGTTGTTACGGTGAAGATGTTAGCAAACTTATTTACACACAGAGCAACATTACCATTCATTATGAGTTGTGTCTCTGGCCACCTGACAAATGACAAATGTAGGTCCAATATCTTTTTTAGCTCTTTTTAGCCAATATCTTCAATCACTCCTGATTGAAATATCTGTCCCTCTATTTGCTAAATACTCCGCTATGTTCACCAGCTAGAGTACAGATTTGTAATAGAGATAGAACCTGCTGTTGGAAATGAGGTTGACACGAGTGCTGAGAGGGAACCAGAGCAGTAAAGTTGCGAGCTGGAAAACCAAAACTGAGCCAAAGGACGCTGACGCTAGCCGAGGGCAACTGTAGAGTTGGGTCACATGTAGTCAATTAATCCATTGTTAATACAAAACCATTGATTACAGCAGAAAATTAAAGATGAAAGCAAAAATGACTTTTAAAAAGAGTTGGTGTATGCGTTGCTAACCAACCGGCTGGATTTCTATTTATTTTTGAGAGAAACTGTTTGTGACTATAATGATATAATCAGAGCAAAATTTCAAATGCACAAACAATGATATCATGCGAGGAACAAACTCTTTTATTTATTACATCCATTAACAAGTATATTTCTATCCTAAAGACCTAATGATGTACTTCTGGTGGACAGATGGCACAGATGATCATTTTAGCCAAGAATTTATAGCTCAGGGGCTTTTTCTACATTACAGCTTACGTTTGCAGGGTCAAGAAATGCACTTAATTCAAATCTAAAGCAGTAGGAGTGACGTCTTTGTGTGTAACCGCTCATTGGAGGATTGTTCAGCATTGGTGGAGGTTTGTGGTCTCTGAGCCTTACAGTTTCTGAAGAGTTGACTTGTGTGAACTGGAAGAGGCCTTCTTCATCTGACAACGATTATCTTTTCGACAAACAAACGTGCTGACAGACCATTATTTTAACTTTGCTCGCTTTTTTTTTTTTTGGGCTTTTAAGATTGTTTCAATATCAACTGCAGTCACTTTTCATAATGTCATCCCTTGGCGATAAACAAACAAGACGAGCCCAGGGGAGAGAAGAAGATGGGAAAGATTCAGTGGAGGGGAAAATAAAAGTGGGAGTTGACACAAGAGTTTTAGAGGATTCGTTTATTGTCCCCAGTGTTCAGAGGAACAAGAGACTTTCTGTTAACTGCTTCAGTTCGTACTCATGGGTGATTTTAAAAGTGTAAATATAATGGTAGCACGCACAGTCACCCGTCTTAGATTGTTTTTTATTTTTAACACAAAAGTGGAGTAAAAGTTTTAAAGCCTTGGTAAAACAGTAGAGTGGTTTTGAAGTGGACACACTAATCGCCCAAACCAATGACACGTATCGGACAGAAATGCTGATATGGTTTTCAGTTATTCCTGTGCTCACAGCAATTAAGCTTAACAAGTGTTTAATGGACTTTCTTTGCTCCATGTTTTGCCTCTCAGGCTACAAAGAGGCTGCTGCCCTACCCTCTGATTGGTGGATGTTTGGACGAAGCATAAGATCTGCTGGCAAATACTCAGGTCTGGAAAAAAAATACTTCAAAATCTTTTACAGAAAAAATAAAATAGAATAAATATTGCCAGAATTATGCATTCACTTTTATGACACTTAATATACATTATTTCACATAAAATGTTTCTATTTGACTACCATTCATTTCGAGAGCCTGCCTGTGGGTTTCATACTAATGTCTTGTTTGCTTGATTATTGTAAATATGAATGGCATTCAGATCATTCATTTTGAGATGACAACATATTTTATGACATCATTCTGATTTGTTTTTTCCAGACAATTATTCCGTTATCACAAGAAAAGCCAAGATATCTGAAGATAATAAGATAATTAACTTTGTATTTAAGTTAGAAGAGAAAATCTTTTAAATGGTATTTTTAATGAGGAATAAAGTTATTTGTCCGCTGATAAAAAAATGAACTGTGTAGTTCCAACATACATTATGTGCATTTGGCAATAAAAGTCAAAGAGACATGTCAAATTACAGATTCTTAACATCTATTGTGTCATCCCTCAACATATCCTCATCTCAGACTCAAGACACCAACACAAGTTGCCTCTAGTCTCTCAGTTCAGAGGGCTCCCCGTGACTGAGGAATGCAGAAAAAATCTGTAGGTGTGTCCACCTCGCTTTCATAACTGATTGGACAAGACCGTAGACGCGAGTGACTCACAGCAGCTCCACGCAGGTGTGGTTGCTGTGTTTTATGACCTGCCACTGCTTGCGTGAAAAGAATGGCCGGGGCAACCTGAGCGAAACAAAACCCCCACACACACGCACAAGTCCAGAAACCGCCTACACCACCTCTGTCTGCCTCTCTGTTTCTATACAGTTACCAGGCCCTGCCCTGCCCTCGGGGTGTGTCAACAGGTGTGCGTGTGTGCTTGCGTGCATACATTAGGTAACGGAAAAGGGATTACAGTTTGATGGACGCTCGTTTCCTCGCTGGTGACGTGTTCGCCTCTGAAACTCTGTATGGGTTTTCCTCTCGGTACAATTACCCGGAACCGTTAGGAGCGTGTTGAACCAGGTGAAGAGCTCCAAGCTAATCAGGTTGTATTATTTCAGGTCCAAGTCTTAAAGCCTTAAAGCCTCAAAGCCCAAACTCCTTTAGGCCTCGGGGGTCTGCAGCCGGCTCGGAGACGGGATTAGGTTCGAGGATCAGTCTGGAACATTCCGACGCTACATAAAAGGGGGTTAGCGAGTGTTTTCTGTACGTGTGTCCAGTGAGCATGAGTAAAGAGAAAATGAGCTCATCAAAAGAGAGGGCGTTTTCATTCGTCACACACACACGCCTACGCCTGTCCAGGTGTGTGCATGCATGTGTGTGTATGAGAGTGTGTGTGTGTGTGTGTGTGTGTGTGTGTTTTTTAGGGAATAATGAGAGAAGAGAAGAATTTTTATCTTGTTGTCCATTTGCTTAAACCGCACTAAGCCAGGCAACGGACCACATAACAAAGCTTTAAAAGGGAACACCACTCATCCTATCAGTGTAAAGCTGGATGACTGCTTGTGAACAACTTGCTCCAAAAAGACAAAAGCCACAGAAATCCAGCCACTGTCTGTCGGAATAAAAGAGATGAATTTAGAAAGTGATAACGTCATTCGTGGTTGCCAATCTCAGGGGTCATGAGATAATAAATAGGGGCAGGAATGAATCACTTAACTTGCAGTTGGCCCCCTTGTTTCCCCTATAAGCAGCTTTAAGGTTATTAAACCTTTTATTTTATTCCACACATCTTTGAAAACTTTTGGGATCCTTACTAGTGTTGCTGTGCAAACTTAGAGTCACTGCTACCGTCCAAGAAAATGTCTGGCATACAACCACAAATTGTTGTTATTACAGCATTATTTTTTTGACTGATCAAGCAAGACACAGCGTGTTAATCAATAATCTGTAGAGGTGCCAGAAGGCATATCCCTTTTATGTTTTGTCCACATCTTTCCCTCTGCTTTAAGTCTCATTGCTAAGCTAAGATAATTGCCTCTGAGACATGAGAGTGATATCAATCCTCTCATCAGCCGGCTAACATCATGTTTGCCTGGACTAGTTAAAAACAAGAGCCTGTTCCGTAAAGAGCTTCTTCTGTCAGGAATAGACAACTCACCAACATAACATGTAGTATCGCTGTATATGTTTTAGTTTTTCCTTTCATTTGCAAAATACTGTGAGATTTTGTTTACTTGTATTATGTTAAGTGGAACCAAAGACTAGCAACCACTATGAGGATGGTAAGAGGAGGAATAAATCACAAAATCTCTCACAGATTGAACTGTTCACGAGTCGTAGACGTGTGTAATTGTTCGTTATTTTCATGCCTACGGGCCTCGTATCCACTGTTATTTATTATAGCCTGAGGGCTCATTGTCACTGGGATCTAAGCTCTTAAAAAAAGGGGGTCGAAGTTCACTCCTTCTCACACTCACCCACGTCTAGGATGTCGAGGGTGATGACATCGGAGGTAGCCCGGCCCAGCTGGTTGGAGGCCTCCACCCAGATCTCGTAGGGCGTGAAGAGGTGCAGGTCCCGCGTGATGCTGCAGTAGTAAGGTTGCGTATGAGTGTAATCCTCACACTCCTTCTCCTTACCATACCACCTGGGAGGAAAACAAAATATACTTAAATAACTCTGGCCAGCAAAACAGTTCCCATTAATAATGCATGTGATATAGAATTTATTATATAATGTGTTGCCAGTTAAGAGTTTATCCGTCACAAGTGGTTTTATTAGGTCCTTATTTACACTAATGTGACTGCAGTGAGACTGCAGTTGGCAGGCCTGCGGCCACTGCACGCATGTCAAGTCATTTCCCTTTTGCTGCTTTTATATTGCTGATTTAACTTTTAAAATATGCGAACAGAGCTTACAACCCATATGAAGCTCATTTTTAAAATGTAGCAATCCCAGCTGAAAACCCCCTTTTCCTAATTCTCATGAAATGTGACTTTTGTAGGCATGAAGGTTTTAACCCTCTGGCCACCACTGCTGTTATTATTCTTCACGTAAGATCTGCCAAAGAGATATGGTATTTTGTCTGTTTCAAGCTCCGATTGTTTCTGTTTTTCTACGCATGTCAGCTGAGTAAAAAATCCTGAAATATGTTGATTTTGAGTAAGAACATTTGCAATAGGCTCTAGTTCAGACATTTTACATAAAAATCTGGGCGAACCTCACACGAATTCCAGCAAAAACAAGCTAAGCGGATTTTGTGTCCTCAATACGTTCTGAATGACGGAACAAAAAGTCCCAAGGAAACGTAAAGTTTTGAAAATCGCTTTTTACCAAGATCTGGTCTCATTCTACCCGGATCTGGTCTTATTCTGCCCGGATCTGGTCTTATTCTGCCCGGATCTGGTCTTATCCTACCCGGATCTGGTCTTATCCTACCCGGATCTGGTCTTATCCTACCCAGATCTGGTCTTATCCTACCCAGATCTGGTCTGATCCTACCCAGATCTGATAACTTAAAGTTTTGAAAATCGCTTTCTACCCAGATCTGGTCTGATTCTGATCTTGTCCTATTTTACCCAGAATCTGGTCTGATTCTAAAAGATTAACTTGATTACTGAAATACTATGAGTGGGCTTGTTTTTTTTAAAAAGCTGAGTTTCAGATACAGTGAACTGAATGACTTGTCACGTGGATATTTTCTGCAGTGTAGCTGTAAGTGTGTGCGTTAATACCTGAGTTTGTACTTGAGAGTGTACTGTGTGCTGATGTTAGTCTCTCCTTTTCCTCCGGGGACCCAGCTGCAAGTCAGGTCTTTGGTGTTCCTGGACCAGCAGGTCAGATCGACCGGCTTCTCTGGAGGCACTGGGGCAGAAAGAGGAACAGGTGGAAAGACGGAGAGAAAGGGGGAACAAAATAGACATGAGAGACAAAAGAGAGCAGTGCAGAGACAAAGAGGTGGAGGGAAGATGTAGGTTCATAGAGGGTACAAAGTTACCTCCAGCCATTACTTCAGCCCCTTCCTCCTGAGTGTAATTCACCCACAAGTGGTGTTCCTCACAAATTGGTGTGTTTTTCTCTTAATTGGTGTGAGTGTGTGTATGTATGTGTGTGTCTGTGTGCGTGCTGTCTGATTTGGTCAGACTCTGGATCCCTGCCAACATTCCTCGTCTCTCAGAACACAGGGTGCTCAACACCAGCGTCGCACAGAGATTAGGATCCTGACTGCTTCTCCTCTGATCGTGTACTTCTGTCTTTGAGAGGACCATTTTTAGAGTGAGGCTACTCCTTACTTCTACAAAGGGCTGTTGGAGAGTTAATGGATGGTTCCAGTTTATTATTGCTACTTACTTGCATTGCTTCAGTCAATATTTCCATTGGTAATAACAAGCAACTAACTCTAAGTGCGCATAAACGTCCCAAAATGTCAAACTATTTCTAAAAGATAAGGATTGACCCTGGAGAAAATAAGTTTATTATAGGGCATCACATTAACAAGATCACCCAATATAGTTAACTGTAAACGCTTAAACCATTTAGGGGCAATGTAATGCATTATGTAAATGCTGGTCCTCATACGTATGGAAATACAAACATGTGTCTTTGTAAAGTTGTCTTATGACCCATGACCTGTGAGCGATTGTGCGAGTAATGGACCACACAGGTCATAGAGGCCTCTCACTGGTCTCAAGGCAGGAATACTAAATATAAAATACAGCTTCTAGTGCCGTTTCCTTTTCCCTCCTCTCACTCCTGTTCGACCATAAATTACCCTTTTAACAGGAGTTAACGGCGAAGCACAGACAAAACGCAGACACGTATTCCTCAGAGAAATGTCGGCCAAACGAATATACTAATAAAATGACAAAAGAAGAAAATGTGGACTTCTACATGAATGAAACCAAGCTTAAAATCCTATAACTACTGACAAACTTTGACTTACTGCCGACGTAGAGGCAGGAGCCAGCCAAGATGTGTCCTTTGTGGTTGTGACAGACCAGGTTGTCGCCGGACGTCTGCCTGGAGGCGTTGAGTCCGGCCAGCGTCACACTGAGGTTGGTCGGGCTCAGCACTCTGTACAAGGAGCTGGGCAGCTGTTGACCGTTGAGCGTCCAGAACAGAGAGCTGGCGTGGACGCCGAGGTCAGGGTGGACCCAGCAGCTGGCGGTCAGTTTGGACCCCATGCGAAGGACGGGGTCCTGGGGGTATATTACTGCTACATCTGGAGGAGATGGATGTCATAGGAAGACGGTTGATGACGTCACAATGATGTCATCAGGGTTATGAGTTAGAGTTAAAACTTTAAATATTAGACTGAAAACCTGCAATGCAAACCGGAGGGGTGGTGTTTGAAAGATGCAGGAGTTTACCAGACATAGAGGGTCTGATAAAAGATTATAACTATACAGTTGCTGAATATGTGAGAAATGGTGGAAAAACTTGAGACAGGCCTAAAAAAATGATTCTAATAATGTAAAGCAAGCACTATTTAAGGGATTTCTTTTGTAAAGACTAGCTGTTTTAAATCTGTTTTCAGTTTGTTACTTTTGTGATTTTGTTTTGACTTTGTTAAGTATTTTATAATTTCTGCTGTTTTTCATCAGCTCTTGGCGAAGTTTGTTCCCCTCACTGGGCTTACAGTACTTGGGTCTTGCTGTTTGCTTATTTGTCTGTGGTCTTACATTTCTGATCAAACAGTTGGTACGCTCTAAAGGAAAGTTGCTCCATAAATAAATGTTGTTGCTTTTTATCATTTGTTGTCTCATTTTACAGCTAAATGTCAAATGAAAACTAAACAAATGGAAAACTGCAAAATAATACATATATATGTATGAGAGAAACTAATTTTCGGAGGAACTTGAACGCTCTATAGTACTTAGAGACATTTTTTATAATATTTGTGAAAGTTTTAACTTCTGCGTCTGTGTGATGAGTGACTGAATCCTGTTGTTATGTTTGTATATTTATCCTTTCTTGCAAGAGCAGCTCACAAGAGAAGCGATTCAGAGAGAGTTTATTTATTCTTATACAAGGAACAAAAAAAGAAAAGTTGCCCACCTAAGTAGAAGGCATTATGAAAACAACTTAAGATGATTTCTTTGCAGAAATGACTGAGCAGTGAGTGAGTGAGTGCCTCAACACTTTGTCAGACCACTACAAATCTGCGCCTGGGGGGCCAAATCTATTCACCTAACGCTGATAGACATTGTGTGGTCCTTTATGGAGGAGCCGCCCTTTGAAGAAGTTAATTCAACTGTAACTCCACACCTATATCAATATCACAACTCCCTACAACTCCAGCTTTGACACAACACTTCCACACATTTATGCACGAATACAAACAAACACATGCACAGAGGGCGGATTGTCTTTGTCACCGGATACGGCAGATTCAAAGGGCGCCGTGATTAGCCAATAATATGCTGATCACGGCTGAATAACAATCAGTGTTTATGTGTTCCAGGCGCTGAGGACGTGACTCTGCCCCGAAGCGGGGTGTGAAGCCCCCTTACACCCCGTCCTCCACAGTTCAAACACTAGACTAGACACAATTACTGCTGTTTATTGTCTCTGCTTGACATGCTCACTGGAGGAAATGGCTTGTAAAATATTATTTGTTTGGAGAGACTGAGGGTGCTTGAAGCACAGCTCTGATCAGGGGGCCGTGGATGAGTTTAACTCTGCGGTACTGGAGGATGGAGAGGGCGAGGGACGTTTATGTTTCAGCGAGTGTTCTCCAAAGACATTTATGACTGATTTTAAGTCTTTGGTGGACTGAAAACACTTTTCTTTAGGCTGTCGGTCTTCCAATGTATGTGACATCCTCTCCTCTTTCTAAAGAACTATTTACTCTCCTCTCATTCATGCAACAGTTCAAAGAAAGCCTGTACTTTCCTCTGTCTGTTGTACAATAGACATACATGTGGAGTATTTGGAGGGGCCAGTGTGGACGAGCCAAGACGAAGAAGTCACGCAACATTTAGTGACAATGAGCCGTGAAAACACCACCTGAAAGGAGACGGAGGAGACAGCGTCGGATGTTTTTCAAAAGAATGTATAATTATAAAGCTTATATTTGAGGTATTTCACTGATGCTCGTATCTGGAGAGAGGAGAGATTATTTGTTCTTCAGTCAAATCAAATTAGGCCAAGTACAGGCAGGATTAACGGGACATGTACTGTGAGATATTAGAATGTACTTTTAGGTTAAAAAGCTGATTTTGTGTGTTTTAGAGTCAAACATTTGGTATTAAACAATCATATCCAACATAAATACCTCTTTATAAACTAACAGTACATATAAACTCAAACTTTATGGGATTATGAGCTGCGCTAAAAACTAATTATATGTTGGGAAGAAAATTCCACATTTAAACTGTTTTATTTCAGTGGCATCTGTAAACCACAGCTCTCTGAGTGAAAGGGAAGCGCCCTCCATTATTACAGTGAATAAAACAGTAATGACCAATTAAGCCATGTAATAAACAGCAGGGCAGCTTATGATCAAGGCCCATTGTCTTCTATACGCCCAACTATACTTTCTTTTATTAGCACCTTTCAAACAGGATGAATAACAGGAGATCCTGTCTGAGGAGCTACTCTTTGCCAGTGAGCTCACCATAAAAACTAATCCAGCCACTTAACGGGGGAAGCGGACATAACTTTGATTTATTTACGTTACTGTGCATTAAGCCGCCGGTTAACATTCTCCAAAACCCGAGCAAATGATGTCACTGTTTTGTTGCGGTCCGTAAAGCCCCCCTGCTCTCCATGTGTTAAAGGAATTATGACCTGACTTGTTGAAATTCAGCCTCCTGGGAGAGGAGTTCTCTCTGCAGGGATACAGCCGATATACCTCAGCAGGAGCACATCAATAACAGGAGGTGTCAAGTGGACAAAGTGGCATTTGTCCTTTTGAATGTGTGTCCAGGAATCAACCAGAGTGGATCCAAGCAAGTGAGCCCTTATTATGTAAGAATATATTGAGTTGATTTGCATTGGAAACACATTTCAAAAACAGTGTTACCCGATGAAAGATCACTGTGATTGTTAAGTGTTCCTATATGGGATTTACATATTGTATCCTCTTATAGAAATCATATACAGAGTTAAAGTAGCCTTGAAGTGTTTTTCATCTTCTTTAATATATAATATTCCTATAATGATATTATCAGGGTTTGCAGTTTTAATGCAATGTTAGCACTGACTTACATCCTTTTAAAACAGTAAATCTATCCCACGTGATATTACTATAATATTATTTCCAAGGCTTGTAGTGTTTGCGCTGAATATCACCCTTCTAAAACAATACATTATCTTTATCCCCCATTGATATCCAAACTATGTTCCTAAAACATCCCTATCACGGCTTGTAGTTGTCTGTTTGCATTGACTAACACCCCCACAGTATAACGTGTTGTACTATTATGAAAACCTATGTTTGCATCTGCTTTATCTTCTAAAATCACGCATACCAGAACAGGACAATGTCACACCGGGCTGTTTACAGACAGACCTCTGGGTGACACAGGGATACAACTGATCTTAGTGGACCAAAAAGGGCAGCCCTGTACCCAAACCAAAAAGCAGTCCCCAGCCCAAGACCGTGACTTTGCGCATCGATGGACATCTGTGTGCAACTTACGTGTGGACAAGGACAGCACGCCGGGAGTGTGCAGCATGAGGAAAACCAAGCAGATATCCAAGACGGCTTTCATTTTCCCCCCCTGGATCGTTTGATCTCTCTTTCTTGATTCCTCGTCCTCGTGTTGTTGTGATGTCGCCTTTTTTTTTTTTTCCCTGGATAGAAATTACGCACAGTGGGGAAAGAGGAAAAACAGCACGGGTTCAAAAGCTGAATGCTCCGGATTAGGAAAAGGAGCGCACTAGAAAAAGTGTGACCCGGTGGAAAAAGTCACTCTCTGAGAAGCCATAAGGCAAACACGTCCTCAGTAAAGGCTAAACGAGTGAGTATACCGCGTCCCGTTTGCAGTCTTTCCCCTTCTTAATGCTTCCTGCAGCTAAATCATACACAAGTTCATACTTTTTTAAGCCCCTCCTCTCTTTCTCTCTCTTCCCACACAGTCGCCAGTCATTTCCCCCTCTTTCCGTCCTTTCCCTGCTCTTTTTTTTCTAACCTCTCCCTCTTCAGTGATGGGTAGGGGAGTCAGAGCCATTGACTTTCACTGAATCACTCTGTATCTGTTACTTTCCATGCCCCAGGTCTCTGCTATACAGTTGTTCACCACAACAGACTGTAGTCATTGAGAGTTACAAGAAAAGAAATCCTAAAGTGTCTTTTTTTGTTTTTTTAAATCAATTGTATCTCTTTGTCCCTGAAGAGTGTGATACAGATCACTGATATTTTCTGATATTTGTTATTTTTTAAATCCACCAACGTTTAAGTGGGATTCAGTTAACTGTAGGACGATTTACAAACATTTAAGCAATATGTTGAAGAGGAAATAACACATTCCTCCTTCTACAAATGAAAAGGTGAATGAATAAGCAATGAAATGCTTTCTCAGCGCACTCTGGAGCTTTGCAGCTACAGCCTTACTTGGTCTGGTACGACCAGTAGCCTCTGGTGGCAATTGGTTGCTAATGTGTGTTCTGTGTGACGCTTGTCTACCTGTGCTACTATAGTACACTATTTTTTTTAGCATTTAGCATTATCTTGGATTTGTGACTTTTTGGGGCCGGTTTCACAAAAACAAACTTTATGTCTAACATAAGACGTCTACATTCATCTGTTGCACGTAGCTGTTCACGTGTCTTCTCTGCGGTATATTTCTGACGGGTTACTGCCGTGTCCATAAACTCTTTCCCTCAGAATACCATAGAAACATGGCTCTTAGTTCAGCCTCAGGGTCAAGTGGCTAGCTTTGTAGGTTTAAATTAAGTTAAATTACATTTGTACAAATGTGTGTATAACTTTAAATAATCTCAGAGCTAAATTAAAACTGGTCTAACTCTACGGGTCTCAAACATGGCCGCTGTTCAACAAAAGTTATATTGCAGCTTTAAAGTGGAAATTGGCTTGAGACAAAGTTAACCTCTTTTAATGTAATATTTCACCCTGTGGTTTATTGTAATGGCTCATTAAAAATAATTGGTTTCTCTTTCTTTACAAACAATAAACAATGGCGTCACTATGACGTGTTCCTATTGTAGTGAAAATGTCACTATTGCTACATAGACACTGACTAAGCGTGAATCAAAACATGAAACCCAAAACAGCCACAAACTGCGTGTCTTGCTGCTGATTTATTTCATATTTATTAAACGTGACCTTTCATCAACTATGTAAACAAGCATCCCAACAGTCCCATTTACACACAAAGATGCTGATTATCCAACAGGTCTCTTCTACAGCCGACATTTTGACTCATCATTGCAGGAAAAGCCCAGGTGTTACTAACAACATGAATGAGGGCGTTCAAACTGAAGCAACTAAATGGAATGTGCTTTTCCTACTATGACAAGTCAAAAATGTCTTCCGTGTCTTTTGGCGCATAAAACCTCTTGAAAATGTTGACCATAAAAGCATCTTTTCCTTAAAAAAAATCTATGGAGTAAATAACTATTTTTCTCCTCTAGGTTGATTGAAAAATTGGACTTCCCGTCTGAGGAGTGATATGAATACATGTGAAGCGATCAACTTTTCTTCAGAAATATGAAAGATCAGATAATTTGTCAGCCAATCAGCATTGAGCATCCAGTAAATAGTATTCAACAGAAAAAGAAGGTAAGAAGAGCAACAGGTTTTTTTTTCCACAGAAGCTCTTTTTCCACAAAAGAAGAAGAACCGGCACAACCAGGACACTGAAACTGAAGCAACTAAATGGAATCCTGCCATCATTTATTTTATTGTTCGTACATGTGTTTTCCCTACTATGACGAGTGAATGATGAAAACGAGTGAAGAGTTGCGCCCGGGCTTCAGCCTTTCAGCCATTCAGCATCTCAGTGGGAGTCCTCTGACGCAGGAAGTCAGAGCACAGATTCTGGAGACAAGCAGAGAGCAGGGAGAGGAAATACTATCACATCAGGTCACATTTGGTTCGACAAATCCACATTTGGGCCTCAAAGTGAGTCTGGAGAACAGAAAATCTCTTCATGTCCATCACCTAAATTGGCGCTGTGACTAATATTTGACTAATGGTGGCCCGAGACACACATAGATTAGTCCCGGTCGTCCGGCCTCTGGTTGGTCCAGCGGTGAGTCAGCAGGACAGGCAGAGCGTGAGCCTAACAGCCATGATGACCTTTGGGTCCCAGCCTACAATGTCCCCCTTTCTCCTCACTCAGAGGGGACTCTTGTTCGAAGGGCAGTTCCCGCTCGTGCCCTACAGTTACCGTCCAGGAAATGTGAAAAGAATTTCCTGACGGTGTTGTGGCTGCTGTGTCACTTCCCGGTCACCCGGTATTCACAGTGACATAGTTAGAATAGTTGATTAATGATGCATGGACATCCGTCAACGTCTTCGCCCCGTCTGTGAAAGTGTTGTGTCACTGTCTCAGCTTGTGTGTTTTATGCTGCCATTGTCCTCCACTTTTATGCCCACACGCACACATTTCACATTACCTTACACGTAGTCTCTCAGACATGCAAAGACAAACAAATAGACTTGTATATATGCGTGCCACACAGTCAAACACACACACACAGTGCCATTTAAATACCACATCTTCCAACCAGACAGTCCTTAATCCAAAACACCACAGACAGAGAGCAGAAGACGAAGTGTTGAGAGACAGTGAAACCCAGTAAAGATGGTGACAAAGACTGAGACGGGGAAAGTCAGAAAGATCAAGAGAGCTCTTAAAGCTAGAAGTTAGATGAGGAAGGCTGCTCTGTAATGATGCCAGTCATGTGAGGACAATAGGCTTTTTGGCTGGAACCACAACACGGGAATACAGGCTCAGTATAAACCAATGGCACATGTTTGACAATATGGGGAGCCGATGAGGCTCCGTCTTAAATGCAGCTTTTTGCCATGCTAGCAGCGCGGCTCCATATGGAGGGCAATGCCATTCAATAAGTGTATCTGCCATTTTGGTCCACACTGAAATATCTCATCAACTATTGGATGGATGGCAATGCACTTTTGAGCAGCAAATGCAATTCCTAATGTCTTTGGGGATCTCTTGACATGAAGTTTGTGGCTTTAAATCAGAGACAGAAGTGGCCGTCACCCAGCGGTTTGTGGACTGCCGTTTTGAGGCTTCGAGTTTGGCATTTTGGCCGTCGCCACCTTGACCTTTTGCAACCAGAAGTGACACGAGAGGGTGGAGCTAATAAAAACTCTGAACAAAACATTTTTTGGCGACCAACATGTTACAATTAACTTTCATGAACTGAAAACATTTTGTGAAACAGTGAAGGAGGGTAAAGTTCTAAGACGAAAACACGGACAATGAACAGGCCAGACAACGTCGCTGTAGCAACCTCTCAATCACAAGGTAGCTACGCCTAAATCATACCCTTCTTTATGGTCTATTTTACTCTAAATGGGAGCATAACTTACACAATGAACATCATGCTGTATTGATGAAGACTTGAAACTAGCAATTGGGACCATAAACTCATGTTCACAATGTTTGCTGTGGTAATAAATCAAGTGACAAGTAAGGTAATTTACTCATAGATTTCCATACAATCAGACTTCTTTTTGCAACCAGAGGAGTCGCCCCCTGCTGGCCATTAGAGAGAATGTAAGTTTAAGGAACTGAAGCGTTCCACATTTGGTGCATGCATTCATGTTCCCCTCAGAATGAATTGTAATAATTTTGATCCCATTACTTTTCATCAAGCTGCACCATCAAGTCACAATTCAATTTGATTAATCTTTTGGCCACAAACGTCTCATCAACCTCAGCTGTGCTTTACTTTTAGTGCTCTTTAGAAAATGTTAGCATGCTAACATGCTAAACTAAGATGGTGAACATGGCAAATATTATACCAGCTAAAAATCAGCATGTTAGCGTTGGCATTGTGAGTATGTTAGTATGCTCAAAGCTGTGCCACAGTATACAGCCACACAGAGCTGCTGTCTGTAAATGTTTTACAGCATAAATCTAAATTAGGAAAGCATACATCTGATCCAGTATGCTGCTTTTAAAATGATGACTCATTGGCATCATTTTTGGCCCTTTGAGTGTGAATTTTGAGAATATTTCTAAATTTCTAAAGTCTTGATTTTCAATATTTATTTTTCTCTGAGAAAAAAAGAAGACCCCAGAGAAGAGAAAAGCAGCAACTCCACAGAATGGACTGTAACAATTGATATGAGTGATATGTTTTGGATTATTCTAGATGTCTTTATAATCTTTACAATCTTTACATTGTTACGATTTTTTGCTAATATTATATTATATTTGCGTGGGCTTCTAAAAGGAAAAACATATTTGTAAACATTATAGTTTTTTGGTTAATAACGAGAAAGAATGACATTGTTGTGGGAAATATCTGCTCGGAAAATATTCATTTTTTTAACACTTTTCTTTTAGCATTCTCTTGTGTTTCCGCTGATGGCAAAGATTTAAGAGAGAAAAGGAAATTACAGAGAAACATTTTAAACAAATACTTCTTAAACAAAGTGTGGTGAAACTTAAGTTATCATTCTAACGTATCTCAATAGTCATATGCGGTTTTAAATAGTTATTTAATAACATATATGAGTGACTTTGCCTGTTACACATATCAATTTGTGAAAAAATAAACACAGGTACGGTACAATACAATATCAAAACCGTCTCCTTAAAGTCTTGATTGAAAGGACTTGTTGGTGTTCTGCTAACAAACAGCTGTAGACTGGAAAACTCTCAATAGCAAACCAGGGAATAATCAGAGGGATGGATGTAGACGAGACGAGAAAAAAAATGCAGTAGACAGACAAAGACAGGAAAGAAAAGTTTGAGATTGGGTTAGAGATATCAGGAGAGCCAGAAGCCACTGAGACAGAGATATTTCTGAGAGAGAGCGGGGGCAGAAAGAGGAGGGAGAGATAGAGAGAGAGAGAGAGAGAAAGAGAGCGAGTAATCAAGGA